ATTACGAAGCATCGGACAGAGACAGACGACCGAGCATGACAGGGATTCAGAAAATGGTCCAGGTACACTGGTACATGCTCGAAGCCATTGCCGGGATTCCCGTCTTGGAACACTTTGAGGTCACCGTATTCCCACTCAAAGTGCAGCTTGAACGTGAACTTGGCAAGAAGCTCTTTGAGTACATTTTCCCTGGCGTGGGATCGAATGCTTTTGAGAACGGCAACTTTTCTCCGCTCATGGTTAAGAACATGGAACCCACGGACGACGGAGACGATCAAGAATTCGTGGAAGCGCACAGTGCGTTGATGTCGGAGCAAGATCTTCAAAGCCCCAGTCCAGACAAGACTCGCAATACTTCACCTGGTGCTGTGGCACGAAGGCTGAAGCCCACCTATGGTCTTGATTATGACGAGAAGCACAAGGATTCGACCTCTTCCCTGCATGGCAAAACCAGAGGGCTCGGTCTCACGGCGGATCACCACAAATTCTTCAAGCATTTCAACAAGTCTGAGACTCGGTCCGTGTTCAAGGAACCCACACGCAAAGGATCCTCGACTAGTCTGAGATCAGCAAAGAAACATGACATGTCATCCACAAGTCTCGTCGCCCTTGGCGCCAGCGAGGGAGGAACAGAGAAAAAGCGCTTCCCTATACACCGGACAGGCAGCAAAGAACGTGGTGTCGCAGGAAAGAAAGACAAAAAGGACAAGACCGCCACGGCCAATGACGACCTCTCCCAAATGATGTCTCGTGCTTCCAATTACATGACGCTAGCTCATGTCAAACTCAACAGCTTCGTCGTCTGCCTCTCGTACAAAGGCAAATCTGATCGTAACTTTGAGGATCTCCACGACTTTGTGTTCCGTATGCCAACGCTTGAATATCGCAACAAGACGTGGTCGAACTTGGACCTAGCGCTCAGGTTGAAGAAGGACGTGATCAGGGCATTGATCAGCCACACCGGAGCGATTATTGGAAACAAGTTCTCACATCACAGACCCAATAAAAAGCAGGTCGAACGACTCAAGGAAATCGCGCATTCGAGCACCATTCCCAGCTCGGACGTCACCCTACAACTTTCAGGGACGTCAGATACGACAAGCTTGTATAGTTTTTCGCAGGACGGGAGGGACGATGACTTCGAGTCCTCAGGTATATCATTCCAGTCACCACCCGGTACAAATGGGCATCCCAAAGGAGGCGCTTTCCATGGACCCAGCCCCCTCCTGCGAAGTGGCTCGTGGTCCTCGAGTATCAACCTACCAACTATCGCGGCCACTGGAGCTGGGACCCTCGCCTCAGCTGCGCCACGTTCAATTCCTGGCTCTGCCGGGGCAGGCATTGGTGGCAATGGAACCGTCAGTAACACCACGTCATTTTTCTCACGACCACGATCTGCACATCCGAGCTCTGCAACAAGCTCCAACCAGAATCTCAACAGCTCCAACAATTCGCCTTCGTCTCCACAAGCTCCAGGCAGAAGTCTACTGAAGGACACAATTGGGAGGCATTTCTCTGGTGACACCGTCAAGGGGAGAGTGCATTTTAGTGGACTTTCACTGATCAAGAGTGAGAGCCATTCGCACCGGGAGAGAAGTGACAGCCACGGCAGCCATACTCCTAGCACAAAGGAGAGGGAAAGAGATAACAGTGGAAACGATGAAGGGTCTCCAGGAAGTGTCATCGGTGGCGCCAATGGAGGTATCGCTCCGTTGGGCACAGACAGTGACGCCGAGACCAACAAAAGAAAGAGTGTGTTGATGCTGGGCAAGAAGGTGTTGAACCGGTTGAGTTAGAATTTGGGCTGATTGACTTGACAGACTGGCCACGAAGCTCCGCGGCAAGACGGAGAGATGCAAAATATTGAGGCACTGGAAAGCCGGTTAAGAAAAGTTTCGTATTATGCAGGATTTGGACATTTGGGATGCGGCTCCTCATCTTGGGAATGGAGAAACGGGACTCGGCGACATGCTTTGAAAAGAAAATCCTGGAATCTGGCGGCGCCCCCAAGTTTTTGCTTCTTTTCCGTCATGAACAATGGATTTATGGATCGACGGCTGATTCGGGCTCGACGAGGAAGGGGAAATGTCCGGGCATGGCGGCGAGCAGCAGCTCCAATAGTTGGTTGGTGCGTTGCGTGCAATGTGTTTATACTTGTATGCCATGGTGGTAAGAGATATTATACATATACATAAAATATACCTTTCCACTACTGTGAATGTCTTCTTGCTGTGTATGTGCAATATGGGATATGGAATTTTTCATGCTCGGTGCTCAGATATGTCGAATGGGATGAGAAGAATGATTACAAGCACAGTTCTCGAGTTTGACCTGTATCAAGAAGTGGAGAGGGTCATTCGTTCATGGTTCGGTTCGACACTGACCGAGTGTCTATCACGTTCACACTGAGTCAAGGGCGTCTTCGTCTGCAAGGATGTGCCTTGCCCTGGTATTGCTTTCATTAATCGTCATGTTGCTCTTGGTGGCCATCACTTGATATGCACCGACCGCTTCGCCGGTAGCCACGCACGACTCACACACTCTTTCCTCCAGTTTCCATCTTCCTACCTTCATCACCACCACCACCACCACCAACATCATCTCCTCCGTCGCCATCACTATCATCGTCCTCGGAGATATAATCTAGCGCGCCCTTGAGCGGTTTGGGCGACTTCCAACCCACCATCATCTCGTTGACCAGAAACTCGTCGAAGGTCGGGTACACGTTGAGCACGTCGTCGAAGAACATGATGCCGCAGCCTAGGATTCGGACGGTGGCTTCGACTTTGGTGCCCACGCGGATGTAGGACTGGAGGATCGACTCGATCAAGAAGACGTATTCGGTGGGCTGCGCGACCTGTGGCTCGGGTTCTGACCCCGTGGTGGTGGTTGTGGACGAGCCTGCTCGCTCGGACGGGGTGAGATCTTCGGGGAGCGCGTCCGGGTTCTTCCAAGGTTTGGCGTACACGCGGCCGACAGGGCGGAAGAGCTTAGAGTGCGTCGTGTAGATGGTTTTGCATTCGCTGGTGGGAGGCTCGATGCGGGTGACCTCGAAGCCCGTGTGTTCCTGCGTGTTGACGATGTCCATCATCTTCGGGACATTGTCCTGCACGCCCGCGAGGAATGCAGTGTAGACTTCCTCGTCGGCGGCGCCGGCTACTCCGAACCTCACAATCTGCTGGGCTTCGTCGGGCTTCAACCCTACGAAGACGGCTTCTTCGGTGTCTGGGTTCCCCCACCACGTCTCCCCGTCGTAGTCGCGTGCGTAGCTGCCACCGAAGAGGGTCGAGCATGCCACGTTGAATTCTCCCGGCAGACGGCGCGTCGCTTCGGCCATGTCCCAGAGCTCGGGCTCGACTTTGCGGCACAGCGCACGGGCGGCGAGTACGTCCTCCTTGTATTCTGGACAGACGTCGCGCTGCAGAAGGTAGTCGAGGAACCTCTCCAAAGTGGTACAGACCATTTTGACCTCGTCCCGCGTGTCGAGTCCAAAGATGTTCTTCGCGCGGCGGCTCAAGAAGCCTCTGAGGCAGCCGAGGAAGTCGACCTCGTAAAGACTCGTCTCGGTGCCCAGGTCCCGCATGTCGTCGCTGATCCGAACTTGTGTCGTCACGTGGGCGATCTGGGTCTTGTCCATGCCTTCGGTGTCCTGGCCGCCCTGGCCGACATTCTGGCTTATCGTCAGACTGCCATAGCTGAGGTACTTGTACAGGACGTCTCTGCGCTGTGGAGTGAGTTTCCGAGTCATTTCGAAGCGGGCTATTGCTGTGGTGATTCTGTCCACGAAGGATAGACGACTGTGCCGACGGGATTAGCATACGTGGTGGTCGCTTTTGCCCCCGAGACATGCAGTTTGAAACTTACGGATGATATATTTCTTGCTCCTCGGCATACTGCTCTGGCGTCAGGGGAGGGTCTGCAAAGTAGTCTTCGAAGCCGGTCGGTTTGTTCTTGAGATTGGTATCAGCACAACTCTCCCCATACCTCTTCCTTTTGGGGGGTCAGATCGAGAGACATACCAACCCGCGTTTACTTGCTGGCTTGCGTCTCTTCTTCTTGCTCTTCTTCTTCAACTCTGCTGGGGGTTCGTTGGTGGCTTCGCCGTAGTCTTGATTCTCTTCATCTTCTTCTTGGACATTGCCATCTCCGGTGTACTCGCCGGCCTCAGGTTGCGGCAGGGTAGGCAGGGCAGGATTTTGAATCTCGTTAGAGGCAGCTTTGTCGGCTCGGGGCCTCAGCGGAAGTTTTATGGTCTCAGCGTCGTTCATAGCATCATGTGGTCTGAGATCGGCGTCGTTGACGTCCACATTGGAATCTTGTGTTGAGTTTGAGTATTTAGTATCCTCGGATGATTCTTGAGTGCGGGCCATATTTTCCCAGCGGGACTTTGGACGTGAAGGAGGGAAAGAGGTAAAGAGATGAGAAGAATGGTTTCGAGGATCAGAGCAATAAGAGCTGCAGATGAACGAGGTCCTAGTGGCAGTCTTTGATCATTCACTTCTACCTTGAATGGGAGGTGGACACAAGTTTATGATCTGAAGCACTATTGATCGTCTCGCCAGAAGTGAAGGGCAGGTGAGCAAACAACCGCATCTGCAAAAGGCCGCATTGCAGCAATGTGCGTGAGAGGCCACATGATGCACCTTTCGATCGCGTGCAATCATAAAGGCTGTACCTCGTACTTCTTTCCCTTCAACCTCCCAAGCAAGGCTGAGATCCCCAAAACACCGTGGGCTGCGACTAAAGGCGCCGAGTCTGGAGCGGCGTCTTGACTCTTCCGCCAATCGTCTCCGCACCCTGGCGGCCAGCTCGATCGATGGCGGCAATCCTTCAAAGGGTTGTCGGTGACCACGCCAGTCGATTGATTCACCGCATGTACCAGTGTGAGGAAGTGGCAGCTCTTGGGGTCCCTATGATTGTCTTCACATTCTCGTAAAGCACCTGTCTCTCCCGTTCTCTACGAGTTTCTCAAAGGTTATCGTCTTTGCGGGGCTGTCAACATGGAGAGCTCTAGCTCAACACACCCAACCAAAAAGGTTGCAGCGAAGTTCTCAGAGTCCGAGCTGGTACGATTCGACCACACCGCTGCTGGCCAGTAAGGAAACCTCCGCGATGTGGCTGTTTATCGTTCTGTGTGACACTAACGTTCTTCCGTACACAGTGATGGCATCAGCTCCAATGCCTCGGGTTCGCTCATTATCAAGCCCTGCACGCAGGCTGAGATCGACTTCTACGAGTCCGCCAAAGACCACCCCTTGTTCCAGGCCCACATGCCTACTTTCCTGGGGTCGCTCTCCGAGAATGACGACCAAGAAGCTGTAGCGCCGTTGTTGCAGACCTCTCAAGATGGCGTTGCTGCTCCAGCTGCGGTTCAGGGGACCGCCCCGAACACTGTACTGGGGCTCAACAGGCGCACTTCCTGGAAACCTTCCGGCGGCCAGAAACTCTCTACGGGCCTGGCGATCGTTCTGGAGAATGTCGTGTCCGGTTTCAAGCACCCCAATGTGCTGGACGTTAAGCTCGGTGCCAGACTGTGGGATGACGACGCGCCGTTGGCCAAGAGAAGGAAACTAGATGACGTGGCGGCGAAGACAACGAGCGGGAGTCTAGGCTTTCGTCTTGCTGGGATGAAAGTGTGGGCTGACTCCGGGGTCGAGGTGACCCCCGCGGAGAAAGAGTACGTCGAGGTCAAGAACGGGTACAAATCCTACAACAAGTTCTACGGGCAGTCTTTCAAGGCAGAGAACGTCGTTGATGCCTTCGAGACGTATTTTGGCGGCGTCAGTGGCAGCCGCCAGGACGACTCGACCACTGGAAAGAACTCCCGATTCAAGAGCCAGCGCGCCGAGTTTCTCATCCGCCGGTTCATCAGGGAACTGGAGAGTATACAGTACGTGCTGGAAAACGAGGAGAGTCGAATGTACAGCGCGAGCGTGTTGATGGTGTATGAAGGAGATCCGGAGACGCTCGAGGCCAGCATTGTGAAAGAGGAAGACGAGGATGCCAGAGACGCAGGGGATGGAGACAACGAGGACAACGAGGAAGATGAAGATGAAGACGACAACGACGACGATGACGACGAAGATGTCCGACCGCACAAGGTCCACGAAGTACGCCTCATCGACTTTGCCCACGCGAGGTGGACGCCTGGCGACGGTCCGGACCAGAATGTCCTTGCGGGCATCCGGAGTCTGCTCCGGATTCTGCGGGATTTGGTCAAGGGAGACTAAAGCGAGGAGGACGCAGGTCATCGTCCACCGATATACTGTCTCGACTGTCAGGGAAATAGTTGGACGGCTGATAACCGAATGTCTATAAGGGTACTGTATGGGAAAACAGGCGACATATCCTAGATCAAAATAGAGGTTGCCTCTGTCTCGCGAGATTTGAATTGTCTATCCTGGGTTCTCTCCTGTAATTTTCCTCTGACTTTTGGTGTACGCTCGATGCAGTGGTTCAATCCTCCCAATATGCGACACCGTCCTCGCATGCTGAGGCCACTGTTCTGGTTCAGGTCCTTTCCAACCCGATGACACTTTCTGGCCAACCCGCCCACACAATCGCCCGGTTCGGTACGCGCCCTGCAACAGGACTCAAAAGACTAATTCGCCCTCTTACCTCATCGGTGTCTGTGACATAGAGAAATCCCATCACAGTGCTGTCGCGAATAACTTCTTGGTCGGCTTCTCCGTCGCAGTTCATAACGGCGAGGACGGAACTTCGCATCGCCGCGATCGGGCTAACCACGCGTTCAAATATCTGAGATAGGGGCAGCGGCACCTTTGACGTAGAAGAAGGGAATACATCATCAGCGTCATCGTCCACACCACCGGGTAGGAACGAGTCTTCGTCGCCCTCGTCAAAATTGGCTGAAGGGTCAGGAGTGGTTCCGATGCGGCGCCAGACGGTCAACGTAGAGAAATCCACTTGTTGATGGCGAGGTTGGAGAGCAATTCCGTTGCTCAGGCGCGGGTTGCCGTAGAAATATGTCTTGATTTGTGCCGCGCGGAAGGCGGTCATAAATGCTTCATCGCGATCGACGCAGCCGCCCGATTTGGCAAGTTTGATGACAGAGATTGTCTCGGGCGTCGCAGGCGCGGCAGTGGTGGTCGATGATGAGGGCCGGAATGCGATGGGTTGTCCATCGAATTTCTTGACCATGTCACTGTAGAGTCTCTCGGATCCCATACAGATGATGGCTGAAACGGCAAATTCAGAAACAATGTCCTGAATAATGTCATAGCCAACAGTATTTCCAGATTTCATCGTCGTCAGACTTCCCGGGGTATCGATGATGATACCACTTTCTCTAGCTTCGGGGTCTTGAGCTCGACGTCCCGCCACTGCGAGAGCCAACCGATTGATCTGAGCTTTGTAGACCTTGCCTTCCTTTTCCTCTGGTTTCGAGCTTCCAAAAAAGTAGACGAGGGGTAACTTGACGGGGATGACCCCATTAGGGCCAGACATTGGCGCAGTTCCCCATCCTTCTTCAACGTCCATCAGGGTTTTGAAGACAGTGGCCGTGAGTGTGCCGGGAATGCTCATAACGCCTTCCTTGACGTCCAGATTGACCACGACTGGGGATCGTGCAGAACGAGAAGCATAACCAGTGAGAATTTTTGCAAGAGAGGTTTTGCCAGCATCCTCAGGCCCCAAGATCAAGATTCGGGGTCCTTCGCGCCCAGTACTCTGAGCCTGACTCCGCAGGTTCTCGAGACTGAAGTGAGTATTGATGTACTCGTTCATCGGAGTTTCCTCTGCGACATACTCGCTTTGAAGGGCATCGCCGCTGACCTGGAACGAGCAGCCATTCCAAGTGTAGATGGCAGCCTTTGTGCCGGTGAAAGTGTATGTGTTCCCCAGCACAAGTTCAGTCCCAAACAGCTCAGCGGAGCCCGTCAACAGCTGCAAGATCCGCGCATTAGACAAGGCTCAGCAGTGGCCTGAGACGTAGCTGGACTCACCTTGACTTGGACATACTTGCCCACGGCCACCTCGAAGCGCCATTCCGTCTCCTTTGCGAGGTCGTGTTGGGTGGCCTCGACGGTGTGAACCTCTTCTGGCTCTTCTAGGCCAAGACCAGGCAACGACATTTGATCATCGTGTCCCGAGGAAAGGGGCGATAGGATTACTTTTGGTGGTGGCGGGGATGCGTATTTCGTATTGCCGAGTGTCTGATGGTAGAGTGTGAACTGTTTACGATGCGAGCTGCTGCAATCGGCTGACAAGCAACGAAGTTCCCGCCCCGCCACCGGATTCGGAAGTGGCGGCTTGGCATAAGTGTGTCGTCACTCAAAACTGCGCTGCGCCCACATTTGTTGTGATTCTCCATCTCAGCCATTGATTGTTGTTCTTCAGCTACACAAACTCTGCCTTCCGAGTACGAAACACCCCTGCTCACTCTCTGATTCGGTGCTCGCATCAACCTGTCCGAGTCTGCACAAATCATCATCTCCCGAGCTCCCATCCTTATCCGTTCGTGTCAAACGCTGGTCAGCACTTGAACACAGCATACTCTCCTGCCCTCCGGAACTCCATCCTTGGTGCCCGGCGCACAAGCGAATTACCATCCGCCATGCCTTGGCCATGCCGACAGTTTAAGATCTTTGCAGCCTGTACACAATCTTCTTGTTCCTGCTGCAGCGCAGTAAGCGACGCTAAACAATGCTGACACACTTGAACCCTTGCCAATTGGCCCTTTCAGGAAGCGGCAAATCCTTGCAGCATCATTAGGTAAGGCCTTAAGTAACAAACACGACGTCCCAAGACCCTCCCTGGCCAGTCCGTCGTAATTTGGGGTCTATTAGCAGTGCCTTTAGGTGCACATGAAGAATGAACAATTGCTCCGTGGCCCGTACATGCCAGGCCTCCAGCGTCTCGCAGTTTTCCCTGTGCTTTGATCCTTCAAGCGTCGATCTCTCCAATTGGGTTCTCTTCTTTGGTGTTGTTTTGCCGGACAAGGGCAATAACCCCACCGATACAGATTCCTGTGCCTGGCATTGAAACATGCTCTAGGATCAGCGCTTCATAATTTAATATGGTGGAGTTGTCGGTACTATCGACTGATATGTTCCTAGCGCATCGATAATGGTGGGGACAAGGGTTTCCCTTCCCGAATTGGTTCTTGAGGCGGCATTTCCAATGCCATAGAGGGACTTCCGCAAACCCCGGCCTGGGCGAGTTCTTGGGTCTCGAGCATTCCAGCGACTTATGCATGGATTTCACTACATCCTCGTACCTCGCTCCAGAAGCCGAGAAATGCTACCTACCTTCTCCAATGAGGCCTCCCTTCTGCATTTGACATCAGAGCCCGGAGATGGTTGAAGTCCGTCCCTTGTACAGGTTCATTCTTCATTTCACACTAGTCTTCCCATTTTATTATTACTGCCACAGCATCGACTACGTGTATGAAATGTCTCAGTCACTGCCTGTCTAGCATTTCTTGTATGGTTGACGCCCTTGGGGTGACAGATCTCATTTCGAAATAGTCAAAAATCGAGGCCTTTAGAGCCTTTGGATCTTTTTGAGAACTTCATCTACTCATTACATTGTATTCCTTCCGACAGTCAAACACACCAGTAATCGACACCATGGGCTCAGAAGACGAAGAACACGTTTCTCCTCCAACCCGCAACTCCCTGGAGCGCGAGGTGACAACGAGCAGTTCTGAAGGCCCGAGATTCGAGCCAATCCGAACGCGAAGAACAAGAGATACGGACGACTACCGCTTCGACGACGAAGAACCAGCAAACCAGGATGAGCTTGTGAGGATCGCAACCATCCTGTCCGGGGTTCGGACTCGCACCATTACTAGCGATGGCCTACAAAGACAGGATACTGTCGCAGGCATGGGCATTGAGTCCCCCGAATTCGATCCGAACAATCCCGCATTCAACTTTTACCTCTGGATCCGCAAGTTTCTACAACTTCTCGAGCAACAGGACATCAAATTGCGGAGGTCTGGCTTCACTTTCAAGAATCTCAGTGTTTTTGGGAAGGGGTCCGCTCTAGTCCTCCAGCAAAACGTGGGCTCCATCTTTATGCAACCATTCCGCATTCGCGAGCTTTTCCAGCATCCTGCCGAGAAGCAGATATTACGCAATTTCAACGGGAATGTTAACAGTGGAGAGCTGCTGATTGTCCTGGGTCGGCCCGGGAGTGGTTGTTCTACGTTCCTCAAAACCATTTGCGGCGAGCTCCAAGGTCTACAGCTCTCGGACGATTCCAAAATCACTTATAGTGGAATATCTCGGGAACTTTTCATCAAAGAGTTCAAAGGCGAGGCAATATACAACCAAGAGAACGAAAAGCATTTTCCTCATTTAACCGTGGGCGAGACGCTCAACTTTGCAGCCGCCTGCCGCACTCCATCCAACAGAGTTCTTGACTTTCCCAGAGCCGAATGGGCCAAATACATGGCATCTGTCATGATGAACATCTTCGGCTTGTGTAAGTTGCCGGAACGATACAAAAGGTCTAGTGAAGAGTTACGACTGATCTGTGTACTCAGCACACACGCGTAACACCAAAGTTGGAGACGATTTCGTACGTGGTGTCAGCGGCGGAGAGCGAAAACGTGTCAGCATCGCCGAAATGGCTCTAGCAGGTGAGTTTGCTTTGGAATGGACTAAGGAACTATACCCATAATCTCTTGACAGGTTCGCCTATTGCGGCGTGGGATAATTCTACCCGTGGGCTTGACTCGCAAACTGCCCTCGAATTCGTTCGCTCGCTTCGAATCGCTGCAGACTACGTGGGTCTCACTTCCCTCATCGCCATTTACCAGGCTTCGCAGGCCATCTACGACCTGTGCGACAAGGCAATCGTCCTCTACGAAGGGAGACAGATTTACTTCGGTCCTTGCGATGAAGCTCGGGCATATTTCGAAGAAATGGGCTGGTATTGTCCTCCTCGACAGACCACAGGCGACTTTTTGACGTACGTGTTATTTCCCGCATCTATGGACCGGCACGTCAGGCGCATTGGCTAAGGACGTCACTCTAGGTCCGTTACGAACCCAAGCGAGAGACGACCCAGAGAAGGGTTCGAAAACAAGGTTCCCCGTACGGCTACGGAATTTGAAAAGTACTGGCTCGAGAGTGCTCAGTACAAGGCATCTCGAGAGGAAGCCGAACACGCAGAAGTTGAGGCCGACGGAGAAGAAGCGCTCCAGACATTCAGAGAGTCGCATCAGCAAATGCAGTCCGATCATGTGCGCCCCAAATCGCCATATGTGATCAGCATTCCAATGCAAGTTCGCCTTTGCGTGACTCGAGCATACCAGAGACTCTGGAACGACAAGGCATCAACTATGTAGGTCGTGTTTGCGGCCTCCCGGGTTTCCTACGAAGCTAATGACAAATTTCAGCGCCGTCATCTTCAGTCAAATCGCACAAGCACTAATCATAGGGTCTATCTTCTTTGGCACTCCGCTCTCTACAGGCAGCTTCTTCGCCAAAGGCTCTGTTCTCTTCTTTGCTGTCTTGCTCAGTGCTCTGCAGTCTATTGTTGAGATCAACACCTTGTACAGCCAAAGGCCCATTGTCGCCAAACACAAGTCGTATGCCTTCTACCACCCGTTCACGGAGGCTGTCGCAGGTATTGTGGCCGATTTGCCCATCAAATTCTGCACAACTACCGTGTTCAACATCATACTGTATTTCCTGGCAGGGTTGAGGTACGAGGCGTCAAATTTCTTCATCTTCTTCCTCTTCAACTTCATGGCCATGTTGACCATGTCTGCCATCTTTCGAACCACGGCAGCGGTGACGAAAACAATTTCAGCCGCTTTGGCCATTGCTGGTGTCATGATTCTCTGGATCGTCATTTGTAAGTGGCTCTCCGCGTTTGTCTCGATGAGACCTTCCCATGCTAATGACACGTCAGACACTGGCTTTACCATGCAGCGTTCCTTTATGCATCCGTGGTTTAAATGGAGCTCCTGGATCAACCCAATTGCCTATGCATTCGAAGCACTCCTTGTCAATGAAGTTCACGGGCGCGAGTTTCCATGTGCCCCTACCAGCTTAGTTCCACCGTACGGCACTGACGACCATTTTCAATGTGCCGTCGCTGGCGCCGTGGCAGGTCAAACCACGGTTTCAGGAGATGCATGGGTGAAGTCGTCCTATGGCTATTCATATAGTCACATCTGGCGCAATCTCGGCTTTCTCTTTGCCTTTATGATATTCTTCTTCGCAATCTACTTTATCGCCACCGAAATCAATTCCGACACAACCTCGACGGCGGAATTCTTGGTCTTCAGAAGAGGGCATGTCCCATCATACTTGCTAGGCGGCAAGCATGACGAGGAGCGAATACAAGCCGATGAAAAGGGAGTCAACTCGGTCAACCCGGTCCACGAGCAGCAAGCAGACGAAGTCAAAGCTTTACCTGCGCAGAAAGATATCTTCACCTGGCGGAATGTGACTCTTGACATCAAAATAAAGGGTGAGCCTCGAAGACTACTTGACGGCGTCTCGGGATGGGTCAAACCTGGCACCTTGACTGCTCTCATGGGGACTTCAGGAGCCGGCAAGACCACCTTGTTGGATGCCCTGGCGCAGAGAATCAAGATTGGCGTACTGACAGGTGACATGGTAAGTTTTCTAACTCACGTCGGCTGTCTTTAGATCGGCTTTTTTTGACATTCTCTTTCATGGCAGCTTGTAAATGGCAAACCCCTCGATCTTTCCTTTCAACGCAAGACAGGCTATGTGCAGCAACAAGACCTCCACCTTGAGACCACCACTGTCCGAGAAGCTCTTCGATTTTCGGCCTACCTTCGCCAACCGAAATCAGTCACAAAGAAAGAGAAGGACGACTTTGTCGAAGAAGTCATCAAAATGCTCAACATGCAAGATTTTGCAGAGGCTATTGTCGGGAACCCAGGAGAAGGTCTCAATGTTGAACAACGTAAGCTCCTGACGATCGGCGTCGAACTTGCAGCAAAACCAGCACTCCTCATTTTCCTCGATGAACCCACCTCAGGGCTAGATTCCCAGAGTTCGTGGTCGATTGTGGCCTTCCTTCGCAAGCTCGCCGACTCTGGACAAGCAATTCTTTGCACTATTCATCAACCATCCGCTATCTTGTTCCAAGAGTTTGACCGACTGCTCTTCCTGATGAAGGGGGGCAAGACAATATATTTCGGCGACATTGGCCACAATTCCACAACGTTATTGGATTACTTTGAGAGGAACGGTGCTCCCAGGTGCGATGATGATGCGAACCCTGCCGAATATATGCTCGATATCTGCGGGAAGAAGTCTGACCGGGACTGGAGCGAGGTGTGGAAGACGACACCCGAAGCTGCAGAGGTCCAGGCAGAGCTGGATCGTATTCAACATGCTCAGCATCCTGCGCCTACAGGAGACGCATCATCGACGTCCGAATTTGCTATGCCGCTTACTGCTCAGATCTACCATGTCACTCACCGCGTGTTTCAACAATATTGGAGAACGCCATCTTATATCAGCGGCAAGTAAGTTTGAGACTGTACGACTGAGCCGATCCACAGAGACTGACGTGCCCTCCAGGTTTCTTTTGGGGATCATGTCTGCACTGTTCATTGGCTTTTCGTTCTACAAGCAAAACACTACCTCGACGGGTCTACAGAACACCATCTTCGCCATTTTCATGCTTGTCACGTTAGTTGAAATCTAGACCTCGACACCGATTCTACTGATACTGAACATTTGCAGGATCTTTTCGTCGCTCGTGCAACAAATCATGCCTCGATTCGTCATTCAACGATCTCTCTACGAAGTCCGAGAACGTCCATCCAAGGCATATTCATGGATTGCCTTCCTGGTCGCCAACATTGTCGTCGAAATCCCGTACCAAATAGTCCTGGCCATCGTCATGTGGGTGTCGTGGTACTTTGCGGTCTTTGGCAAGAACCAGGACAACGAAACGAGAGGGCTGATGCTGCTTTTCGTGATCCAATTCATGGTCTTTACAAGCACGTTTGCCCACATGATCATTGCCGCCATGCCCGACGCGGAGACGGCGGGGAATATCGCCACGCTACTGTTCAGTATGATGCTCACCTTTAACGGTGTCTTGCAGAGCCCGACGGCGTTGCCGGGCTTTTGGATCTTTATGTGTATGTTTCTGTGCCCCTATCCCGACTGGTCGTCCATTGCAGGGACTAAAGTATGACTCCCAGATCGAGTGTCACCCATGACCTATCTCATCTCCGGCTGGGCGGGAACCGGTCTCCGGGGCCGCCTTGTCCACTGCGCGCAGAACGAGCTGGCCAAGTTCGACCCGCCCTCTGGTCAAACCTGCGCGCAGTACCTGGCCGCGTACTTTGACCGCGGGGCGCCGGGCCAATTGTACAATCCCGACGCGACGAGTCAGTGCCAATACTGCCCGCTCACGTCGGCGGACCAGTTCTTGGCCGCCAGCAAGATTTACCCCAGCGACAGATGGCGGAACTTTGGCATTGGGTTTTCCTACATAATCTTCAACGTGAGTTCTCTTGCCCCCCCTGCTGTAGAACGACAAGACGACATATTTCTACAAGACGCTCTCCGTGCTAACCCGTGGCTTTGTCCGAACCGTCAGATCTTCGCCTGTATCTGTCTGTACTACCTCTTCCGCGTGAGACGGTTCAGCATCGTCAGCCTTGCCAAGGGCCCCGCGCGAATCGTCGATCTCGTCGTCAACAAGGGCCTGAGGAGGCTGTTTGCGAGACACGCAGAACCCACACCGCAGGGAAAAGAGGCGGAACATCACCAGGCATTCTAGGCTTGTACCTCGTATGTCGTGTTGGTCGTTTACCACGCGTGGACGGAAAAAAAAAACAGAGAAGGCAGGATCTCTGTAAGGAATCTTTGGTTCGTGTGTGATTCGGACTTTTGCTGTAAGGTTTATACTTGGAAGCCCTTTGAAGTGGGTTCTATGGAAGGAATTTCTATTAATCTAGCCCCGGACCATCCAGATGACGGTGCCGTCTTAATCTAATACTCCCCATTTTCTCTTGGGGTTCATCACTTCATTTCATTGACCAATTTTGCTCGCTTCGTTCTCGACGTCATACAGGAAGAAAAAGTCGTTGTACTCCTTTGAAAAAGTCTTTGCCTTGGGACCGGGGATGGGACCCGTATAGTACCTCTGGACCTCTGCGACCATCTTGTCCAGCGGGCCCATCATCTTGTTGGACATGGTCTGGACGGCGCTGACGCGGGGCAGCCGCAGCTTGTCGAACAGCTGGAGCTTGGATTGCACGGCGTCCGGCGCGTCGTCGACATGTTGGAAGAGGACCTGCAGCGCCCGGGCGTCTTCGAGGGCCATGGACGCGCCCTGGCCGTGGGTGGGGAGCATCAAATGGCCGGCGTCGCCGATCAGGACGGCCTTACCGCGCGAGAATCTCTCGATCGGGTCGCGCCACATTTGCGTGTAGACTTTGATGTCGGTGGCGCCCTCGCACACGGCCTGTACGGCAGGATGGAACCCCTTGGCGTCGGCCAGCACGTCGGCCAGGTCGGCGGGCGAGTCCCAGCCCTCAATGCCCTTCTCCTTGGGTTTGGTCGGGTGCACCAGCGCCACGTACAGCAGCTCGCCACCACGGCAGGGGTAGGTGTTGAGCAGCAGACCCGGCCGGCCCACCTCTGTCTTGTAGAATGTGGTGAAACCGGGCGGTTGGTTCTGGTAGAATTTGCCGGCTTCGGGGTGCGCCAGGACCTTGTCAAAGGGTTGCAGGAAGCGGTACATGGACATGGGCGACTTGCTCACGGGGTAAGGACGGCCAATGACACTGGCGATGAGTTCGCTGTGGGCGCCGTCGGCGATGACTACCAGGTCCTTCTGGACTTGTTCGCCCGTGGCCAGCTTGAGGAGACCGGTCTCGACGTCGACATCGACGACCTGCACGCCCAGGTTGATCTGGGGTGGCTGGGGCTGGCACGCTTCCACCAATGCCTTCAAGCCTGCGTGGAGATCAGCACGGTGGAAGAGCAGCCACCTGTCGCCGTACTGCTCCTTGATGTCGGTGAAGAACTCCTCCGAGTCAACCTCGACCGTGTCGGCCCTGACGCGGCGCATCTGGCTGTAATCTAGGCTGCCGGCCCTCACGAAATCGAAGCCCCATTTCGACAGGATCCTGGTGCCGTTGGGCCCAATGATGATGGCCGCGCCCGTTTCGTTGCGGAATCGGGATTTCTCGTACAGCGAGACAGAGTGGCCGGCGTGGGAGAGGGCGATGGCAGCGGACAAGCCTGCGATGCCGGCCCCGACGATGCCGACTTGCATTTGACGTGTTGGCATGATTGATGTTTTCCGAGGTCGAACTGTTGAGCGTACAATGGGGAAACGACGTCGAGGAAGTGTGCGAGGGTGGGAGGTTCTCTATCCCTATTCCTCCTCCTTTGTCGTCGTACTGTGTAGCTGCGCTATCCCAGGCTCAAGGTAAGACGAAGGGAGGGGGTGGCAGTTCTTACTGCCTCTCAGGCCCGCCACCCACCTTTTAGTTACTGGTATACGAGGTACAGTTTTAATAAAGCTTCATTTTACCTTTGGAGCCCTCCGGGGGGAAAGAAGGAAAGAAGATGGGGCAGTGGGTTGCCCTAAGGAGAAGCTTCCATCGGGTCTTGTCTTGACTAAGGAGAGCCTTTAGCCCCGGGGGACAAGGACAAGTTGCCTACCTCGTCGGGGACCCTGCATCATCATTAGCCTACGGGTACCGAATACAGACGAGTACAAACACTATAGCGGCTGGTACGGCAGTGTTTCAAACCCCCCAAAAGTGTAGGTAGGCCGGTAGGGCAGTGGTGGAGCAAAGTGGTGGTGGTGCCCCTGATAGTGACACCTCAGGCGAAGCTGCATTGGAGCCAAATGTTGACCTGCCAGCCTGCGCATGTCCGAGAATCTCATTCATTGCGCCCGTAACAAGCATCCTCCTCCACCACAATCACATCAACTCAACCCAACTCACCTTCCACCCTCTCCCACTCTGCCATTCTCTCATCAACTCTTTAGAGACGTCCGTCCATTGAATCCCAAGTCACCCAGTACCCATCACTCATCTCAACCATCATGTCCTCCACCTCGACCTCCTCGGCCGTCCTCCCCAGCCGCATCATCCTCTCCCTCCTCGGCCTCGCCGCCGCCGCAGGAGGCTACCTGGCCGACTGGAACGAAACGCACGTCTTCAACCCGCGGTGGACGCCGCACGCCAAATTCCACAACGGCCAGACCATGTCGACGGGGCTCGGCCTGGGCCTGCTCACATGGTACTACACCTGGCGGAGCACCAATGCCTCGACGCCCTCGGGCCTGCTGGACAACCTGCTCACGGCCTCGCTCATGAGCAGCTTCTACTGGGCCACGCAGGTCTCGGCCATCCTGTACCCGGGGACGAAGTGGGTGGACGACGAGTTCAAGGAGAGCCACGGCGAGCCGCAGAAGCGGGGGGCGCCCGTGTTGCTGGGCCTGAGTTGGGCTGCGTTCGGGCTGGGCTGGTACCGATTGACCAACTCGAGCAAGTCGATCGGCATTTGAAGAGATTGGTGGGAGCAAGATGGGCGTCAAGCAGCAAGCTTCGAGTGTGCCAATACAAAAGCAGTTTTGTGAGGTGGTAAAGAGCAGGATCCAGCACGACAGGCGACAGGCGACAAGCGATAGACCAGGCTGGGTTGTTAAAAAGCATCACAGACAAACATTTTATGTAAGAGAGGGCAAGGCAGGGAGGCTATGTATGTGGCTTGTCGTCGAGATGATATTATGTCGAGGCAGTCAGGTTGGCAGGAGTGGCAGGCTCATACCCCATTGGTATAATGGCAGGTATAGGTAATAAGGAGGAGTGTGCGACACGATTCAGACGTGTTTTCCCACAATGGTATGAGACGAATCAGAAGAGTAAGATCTACTTGGCGCTGTACGAGCTCCTCGCCTCGTATACATGATTCCAGAGCACCGTCTGTACCACCATCGCATATGTACCAGACACGGCACGCGTACGTCCAATAATAATTTGTTCGGCTCGCATTTCTATCTCCGACCGCGTTTTCTACGAGCAGCTCCCAAGTGTTTAGGACGTATGGAGTTAACGGGTGAGCCTTGTAGGTACCCAGTACGCTTAAGCTAACGGCTCGGCTGTGCCAACGCCGCCCGATACTCCATGCATGCTGCAGCCTCCATGCTCCTCAGCGCCCGCGACCGTGACCACAACCGCGACGCTTGGAAGAAGCTTGTCAGTCACCTCCACCAACTTCGTACCTTTACCTACCTACAAGTAAAGAAAGATACCAAGCAACCGCCAAAAGACTATTACTAGGTAAGGACTTGGGTACTCGGCTACTCCATACCGAGAGAACTCGTACTTTGATTTATGGGCCCAATACGAACGCGTACTCGGTACCTCGTAGGTACCTAGGGATTGCGTGCTTCGCCGAGCCGATGCATCGATACTTTTTTTTTATCTCCATGTACCCATTCGCATACACATCCACAATGTATGACTTTGACTCGGAAACTGAATTGACGGGCTATTCGTTCGGCGCCGACAGACGTGTCGTTCAGTTGCGATATTTTTTTTTCATCTTTGAGAGTCTTCGAGGCGTTCGTGAGAAGTCACTATATCACTATATTGACGAAAAGACCCAGGACTTGGGAATTTCTATAAAACTTGAAGAAAAGCGCTGCATATCTAGATCAAAGACGATACAACCAGAGTCCAACTATTGACAATTACAATTACAACTACAATCACTACCAGGAGAAATCACTACGCTGTTCCACAATGTCGTCTTCCACCCCCGCCACAGACACAGACACAACGACGGCGACAGCCTCGGCCAACGACCTCCTCTCCGCAATCCAAACCCGCCGCTCGTGCTACACGCTGACCAAGACGTCACCCATCCCGGACTCGCGGATCCGCGAAATCGTCCAAGCGACAATCACGCACGCGCCCTCGGCGTTCAACGTGCAGTCGACGCGCGCCGTCGTCCTGGTCGGACGGGAACACGAGAGGCTGTGGGACATTGGCGACGCGGCCCTGAAGGAGGCGATGCCCGAGCAGGCGTATGCCGGGTTGGCGGGCAGGCTTCGGGGGTTCCGCGCCGCGTACGGCACCGTGCTGTGGTTCGAGGACCAGGCGGTCCTGGATGCGCTCAAGGGGAAGAATCCCGCGCTGGGGCACGTCGTTCCGCAGTGTTTGTCTCCCTCTTCCCATCTTCCCCCGTCGATTTCTCTTCTCTCTCTCTCTCTCTCTCTCTCGCGAGAGAGAGAGAGGGACACTCCCTCCATGTGTGGAAGAATACTAACTTGCGCCCCCTTGGTTGGTTGGACTACTAGGGTCCGCCCACTCCAACGGCATGCACCAATTCATCGCGTGGACCGCGCTCGAACTCGAAGGTCTGGGCTGCAACCTCCAGCACTACGACTTCATGCCCGCCTTCACCGAGCGGGTCCTCACCCAGTGGGACCTCCCCGCGACGTGGACCCTGCATTCGCAACTGGTCTTTGGCGCGCCGGTCGACGGCCTCCTCGAGAGGAGTCGCGAGAGGACCTATCTGCCCCTGGAGGAGAGGGTAAGGGTGTTTGGTTGATGATGTCGATGACGGTCTCACGATGACGATGACGATCTCGAGGATGGGAGATGCTTTGAAGGGTGACGGGTGGAGGCCGACGGGTGACAGACGGGTCTGAAGGTCAGTCCAGTTCAGGGTTTGAGATTGAGGTTGCGATCGAGACGGACATAACTCGTAGAAATAGAGATATTCGTGGAGATAGACAAAGACACTGACTCAAGACTGTCTCCTACCTAAACATATCCCGTATAACTATGTCTATACCATTTACGCTCCTATTCGCCCCTTTATTTCGGTACTAGCTGGCCAGGTACGTGGTTAGGTACACACACACACACACACCCCTTCACCTTTCATACATTCATAGACTCTCTATACAGATTACCTGGTATCTATGTACCTAGTACTCAGGTCCCTGGATGATATCCTATCAGTCCGAATTCACATCACATCACATCACATCCACCCAACAGACACTGAACCTGAAACTGGAACAGGATCCGAGGTATTTCATCTGGCAGGGACCAGGCACACTGAATAAATATGTACTTCGTAACGCAAGATCGACGCTCAAACATGCCCACCAAAGTCAACACAACATACACAAAGTAGAAGTAAACGTTCAAATCGACCACTTTTTTCTTCCCGTCGTTACAGCATGTCTGTATGCATGTCTCCCCACAAAATACAAGCAGGCTGGGTTCGTTATATTCGCGCTCAAGTCGAGGCCTGGCGACGGACGAGGTACTCCTGTCCTATCCCGGCGAGGAGGCGGCGGGTGAAGCATGCTTTGGCTTTTGACCGCAAACGACGATTCTGTCACGGATGACATATGAGATTTCGTTTCTTTTGTTCGCGCGTGTGGACAAGGAAAAGAAAAGCCACTCACATGGGCCAGTATGCATGGATCCTCCGATCTTGCAGATCTCTCCGCACACCCGTGAGATAGGCCAGGACCTGCTCCCGTGACCACCCATGACCCCGCGACAACAGCGCCATGCTTAGACCTTCCAGGCCCTCGCCGATGTTGGCCAACGTCCACAGCCCGACGACCTTGTGCCTCGGGTCTTTGGGCCAGTGGTTCGACGGCCACTTGAAGTGCTTCACCGTCACGTTGACGAAGCCTGCCGCCACCATGTGCTCGCGGTGGCGGGTAGCGTCGCCCAACGACCGTCCCAGCTTCTCGCTGGCTTCGAGCAGTAAAGAGCTCCACTCATACATGGGCTGGCCCTCGTGGAAAGACCCGTCGTCGGTCGCCAGTGGGAAAATGCAGTCCTGGAGTTCCAGCCAGCCGCCGGGGTTCAAATTCCTGGACGAGCACAAAGAGGCACATTTTGTCAGCAACAATTGTTCGAGCGTGTAAGAGAGTCACCAACAAACATACTCGTAAGCTCGGCCGATAAAACTGGGCCAATCAGCAAAACTGCCCACCATCATTCTGCTGAAGATATAGTCAAAGTGGAACGACCATGTCCATTCTCGTTCAACGTCGTCGATCTCAAATGAACAGTTCGGTGGGACACTGTCTTGTCATCAGTCGGGGGCAGAAAGACTTCCCAACCACTCTCACGCACAGTGTAGGCTGTATCGGACTCAGATCGACGCCGATAACCTCCAAAGCAATGACAGTCAGCAAAGTTCGACTTGGTCGGTTTGTTCGTTAGATGGGCCCTGGTACCTGCGCTGCGGGGTGTTCATCAGCTGGAATCAAATCGTCAGCAACCATTCGAGCAATCCTGGACAGTTGCAGTTCAGTACCATATTGAATTGCCCATATCCCAGTCCCGGTACCAACATCGAGGACTCGCTGTGCCGTATCTGCCCCCAGTGCAAAATGGGCACGGCTCTCAAAGGTCGCTAGGAAGTGTTGATTTTGGATATCTGTCGCCAATGTTGTGATCAGTCTGCGTCTTGTTCTCTCATAATTGATGGTTAGACGTACCCAGTCGGTCTTTTTCTTGCTGATAAGAGACGGATCAGCAAAGGTACACCGACAATCCTCAAAACGAAGGGCTACCTCGTCATTCGGCAGGATGTATTCTATAAGCCCGCGTAGTTAGTTTCTGCCTGTCAACATGATAGCCAGAAAGCAGTACTGACTTCCCGCATTGAGCGCGTGGTAAGTATGGCCATTTTCGATCTCGAAATGTCGGATGGTGGACGTCAGCGAGGCAGTTGATATTTGATCTTCGCCCTATACCGCGCCTTATGTTATTGTATGTATTCTGCTGTCGGCGAACTCGGCTTACCAGGTCCAGAGCCGAGTCCTCGTCGGTGTCGGCCTGCTTGAGGCTGACGTCAATTATGCCACAAGAATAATGGGGTGAACGTGCTTACCAGAACATCGTCAACATGCTGCTCATCGTCGGGCTCCTGCATCATTGAACATAGAGCCGATCTTGCGGGTCCTCCAGATCTCGCTGAGAAGAGGAACGTTGGAAAACTTCGTTAACAACGGCTGTAAGGCGGGTTATCGTGACCTGTCTTTGCGAAGGATTCGCCTACGATTGAAGCTACCGGCCCGTTCGGCTACCAGCGGCGTCGTATCCGCCGGGAGGCTAGTCACCACCTAGGGAGCAGTATCCGGGGACGGCTTTAACTCTGAGCTCCAACTGTTGATCGGGCCAATGGACGTTTGATTGTTTGATATTTATCGATTTCTCGCATGCCCAAATGAGCGCTGTGCAGACAAAGGTACATAGGTCTGAACGTGGTCGAAAGCTAGGACTCCGGGCAAAGTCGGGCGCCAGGAATAAATCCGTTTCTGTACAAGCAGGTGGAATGCTAGGTAAACGACTCGTTGGAGCTCCATCAATTTTCAGGCCACCCCTGATTATGCCGAGTTGCCGCGTGGGTTGCCTCCCCGTCAGCACTGCGGCTCATCCCACTCGTTGGTGCTGCTATCAATGATGCTACATGGGACTCTTTCGCTTGGTGATCTTCATTATGAGGTTCGACTGCGTCATAACACCGTAGTCAAACGTGTCCATAGGATGGGCTGGATTGACCACAGTAAAGTCAAATCGTCGCAATAGCTGTTGCAGTTAGTCACAGACCTCTGATCCATGATGATGAGTACTTGCCTCGACAAAGACCTTGTTCAACTCCAACAAGGCGATAGGTTTGCCCAGACAACCCCATTTTCCCTGACCAAAAATGAGCTCAACAGTATTCTCCATGAGCCGAAGCTGCTCGCTCTGAGCGCGTAGCCATCGCTCAGGAGAAAATAAGTCTGCATCATGCCCAAAAATATGCCTGTCTCGCATCACCGAGCGTGCGCTCCAGCCAACGTTTGTGTTGGCAGGAATCCGATAGCCACAGACCACAGCATCTGAATCCGACATTCGCGGGACAATTCCAGTAATAGGTGGCCAAATCCGGAAGCACTCCTTGATGAACGCCTGCAAATATGGAAGTGCCCGTGCTTCGGTGTCTTTAATGGGGGACGATATCTGTCCAGTTTTGATGCCTCTATCGATTTCTTCTTTCAGGTTTTGATATACCAGTGGCGACGTCGAGGCATGGAATATCCCGATCCTAATTACAGTGGCAGTCGTGTCAGAGCCCGCCACGATCTGGACAAGAGACTCTGACTCGGCATCCTTTTGCGTAAGACCGTGAGCAACGAATGATCCTAGCATGTCTCGTTTGACGACCTTTGAGTCGCCGTATCGCTCGGCCACGATTTCTTTGGCAAGGCCCATGATCTTGCCGAGTCCGACGGCGTCAGTGTGCGTTGGCCGAATCGCTTTGAAGAGAGGAGACTGTAGCAAGCCCAAGAGCCAGGGCAGTAAAGCTATCATTTGCATCAGGGGAAGTGACTCTTCCGTCGTCTTGAGATAGTCGTAGAGGTCGTCATCTCTATCCATGAAGCCGAACGTCCGTCCCAATGCGAATGTGGAGATGAGGTCCAAGGTCAAGAACTGAATTTTCCGAGCGAAGTCAACTGGGCGGAAATCTGTTTCTGTCGAGAGATACTTCTCTTCGAGAAAGCGGATGAACTTTGCCGTTTGCTGGTCGATCGCTTCGTGTAGGCCTTCAATGTCTTTTCCAGAGTACTATCTCATCTCCACTTGTGAAATTGTGAACGGTGCTGGATGGAGATACTTACGCCTGGTAGAAGTTTAGATCTGAGAAGAGTGTGCAGATTGTTGTCACGTATGGATAGAGTGCAATCATTCGGTGGATCGAGCTGGAAACCCTTAAACCATGGTGCTCGATCGAATTGAGAGCGCACTCCCCATATTCTGCGAATCTCAATTGGGTCACCACAGACCAAGTATCCGGGTGCAATGCGAACGAGCGGTCCTGTCGTAGAGGTTCAATCAGTGATCCAAAGGGGATAGAATACATTCTCATTCCCCAGCGGATACTGCGCACCGTAATTGTGGCGTAAGTGATCAAGCTCCTCATATAGTGATCCTTTGAAAGCTCTGCGAAGCATCCACAGGTCAGACCAGCCGCACCAGAATGGCCCGGGAATATGCCGCAGTCGTTTCCATGCCAGAAATTTGCTAGTGATGACCAAGACCAAGATTATAGCAAGGGCGGAGAGCCAACAGGCCATGCTGGGGTACGCGGTATCTGAAAGCCTTCACTTTAGATATTGTGGCTGTATGAAAGGGGTGTAAGAACGGTCGATACAAGGAGGCGAATGTTGTGAGTTGCCAGAGATATGGTGGGTTCCAGTGGGTGCCCAGTGGATTGTCTGGTGTTCATCGATGCTGTACATGGTATCGCTTAGCGCCAAAGCATTCGAAGCGAGGGGGATCCATGCATCGGTTGAACAAAGCTCCGAGGGCCAGTGTTTTGGTGAGAGATTGGCTGCATCAGGCTTCTCTAATATCTTAAATGATATATCTCAGCTAAGTTGTATGGATTGTCAGTGTCCCGAATCAGGACGAAGCGCAGTAGCCGCGAGGTATGGATAGACTGTCGGCGCTTGAATCGTTGAGGTGTCCGGAATCAGTGTCAAGATTGCAGTCGTAGTCCTGACTGGGAACCCCCGTTGTGCCCCCTGTGGCCCTTGTGTTGCTTCTTGACTTCCCAGGTTCTCCACGTCCCCCAATTCATCATTCCTCCCAAGAAATCCCGTATGCCGTAGCCTTGCTTCCATTCCCTTTTCTGAGCCAATTCGCTTATCCTCCAGAACAAGGTTCCATCATAGCAACCTCGAAGATCCTCCTTCCACACTCTGCCATTTTTCTGGAGCAACAACCAGGTTGTCCACATTTCCATGAATCCGAAACACCAGCCAGCCATATCTGCTGCAAGTCGGTTTTTCTTCCACATGCTCCACATCTCGTCGGCACTCAGTCCGCCGCATCGTGAGGTATCCCAGCGGTCAAACATGGCGTCGAACCTGTCGGCGTGGAAGTGCCCGTCGACATCGAAAATGCCAGTGTCGGAGCCGTGCTTTGCTTTGTGAATACTTCCCACATAGATCCTGAACAAAGGATCAGGAAACCAGCTATATGCCAGGCCTGTTGGATACGAGAAAAACAAGGGTATGAGAAGCGACCCGATAGAGAAAATTACGCTAAACCCTAGATCACGGAACCCGTTGTAGACGTCCCAAGGGTAAATGATGCCGTCGTTGTCGCGGTCCCAGAAGAGCACATGCTGCTGGAGGGCGGTGAGTTCCGACTGTGGCTTGGGAGAGGAGGCCGAAGTGCCGTTACTGAGGCCGCCATGGTGACGGGGTCTGTCATGTGTTTGCTTCGAGGTAGGAGAAGCCGGCAGTTCGCTCGAAGCTGTGGATGCGGTGAAGGTGCTCATGTCTGCTGCTTGGGAATACTCAATGTGAGAGTGTGAGGGGATGGAGAAAGATGGTCTATAGCTTCGGGTCAGTCCACAATCGCACACGAAGGAAGACGGAAACCCCATGAACCACACCCAGTCAATGATGGACTTGGCCAGACAATATTTCCGTACGTACCTAGTACAATGTTGTTCGTGATATGATGTCTTTCCAGAGAATCCAGTCGCTATCTTGTCCAGTCACCGCCTTGAGATGTACCGGTCAGGCCACCTTTTTATCCCGCCTATGATCTGCCTATCTTGGAGAGGAGAAAGAGCGCACTGCAAGAAAGCTTGTTTTGTCGCGAGCAGGTACATTGGACTTGAAAGCCCCAACAAAAATGGCGAGGTATGCTAAAAAGAGCTTAGATCAGAGGGCCGAGTGAGGAGCCGGAGAAGGATGGCCACTAGGGAGGACATGATTCAAGCGCGGGAAGCGAGTGAGAGAGTGGGAGAATGAGGAAAATTGGATGAGCAGTAAACATACATCTATAGAGAGGGATCAAGGCACAATTGATGCATCATGATCACAATATCATTATCTGGATGACGAAAAGACATGTGCAAGTGAAGTATCCGTGAAGGGCTTGGCACGTATTGTGACTGTCTGACATGGCTGATTAATGACTATTGACGCACAAATACCCCTTGTATCTGTTGAAATGACCACCGCCTACCCCCCTCTCCATCCTCTCTCACACATTCACCCTCCGCTCAAAATCCGCCTCTCACAAAACTCCAAACCATCCCACTGGCCACTGGTCCGACAATGCTGCTGCTACCTATGTAATAGCCAACCAGACTCAATGGGCGACCCAATGGAGAAGCCAGACACAGATCCTTCCGTTCAACCAAATCATGCAGGAGACGATTACGAAGTGCCCACATACGAAGCACACTCTTCCTTTGACAGCTTGAAACAGCGTATCCGGCACCATTATGAAATAGCTTCAGACTATTATTACTCCCTGTGGTACGTGCTGTTGAGCAGAAACATGGACTCGCGCTCTCGTGTCTATCCCATCGAGCTTGTCCTTCTGACCGTACACCAGGGGCCAGCACATCCATCACGCCTACTTCCTCACCCCTGAAGACACCAAGGAGACGGGCCAAATTAACCTCATCAACCTTCTGCTCGACATCTCCAAGCTTGCACCCCAATCCACGGTTCTCGATGTTGGGTGCGGCATCGGTGGAACTACCCGGCATTTGGCACGTGAAAATGGCTGTACTGTGACCGGCATTACAATCAGTGGACGACAAGTCCAGATCGCAAAACGCCTCACGAGCGATGAAGCCGCCCGAGAAGCCAGAGGTGCCTCTTCAAACTCGGCAGCGGCTCCGTCCCAAACCCCCCAAGGCACAGACACCTTCATACCCCTTGGGCCCAAGAACGGCAAAGTCCACTATTTCGAACTCGATGCAGAAAAAATGGAAAGCAGGTTTGATCCTCAGTCGTTCGACTGTGTCTGGATCTCCGAAGCTCTGTCCCACTTCCCCGACAAGCCCTTGTTCTTCTGGAACGCTGCACGCGTGCTTCGCCCGAACGGCAAGCTCGTGCTAGCAGACTGGTTCAAGTCCGCGCCCTTGACGCCCGAGCAAATGGAGAACGACATCAAGCCCATCGAGGACGGCATGCTCCTCCCCCCTCTGAAAACCATGGCTGAGTACGTGTCCATGGCCGAGTCCGCGGGTCTGCGTGTCTTCCACGAGCCAAAGGACATCTCCCAGCAAGTGGCCCGCACGTGGGACATCAGCTGGGAACTAGTCAGCAACCCCAGCCTATGGGCGTTTGCCATCTCCCAGGGGAGGGATGGGCTCGCGTTTTTGCAGGCCTTCCGGGCCATGCGGCGCGGGTACAGTAACGGCACTTTTCGGTACGGGGTCATGTGTTTTGAAAAAGCGTGATGTTTTCTAGATTGCGCATATTATAATACAGATGTCATATACTCCGTAGAAGCGCAAAGAAAGACAAGAAAGAGGATGATGACCACCGTAATGTTGAACGTCTGCATATACGGTACATTGGTTTCAATAGTCCCCAGTAATGTCAATAGAACCTCAGTAGTATTTTCCAGAGAACCACATCTCCCCGCGACGAGCAGAATCGCGAAGCAAGGGAGAATACTGCTCGCTCGAAGAGATGATTTAGAAGATACATAGACACACACAAAACACGACTATCTGGTCGACACCGTTTGTACCTATGTACCTTATATAGTATGTAGTATGTAATATGATTTTTCTAATGTGATGTAGTGAATGTTATTTTATTTTGTTTGTGACGAGGTCCATCGCTTTTGTTTCGCTAAGCCTACAAAGTTTTGCTATGTACCGGATAATATGTATGTATGTACGCATGAATACTTCAAAAAAGAAATGGTCCTAAACGTTTCATCCATCCGTGCTATGCAGAACCGTGCAAGAAAAATCATGATTGCCAATCTGGAAAGATGCCTCGACAGAGATCAGGCAAGGGGCATAGGGAGAGAGAGACATACACCTAGGTTTATGTATATGTATGTCTCTTTCCCTACCGCTGTCCAAACAAAGGGTCTGATATTGGGCAGAAGCAGACAGGAGACACTCTTTACTCGTCATCGCTCTCCTCCTCGGCCGTGTTCTCGTGGAAGTTCTTGCCCTCGGTCGTCTCGTTGATGACGCCGGCGCGGATGGTCCAGTCGCCGAACCTCTCCCCCGGATTGCGCTCTTTGGCGTACCGGCCCAACAGACCCCGCATGATCTCTAGGATCTCGTCCTCCTTGATGCTGCTGCGGTACAGCTTGTTCAGACGCTGCCCGTGGTAGCCGCCGCCCAGGTACATGTTGTAGGCACCATAGGCCTTGCCGACAAAGGCGGCCTCGGCGACCCAAGGACGGGCGCAACCGTTGGGACAGCCGGTCATGCGCATCACGATCGAGTCCTGCGACAGGCCATTTTCTTCCAGGCAGGCCTCGAGCTTACTGATCAGTACCGGCAGATATCGCTCCGACTCGGCCATGGCGAGACCGCAGGTTGGGAAGGCGACGCAAGCCGAGCTTGACAGACGCATACCCGAAAACTGCGTATTGTCGAGCTTGTACTTCTTCATTAGCTCCACAATGGCGGGTTTGGCCTCGTCGGTCACATTGGACAGGATGAGGTGCTGGTTGCCCGTGAGTCGGAACTCGCCTTTGTGGATCTTAGCAATCTCTCTCAATCCCGTCCGCATGGGGAAATCCGCCGTGTCCTCCACGCGGCCGTTCTCGATGAAGAAGGTAAAGTGGTTCATGCCCTTTTCGTCGCGGAGCCAGCCAAAAGTGTCGATGTTGGACTCGAACTTGTAGGGTCGAGGCGTGTCGAAGGCGATGCCCAGCGGTTTAAGGAGCTCTTCAACTTTGGACTTGAAGACTTCATTGCCCATGTCGTCCATGGTGTACTTTAACCGTGCGTGCTTGCGGTTCTTGCGGTCGCCGTTGTCGCGTTGCACGAGCATGATCTTTTCGCACACCAGGTGTGCCACGTCCGCTGGGACATAGCCCATCATATATCCTAGGCGAGGGTAGGTTTTCTTGTTATTGTGTGTTACACCCATACCGCCTCCAGCGGTAATGTTGAAGCCCTCGAGGTGACCGTTATCCTTTGACCGAATCGCAATGAGCCCAACATCGTGAGCGTAGACGTCCGTATCGTTGTGGGGAGGGATGGCGATGGTGATCTTGAACTTTCGCGGGAGATAAGTTGGACCGTACAGGGGTTCGAAGTCTTGCACGGCGTCACCAGCGACTTGCGTCTTCTCACCAGTGGTATCGTCCTTCAACCAGATCTCATGGTAGGCCGTGGTGGAGGGTAGGAGATGGTCAGATATCCTCTTTGAAACGGCATGGACTTCCTGGTGATATTCGGACAAAGTCGGCGAGCTTGAACACATGACGTTTCTGTTGATGTCTCCACAAGCAGCGATTGTCGTCATCAGCGCCTTGTTGATGGCTCGCATAGCCGGCTTGAGCTTCGACTTGATCACCCCGTGGAATTGGAAGGTTTGTCTTGTGGTAAGTTTGATGGTTTCGTTGCCATGCGCCGAAGCAATTGCGTCCATCTGAACCCACTGTGAGGGAGTTGCGACACCTCCTGGTAGTCGGCATCTGATCATGAATGAATAGGCGGGCTCAAGGCCTTGTGCTTTTCGCTCATCGCGCAGGTCACGATCGTCTTGTTGATAGGTCCCGTGGAACTTGGTGAGCTGCTGATCCGATGCGGAGATGGCACCGGTTGATGTATCCAAAAGTCCTTCCACAATGGTGCCGCGGAGGTAATTTGACGCCGCCTTGATGTCCTCGTTGGTCAACGGCGGTGGCTCTTCGGGCAGTCCTTCAACATTGGCAACGTTGAGTGCGTGCCAGAGTCTCGGCTCCCACTCCTGATACCCAGTCTGAAATCCATCGGGGTCCTGATCGTCACCCAGGCCAATGGCGGTCAACAGCTTGCCTCCAAGAAATTGCACACGAGTGTCCAAATCTTTTCCGGGCTTGTTGTAGAATATCTTGTCCTCTTTCCGTGGCCAGTAGTGGCTGTCCCCAAGGGCAAAGACCGAGTAGTGGACGTTGGAGAGATCCAGGTCCGCAGCGTCTTTAATACCTTCCCAGAATGCACGACCATTTTGCGGGAATTCACCTTGTCCTGCTGTGCTGCTAATGAACACGACGTTCTCCTCGTTTGGAAGGTCCTCAAGAGGATAATCGTCCATGGCGAACACCATCGTCTTCAGCCCACGAGCTTTACCCCGGTTGCCGAGTCTCTTGGCCAACCCTTCAGCATTACCATTGTCAGAAGCGAACAGGATCGTCAGTGGCGCTCCGTACAAGCCTTCTAACATCTGTTCGTATGCGTCCTTCGCTTTGCGTTTCTGCAGCTTGCGGACCTCAGAACCGTACGATTCCGAAAGGTTTGCGGCAAACTGAGGATGGCGGTTCATCACTTGTGTGAGCTGGTTATCGCGGCGCAAAAATTCCTCCAACTCACGTTTTATGCGTTCGGAATCGAGCGAAAAGGAAGGTTCCCCCTTGTCTTCATTGGAAGGATCCCACCTGTACAGTGGCCAATAACCCATGTCGACGGCTTTCTTTGTTTCTTGCAGGACGGTGAGAGGTGAATCGGACTCCTTGTTGTAAGGGAGATAAGCCAAAACAACCGAAGGTCCATTAAATCTTTCAGCTTCGATCATCGCTTGCAGGACTTGGGTGTAAGAACTGTACACAGCCACTGAGGCGACATAGGCATTGCCAAAGTTCATGGCATAGAGACCAATGTCCTTCTTGCGTCTCATTGCATCTGCGGCCGCTCGTTCCGAGTATGGCTCCGAATCGATGATGAGCATGTTAACATTGGCACCTGAGGCGAGGACATGATGAACTCCAGAATTGCCCAAATCATATGCCCAAGCATCGGAGCCAATCAGCCACTGTGATTCCTTGAAAAAGAACGACTTTTTGTCGAGGAGAGAGCCAGCCAGCCTTGAGCCATCTGTGGACAGGCGCGCAACCACTTCTGGAGCAATTTCGTTTGCTTTTGCAGAGTCGTTCGCGTTCAGTGCCCATCGAGACAACCACTGCTTGGGAGACTCCGTGATAAACTGATTGCTCCGGGCAGCTCCTTCAACCTCTTTTACAAATTCTTGTCGGCGTTCAGTGCGGGCAAGCAGGGATCCAAACCCATACTCGGGTGATGCTGCAATCGTAGAGGAGACGCCTGCATTCTTTTTGTCGAGCAAATTGGCAATGTAAAGTCTGGTGCTGAATAACTGGTCAAGGATTTTGAGATAGGCATTCTCCACCTCAGGTTGTTCAGGGGTGAAGCTGTCAACCGTGGGTTCCACCTCGTGGCCAATACTCAGGTTCTGAATTGAGATGGCTGCAGCCTGGGAATATCCACGACGGCGGGAGTGCTTTCGGGGTGTGACAGGAGGTGCGAGGTTTTGGAAAATGCCACGGAGTGCTTGCAATGCCGTCGATGCATCAATCTGACCAAGTCGGTATTGGACCAGAGAGATTGCACTTTGCCCGCCAGTTCCAGGGTTCAAACTTGACAGCAAATCCAGGAATGAAGGTCCCCATTTCGTAGTCTTTCTCCGGATCTGTTCCAGTACTGCTATCTTCTTGATGGTTTTGGGGATGGAGTCCAAAAGGACAGCGCTTCCAAGCCATGGCCGGTACAACCGCGCAGTGATTATACCGAGGCTCGAAAGATCGGCTGGGACATCATCAGCGTCAAGGACATCGACGAATACTCCAGTTGAGCCAAAGATATAGAGCGCCGCTTCAGCGTCCGGAGGTCCCGAATACTCAATTGCCGAATAGCTGCGACCAGTGAGATGAGAGATGGCAGCCCAGATTTCACTGGCGTAGCTAAATATGTCGGTAGCGCTCACAGCGCGAGAAACCGGAGTCTCCACTGTAGTCGCCAGCGACGATGGTGCGGTGCTGCCTGAGGAACTCTGTCGTCGTGAAGATGAAGAAGCAGCCGACGATATGTCGGTCTGACCGTTGGATGACGCAGGGATAGCAACAGGTGACAGGACCTCTCTCGGCGCCGCTTCGGATGCCTGTGGAGGAGCAACCTCTGGCAGACCAAGATCAGTGATGGTGGCAGTTCTTCCGTTACTGGCATAGAGCGTCTGTTCTGTTTCACCCGTGTGCGAAGCTTTAACACCAGTATCCAGAAGTGCTTGAACCAGCTCGCGACTTTCGACGGCGATTGGATTGTCCTGGACGGAATTGCTGGGGTCGTAGAAGTGAATGACACCTTTCCCGCTTCTCACAGCCAGTGCATGAGCCGTCAATGCAATATCCTGTGCCTCTTGTAGTGTCTCTGACTGCAGGAAAGTAAAGCCGCATTGTCTTATTGAGCTGATCTCTGAGAAGTCTGGCTGAGGCGTTGCCAGCGAGACATGCAGGACAACTGGATATTGGGCGAGCTTATACAAATGAGGTACCGAATTCAACAGGATAGAGGAAGGGGCCGTAACCGACACCAATTTGCCGGCCTGGAGGGGCGTGTACGCAGAGAGTAGCGGATCCGCATTTTGGCGCACAGGAACGATCTCGGGAAGGGTCTTGGAGACGAAGTTCTTCGAGCCGTTGGCGATAAATCGGGAGAAATGATATGAAAACTCGGAATCAGTGCTCAGCGAAGGCTGGACGGAGAGAACGACATCGCTGGCGAGGTAGGCGATTCTCGCAACTGTCCAACAATGAGCTTGTTAGTTTCTTCAATGACAACCAGAGCGGGGAACCATGAAACACATGCAGGGAAAAAAACACATACCAGCTTCTGCGGGGCTGGCAACGGACCCCATGTCGCTTGTCGCTTGTTTGATGGTCTAAGGGAACGACAGTCAACGAAGCATTCAAGGTCGAAGAAAAGCAGAACAGGAAGAAGAGGAATCGACTGAAATGTAATACTTGAAGCAATCTTGCCCTTCCGCACTATTCTCCGCTTTCTCATGCCTCCACAAGAGCCTCGATCACCACCGGTACGCAAAAGCAGCCTCTCAAATTTTTGCTGCTACGGCTGTCGGTCTCGTCATTCGCTCTCCCGCTGCTCTGATTGGTCGCCTCCCGATTGCGACATCGTGTGCCGATGGATCGTGACGGCGACGGCACCAACGGAGTGCGAAAGTCTGAAGGAGAGATCGGTCACAATTAACAAAATAGATAGACTTGCCTAAATCAGACAGAAAGGTGAGATTTGTGGAAGCGTGATTTGTGTGTATCTGTCTACGTTTGGGAAGCCATCCCAATTCGACTTTTCTGGTGCCTCCGAACTCCTATTCGGACAATATCTTGGGATGTTCCACTCATTTTTGGGGGGGTTATCTCCGGTAAAAAGATAACCAAGGGTACCGTGAGCAACTAGGAACGATGTTCAGGATTCTCGAGAAGGACTGAGTAGGTATGTGTGTAGGTATATCTTTTCTACCTCGGAGGGATTCCATAGTCGGCAATGCTGCCTAGTTGAACATCCACCAAGGCAGCCGCGAGACCTGAAATGGATGCTCGACCCTTAGTGGCCCTTAACGATCCCTAATAGGGCCCTAATGGTATTTTCAGAAAGGTGTCAGGGTCTAATGCCAAGCTTATTTAGTCCCTAACCAATAAAAGTGTCGACAGTAACTTGTTCGCATGTACCTAGTACTAACTAGGAAACTCCTTTACCGACCAACTCTTTTTACAACACCTCTCCTCAACCTCCCTCCATCTGGGTCAAATAAGCCTGGGCCAGCTTTCTCCTCCGTCAGCTCCCCTCCTCCTTGTCTCCCTGATGTATGAAAACTCGTCAGTGACGTTAGCCGAGTTTGTGCATTCGGACGGAACAAGAGTGACGGACAAGATCATCGGAGTAGGTGGAACTGGCATTGTGATCCAGAAGGGCCAGTATGCAATTAAGATCCCTCGACTCACCAGGGAATTCGACGACGATGGAGGTGTTGCATTAGACGAAAGCATGGCTCCCAAAGAGGGCGAATATGACCTACTGGCTGATCTTGTCGGCTCATTGGAGCGCGAGCGCGCCATATACAAACGACTCGGCAGTCACCCTAGCATCATGCGATGCTATAACTTATCCTCGGCTGATCCTTCGATTCAGATGGATCTTATCGTGAATGGTGATCTTCGACATTACTTGGCCGCGCTCGACACACCCCCGGGAAAAAAGACGCAGCTGTCCTGGCTTATCAACATGGCACAGACACTGGCATATATCCATCAGCGACGTGTTATAGTCGCCGATATCCGCTTGGACAATCTGTTGGTTGATGACCAATTAGCCATCAAGTTCACTGATTTCGGAGAATCAACACTAATGCCCCTTCATTGGGACCTCCAAGGCGATGACGGGGATGGCTACTCAATTTTGACCGATATTGGGCAATTTGGCGCAATAATGTTTGAGATTGTAACCGGTCAACGTTGCAAATTCGATCCCATGCAGGACTGGAAGGATGTAGGCGACCCAATAACTTTGCCGACACGAGACACTATACCATCAACGAGTAACGTATGCCTCGGCCATATCATCGAAAAGTGCTGGACCCAAGAATTCGGGTCTACAAACAACCTCGTAGTAGAGCTACAGAGTATGGTTGTGGATGAAGATTGAATGCCGAAGTTTGCTAGGGAATGAAACAGAGTCAGGCGCCTACGCATGCCACACAAACGCTTCGTCCGACCAGGACCACTCTGTTTAGAAGAATGTTTACTCGCTTCACCAAGAACTGGGACGACAAAATGTGAGCCATATCATCGAGCAAGTTCATCAGCCTCATCCACGGTCAGGCAGGGAAACCGTCCCAACCATCAATTGGAAGACTACCGATATTCCAATGGAAATCAAACCACAAGACCGAGAACTGGTGGGAGAGGATATGGACTGCGAGGCTATGTAATATTCTGGTCAAGCAAATGGTCGGAGGCACTCCGAAATGGAGGGCGGGATAGTGACTCAAACACTCAACTGCGACAATTGCCGGGTTGGCTTTGAAGGGCCTGGTCGAGATATTGTAGGATATTTCATAGCGTGGAATTTATGTCTGAGGTGGTCAACGTGACCAACACCGAGTGCCGGAGGTGGAAAATTGAAAAATGGGTGGCAGCCATGCACCGCCGCAGCCTTGCATGATTTTAACCCGCAGCCTTGGCGCGCGTCATTCGCGGATTCTTTTTGTTGCGCGGTCTCCAGGCCCGAGAAATAATTTCGTGCAACAGATTGGGCTGCTGGCCTGAACCACCACCCAGTGTATTCGTTGTTGTCAGTCCAGCTACCATGGCCGACGATGACGATCCTGTCATTGCCTCCTACGATGTTTGTTTGACAAGCAGCTTCTCGGCAGCCGCCAGCGATTCCTCCAAGTTGTACCTCCTCCAGTATCCCTCCCACCGCTCGTACAAATATCCTTACAATGCCTCAGTGGGACAAACTCCAACTGCCCTTCGTCTTAAACCAGATGCTGGATTCATAGAAGTTGATGTCCCCATGAATAAAGACGAATACTACAATGAAACTGCTGCGGAGAGATTTGGGAAAGCCATGGCCGAGAGCCGCACGATCAGCGTGGGAGGTTCGTTTGGTTTGGCTGGTGGGTTTGGGGCGGGCACAACACAAGCCAGACTGAAGGATATTCCTGTACATGATCAACCTACCATTCCTGCGCCGTTGCTTGAGACCCAGACGCTGGGTGGCAAGATACCGAACCAGAGCACCCGTGATCCGATTTACCTTGTTGGGTCCCTCCACCAAGACCAAATCCACCTAACCTACTTGGATGCTGTTGTGCAAATGCGCCCTCAGCTTCATCACATTGATGCTGAAGATGAGACCAACCAGAAGCGATTTGCAGGTGGCAATAATGCTGGTTCATCCCGCCAAAAGCCTGGCTTAGAACCACCGGCGCCCAAGGTAGAGTCGAAAGCCATCGAAATCAAGATCAGAGACACCAAGGATGATACCAAGGATCGTACAACGAATGACAACGCGAAGCAACTGCGAGATATCCAAATGGATCAGTGGCAGAAATATGAATGGGTGGACGAAGACGAGCCTAGTGCTAAGGTCTTATTCGACTCGCGGATGCGCCTTGTATCGGATCCACTGCACACTCCTAAGTTACAAAGCTGTATCAGCAACGGCGACTGGTTGGACAAGATGAGTGCGCCCAGAGAAGATGGCAAGAAGGGATTGTTGGCCAAGTTGCGCGGGCGAGAACGAGAGCGAGCGCGGAGGAAGAAGGCTGAGGAAGAGAAGCGACAACGTCAGAAGGAGGCCAGCGGCGCAGAGTCAGCCAGCCATGGGGCGCTCATAGGCATGAGCGACGACAGCGACTTGAGCAGCGCAGATGTTACAGACGACGACATTCCAGAAGAAGATTTGGCTGGAGGAAAGGACGTGGTGGATGAGGTTCGGATCAAACAAGAGCCCGCTGCACCTTTCCCACAGTCCAGGAGGAACCTAATTTCATCGGCTACGAAACCTGGTTCAAGCAATCCTCCAAAGAAAAGAGGGCGACCGAGGAAGAACCCGCCTACTGACTCGATACCCCTTGGAGACTAAGCCCCGGAACTAATCTGCTCATCCCATCCACCACGAGCGGCTTAATGGTAGTTGGTAAGGGAGGTGTTTGCGGTCTCTTCTCACGCTCTCGAGAAGAACGATGCTAAGATTTGCGAGGTAATGACGATACCCCTTGAGATTATTATCCAGGCTGAGGTTGGGTCCTAGTCCCTGCCTTGATGATCATTTGAAAAATCTTCAGATCCTTCTTTGCGTCCTTCGCCGTGGTCTTCACTTCCTTTCCGTGGGCAACCATCTGGTACAGTTCCTTCATTTCCAAGGTATAAGGATCTTCATAAGTCCGCTTGATGGTCGACTCTCTGTATACACCGTCGACATTTTCACACACCACCATGCTTACGGGCAGACCCTTGATATAAGGGGTGTCATATTTGACCCGGACGGACTTGGTCATGCTATACACCTCAATGTGTGCATCAAAGCGAGGAACGTTGTCGATACCAGATTCATATGTCGCCGAAAAGGTGGGGTATTCCAGCATTGCACTGAGAACGTCAGTGAACTACTACTCGACGCAAAATGCGTTCGATTGTGTTCGGGAAGCAGGCATACCTCCAGAATGGAAGATTGATGGATGCGCCAATGACACGTTCTGGCATTCCGAGGGCTTCTCTCATTGCTGATAAGTCATGGGAGCCCAAGCCACCTAGCAGTCGCCACATGCTCGTCGACTCTGGATTGACGGGTATCCCACATTCGACCGACAATGCTTGATGTACTATTTCTGACGCCCTATCGTTTTTGTCCTGCATGACTTCAGGTGTGAAGTCTGTGAACACCTTAGGGAATGTGCCTGATTGCGCGACAAAGTGGCTGTTAGGACCGATGATATCTGTTTAAAGTGCTGCCATTCAGCGTTTATGCTCGTAATGACTTGAGACAAGAGCATAATGTACCTCTCACTCGAGCATACAGAATCTTATCCATCCCACCAATTTCTTTTATCATGTCTAGAAACGCTGCAGCATATCGACGCATGTAGCCCACCATTACTTTACCTTTGGATCTTTCCTCGGCATCGATAATAGCGTCAGCATCCCTCGAGCACAGCGCCATCGGCTTCTCGACAAACACATGCTTGTCATGTCTCAGCCCTTCTATCACGTGCATAGCATGATACTCATCCGAGCTCGCGATGAAGACCAGGTCGACATCCGGGGAAGCGCAGAGCTCGACCGGGTCTTGTGTGGTTCTGGGAATGTGGTTGATGACCTTTTGAGCATTGTGCCTGAGAGATTCTGCTGACACGTCGCACAGGTACGTGATGGTAAAGAAGTCGGAGAGGAAACCCAGTGTTGAGATGTGTGCCACCTGTGTTATCTCGCCGCAGCCTATGATTCCCACCTTGACGAGCTTGTTGGTGGCCATATTGACAATAGATTGTGGGAGAGTACGAGGTAGATTGACTACTTCGACTGTTGGTATTCAATAGAGCGTCAGGCTGGATGGACTCGGAGATCCCTTTTTCCTCCTCACCATCCAGGTGGGGCCGAGTGTATTGAGATGGCCAACATTATTGGCTGCTTGAGATTAGGCACGTGAGCCGGGACCCACCGGCAGAGCTCCCTCCAATCCTCGCAGGTGCAGCTGCTCCTGAAGCCAAAATGATTTTTTGCCATGCGCTCCAAAAGTCACTCCATCTTCTGTCTGTTCACGAGGTTGTACCATCACCGCAATTGTGTTTCTTTTTCATCTATTTAGGGTAGCGGAGGGCTTCTGTGATGATAGATTTGTCTGAAAATTCTATCATTGCAGCTTCTAGCCACGGTCTTGCATCTGGGTTTGCGCAATGCTGCGCACGCGAGCTGCGGCCAATTCCAAGTATGCCCTTCAGTATGTCCAACAGGCGGCAGAAAGGATACAGCTCCCGTGGCTGTGTCCCGCCCTCGCTCAGACCTATACTGCCAGACAGCGGCACAGATCAATAACCACACGTCCTACGGTGTCGCGGTCAAAAACCTTGCCAGCACCCATCACCCAATCGAGGCATCTCGCCTCCCCAGCGTCCGCACACGAGAACTTTGACCGCAGCGATGATTATATCCCTTTTACCTACGGTAATCGAGAATATCCCACATCTCGAAACCCACATCGAACCTCCAGAAGTGACCTGTCGCCTTTTGACCTCTCTCAAATATTGATGCTCGATGCCGCCGATCTTGTCGAAGACCATGCCGAGAATCATGCGGGCAACAACAAGCTGCGAAATATTGACGAAATCGAAGCCACCCTAGACGCATGTCTGCAAGTCCACCGATGGGACCGGGCATTCACACTCCTGTCGCAGTTGAGCCTCTTTTGTCAAAACAATCCCTCTCGGTTGCGAAACTCCTTCAATCGCGTTCTTGCAGCCATGGTGGACGATGTCATATGGAGTCGCACTGCCGACCATGAAAAACGAATAAATGAATGGATCGAGGTGCACATGAGAAAAGCAGACCTCGAACCAGACGCTCATACTTTTGCGCTGAAATTGAAGGTGGCTCTGGAAACCCTGGTCGGGTCCAAGAGGGACCGAACAGTGCGTCGCTACTGGGAAATGACAAAAAGATATCAATTGGAGAGCAAAGTTCTGAGTCTGCGAGATGTTCTGGATGATAGAGATCTAGGGAGACTCTCTGAAATCTGCACAATCGAGGTCTCGACTCGTCTACCTGAACAGGTTACCGACATTGCGCCATTGGATTCCGTGCGGGTTGGATCTTTGGGAAAGGAACAAGTGCATGTTCGGGAAACAGAACAAAAAGGGCTGGGCTTGTCGTCGCTCAAACGCTCGCTGTCTCTTTTCACCGAACCGACAGAGACCACGGTCGAAGCAAGGTCGGCAGAAGAAGATCCCCTTACACAGAGACAACGACGGCTGGAGAGAGACGCAATTCAATCCGCGCTCGATCGATGGAAGGCCGAGTTCCAGAAAAGAGCTAGCATAGGCATTCTGCCGGCGGATCTTGCCCATGGCGAAATTGGAGCTTTGCTCTGGCAGTGGCATGAGATCATGGCCGAAAAGATTAAACAAGAGATCAAACTTGCTAGGGAAGAGGATGACCTGCCCGGCCCAAAGTCAGCACAACAGAAACTCCGTGCAGAATGTTCTCCATTTCTTGAGCTGCTTCCGCCAGAGCATGTGGCGGCTGTCACCTCCATCGCTCTGATGCAGATCATGAGCAAAGTCGGCGCATCAAAGTCGGTCAAGCTGGTCCGGCTGGTCACCTCCCTTGGACAGACGCTCGAAAATGAATACAATGCGACGAATATCAATCGAGAAAGAAATGCCGTGCGCAAGGCGAAGAGACAAGGAATTATCGAGTCCCCGTTCGAACATGATGTAACGCTATCCTCGCATCTGCACAGACGTTCGTCACACCACGCAGCTCGACCTTTTGTGTACAACAAAGAATGGACCAAGGCAATACACGGGAAGGTTGGGGCTGTACTTTGTGAGCTTATGTTTGAGACAGCCAAGATCACGATCAAAAGAAAGGACCAAAACACTGGCGCTACGCTATCGATGCCTCAGCCCGTCTTCTTGCACTCTACCGCATATCAGAATGGCCGGAAGGTGGGAATGGTTTCCTTGCACGAAGACTTTGTCAGGCTCCTTGTCAGCGAACCCGCAGAACATCTGATTGCCAAGCAACTGCCAATGGTGTGCCCGCCAAAGCCCTGGAAAGGCTTCTTTGACGGAGGCTTTCTAGAGTCCAAGCAGCCATTTCTGAGAATCAAACAGAATGAAACTGCACAAAAGGACTACGGCATCGCTGCTGCAAGTCGAGGTGATCTAGACCAGCTTTTTGCGGGTGTTGACGTCCTTGGCAAGACGGGCTGGCGAATCAACAAGGATGTGTTCTCAGTCATGCTCGAGGCTTGGAATAGCGGCGAAGAGGTCGCCAACCTCCCACCTCTGAACAAAGTTTTCCCTGAGATCGAACGGCCTGGCGAGAATGCCACGCAGAAAGAACGATGGGAATGGTTCTCCAAGATGCGCGCAATGGACAACGAGAGAACAGGCATCCACTCTAACCGGTGTTTCCAAAATTTCCAGATGGAGATCGCAAAGGCTTACCTCCACGAGACGTTCTATTTGCCACACAATATCGATTTCCGTGGTCGCGCGTATCCCATCCCACCATATCTCAACCAAATGGGCGCCGATAATTGTCGAGGACTCTTGTTGTTCGATAAAGGCCGTGAGCTGGGTACTGACGGACTGCGTTGGCTCAAGATCCATCTCGCCAATGTTTACGGCTACGACAAGGCTAGCCTGTCTGATCGAGCTCAGTTTCCCATGGACAACCTCGACGACATTTATGACTCGGTTAAAAATCCTCTCAGCGGAAGACGTTGGTGGCTCACCGCAGAGGATCCGTGGCAATGCCTGGCAACTTGTTTCGAATTGACCAGTGCTCTCGGAAGCCCCGATCCCACGAAGTTCGTCTCGAGGCTACCGATTCACCAGGATGGCTCGTGCAATGGACTGCAACACTACGCTGCCTTGGGTGGAGATCTCGCTGGAGCCCGGCAAGTTAATTTGGAACCAGGCGACAAGCCTGCCGATGTGTACAGCGGCGTGTGCGAGCTGGTCAAGGCCGAGATCAAGGAAGACGCTGCCAAGGGAGACTCACTGGCAAAATTGCTTGATGGCAAAGTTACACGAAAAGTGGTCAAGCAGACCGTCATGACCAATGTTTACGGGGTCACCTTCCTTGGAGCGATTCGACAGGTGCGAAAACAGGTTGAAGTCCTCATCCCCGAAGTCGAAGCTGCTGGGCTTTCAGGCAAAGCATCAACGTATATTGCAAGAAAAATCTTTAGGGGACTTGGTGCACTGTTCACCGGAGCCCACGAAATCCAGTACTGGTTGGGTGATTGCGCCAACCGTATCAGCTCATCGATCTCGCCGGCTCAGCAAGAGAAAATTTATGAAAAGGCTGCCTCTGGCATCCCAAAGACCAAAGAGCGATCAGGCCGAAGCAAAGCCAAGGGCAAAGAAGTATTGGAATCTGCCGCGTTCCGATCTCCTGTCATCTGGACCACGCCGCTCAAGCTGCCGGTGGTGCAGCCGTATCGCATCAACAAGGGATTGACTATCCAGACAAATCTTCAGAGTATCACGCTGGCTCAACCGAGCGTAGCAGACTCTGTTAACAAGAGAAAGCAACTCCAGGCGTTCCCTCCAAACTTCATCCACTCCCTTGACGCAACGCATATGATCCTCTCGGCTTTGAAGGCCAGCGAACTTGGTCTCAGCTTTTCTGCAGTACACGACAGTTTTTGGACCCACGCCGCCGACGTCAACTCTCTCAGCGAACTTTTGCGAGATGCTTTCATTCGAATGCATAGCGACGACATCATTGGGCGGCTTGCAGCTGAATTCAACAAGCGATACGATGGTCACTACTATTTAGCGCAAATCAATAAGTCCAATGTGCTTGGCAAGGCCATCACCGAGTACCGCAAGCAAATGGTTGCTGAGGGCGTCTTCCCTGCAGGCAATGGCTCGAAGAGCATCCAGCAAAGACGACATGCCGAGTTGTTGCGAGAAATCCGAAAGAAGAAATTGATGGCCAGTGAGGACCCTAAAGAACAGGAAGAAGGTCAAATGATGGTGACCGCAGCGAGTCTATATGAACAATATGATGGAGACAAGTATCTGTTTCATCGGGACTCTTTGGGAGAGACAGCCATTGGCGCAATCCCCGAGACGATGGAGGGAGCCAAAGGAGAGATCGTGGATGCGGCTCTCGATGCAAGCGAAGTGTCTGAGGACGTCGACCTCGCAAGCACGCTGGATCCGCTCAGAGATTCAGTCGCCAACGACAATGACGACGATACCATCGACGTCGGCAAAGCCGGCAATACTATGAGAGATGCAACCGCAACTGATCCAGTCGCCAAGGCACATCAAGTTGCGGTAAATGCCTTTGGCCAGAGACTCCGAACACAAAAGCGGAAGACTGGGCAGAAGAGCCAGAACAACCAAATATGGCTGTGGTTGCCCATGAAATTCAGGCCTGTGCCGAAAAGGGGTGACTTTGATGTTAAGAGGCTGAAGGACAGCACTTACTTCTTTTCATGACTGTATTACATTCTGGAAACCAGTAGAAGAGGAGGCGCCTTTTTTGTGTGGTGCTGGTTGCACCCAAGATGACATTTATAACAGCAAGGAGTTTGGGGAGCCCAGGAGGACTCATGAAAAAGCTCATACGTGATAAAAGGGCGTTTGCACCCTGTATACCATGGGGGTTCTGAACAGGCATCTGAGGTATAGGGACGCGTGGTGGAAAATGGACTGTACAGAGCCGATTTGAGCCATCTTCTATCCGCTCAAGTGTACAAGTGTACATGTATTTGTGAGTGCGTATACATGTGTGTGTGTATGTCTATGTATATATATATATACCAGCCCTCCCTATCAGATCTGGGAAGGGAAGTGAGATAGTACAAGGACGATACTTTGATACTTTGTTACATACTGTAGGTACCAGCTTCTAGGGCTTGGTCTACTTGGTCTATGGTATGGTATGGTGTGATCGAGCGAGCACTGAAGGGGACATTTTATTGCTACCTACCTACCTACCTACCTACCTACCTCGTACTGAGCATTAGAAAAACGTATATATACGAGGCGGTGGAGGTACATTATTGATGTGATATCTAATACCCACCCGAGTAGGTATACGTATAATACTGTATTGTTCCCGGCTTACCCACTGCACGATTGCCTCGTCATGTCATGTCATGTCATGTCGTTGACCAAGGACGTCAAAGTGCATGCCTGTGTATATACTGTGCTAACTTGTAGGTGGGTGCCCAGGTATTATTACCTGACGTGCCCGATTAAAAGGGGAAAGAAGAATACAGGATTAATTTAATCAATTGAATTGAATGATATCGATACAACAGGACGGGTTTACTTCGCTTGTACTTGTTCTCCCAGGACGTCTCAGTTTCTTCGTCATTGTTTTTTTCATTTTGCTCCTGCTCGAGACACTCTGGTGCTCCTGACTCCTCCTGAGCAGTCAACCAGCCAACCAGCCAGCCAGCCAGCCAGCCAGCCAGCCAGCCAGCCAAGCAACTCGGCTCAGGTCAGAAAGAGTCCGCGCACTCGAAACTCTCAGCCTCGCTCGTGTCGCCGTGGCCCTTGTACCGCGCCACAAGGGGATACTGGCACAGCGGCCTGCGGATCTTGTCCCCGCGGGTCCGGGTGAAGCTCTCGCCATGGAGTATGTCCGGGGCGACGCCCTGTTCGACCCACGTCCTCAGCTGGCCCAGCGCGTTGACGGGAAGGGCACCCTCGCCGCCGCCGCAGTGCTGGACACCAGGGGCGAGGAAAAGTCGGTAAAAGTCCCTCACGTCGTCGTCTTCGTTGTCACTGGTGGAGTCTGACTGAGACGTCTGCGTGTACTGCCGCCGCTGCCGCCGGCGCTGCTCTTGCTGCAGTACTTCTTCATAGTACTGCTCTGTCTGGCCTGGCATGATGGCCTCGTCGCTCGTCCCGTGCCAGGTAATCATCTTTCCTCCGCGCCCACGAAAGGCGCTCAGGTCCGGGTTACTCGTCGAGATGAACGAGTGGTACTCCTCCTCAGACTGGTCGAAGAGGCGGACAAGTTCGGAGAGTGTGATCCGTTCGGCGAGCTCGGCGGTGGTGAGGCTAGGGTCCTTGTAGAGGAAGAGCCGGACCCAGTCAAGCACCAAGGAGCTCGGGTTCGAAACGCAGCTGTTATTTCCCTGGAAACACGTCGTGGACGCAAAGGATGTCAACGGCGTCGAGTGCGTCAGGCGATGCCAGTCGGGTTCTCTGACCGAGCCTGGTGCGGCGCCCCAGAGATGCCACGCGACATGCGGCGCGGCGTAGCCAATCTTGACGATTGTGTGATTTGATCGCTGCTGGCGTTGCTCTCCCTCTGCACCTTCGTCGTCGTCTGCGTACACCATCTCACAGTCGATTTCTCTCCCTACCAGCTTGAACGGGTCAAATTCGCACGCTTCTTCGTTCGAGATGACACCGTCCTTGACACCATCTAACTCGTCGCACTCCTCTATCGCGGCTCTCGTGATGGCCTCCAGCTCACACGCCGGAGGATACTCATTGAGCGAATTCATCATCATGTGCGCAAAGTAGTGCATCACGATCAGCTTGGGCCAGTATATTGCCGGGGCGGCCGCCAATATGCCGTCGTAATCTTGAGGATAACGTTGAGCCAGCATCAGACCTTGTCTGCCGCCTGTGGAACAACCCTGAAAGTAGCTATACTTTGGTGCCAGGCCATAAAAGGAGGTGACAATAGATTTTGAGATGGTGGCCATGTCGTGCAAGCATACAGAGGCGAAATCCCGGAAGAGATACAAGTTGACGTTTCCCTCGGAGAGCATAGCCCACGTTTCGGTGTCAGGCGACTCAGGCGGCTCAAGAAGTTGGGGTGCATGACCGCCGTCGGTGCGCGATATCGCGTAGCCTTGCGATAGGGCCGAATGAGAGATGAACCCTGGAAGACACATGGAGAAACCACCACCACCTTGGGACAGGAGTCTCCCATTCCAAACTGGTGATGTTTCATTGCTGCTCTCCCCATGATAATGTGGTCGGTTGTCTCTGGGACTTGCATAGACCTCATCCGAGACCGAAAGGGGCAGCCATATATGCACGTTGATAGTGTCATTCTGACCTGGGTGTGTGTACGTCACGGTGACATTGCAGAAGTCTAAGTTGGTGTCTTCGCCGTAGAATGGGGGGTCTGCGTTGAAGAAGTTTGGTGGTTGCCAGTACTGGGCAGTATAGTTGCTTACCAGCGAAGAGGTTACCTTGAGTATCTCTCCGCCGAATAGTGTCGGTTTGGGTAAGGTTGAGGAGAGACATGCGGCTGTCAGGTTCGCATGCCCCGAGCCAGGAGAGGAGAAGGACAGAGGAGCTTGAGATGTGAGCCAGTTCATAGTGTGGATGAATCTACCCACAGGTGCTAATGAGACCTGTGTGAGAGTCGACAAGGCTCCAATGTCGGAGGTTGACGAATGGCTAAGCGGGTGGCAACCCTTGCAAGAGAACTAAGAAGGCGAACAATGTTGTGTGCTCGTATATAGGCAGATGCTTACCTTTGGCCAATGCGAAAACTGAGGTTGGTTGAATTGCTGGAGGATGTTTCAGAGAGCTTCCGAGATGATGGACTGTGTCCGTTACCCACCGACGAGGGTGTTCGTAAGGCCACCCCAAAAGTCTGACAGGTTAAGTCACGTAGAGAGGAATACACAGAACAACCGGTGGAGGTGGTGAGGCAGTTGACGCAGTTGGTGCCTGTATGAGGAGAATCCGGATCATTATATTTCCGGGGGCCGCATCATTTAACCTGGACGCAGCAACATCAGCGCCTCGTATATTATAACGAACACCCTCGAACCTGGCCACACTGGCTCTGTCATACTCGTCCTCAGAATCACTACTTCCATGCCCCTTCTACTATCTCGGAATCTGACGGCTACTGGGCTCTATTGACACTGGAATCAAAAGAATCAGAATGAGCTCTCCGCCCCTCCTCCGCCCAGCTATACTTGTCGTCTCCGACACCGCGGCGGCTGATCCGTCAACCGACAAATCCATTCCCATCCTCAAGGACGTATTCTCACAAGACGGCAACGGAAAATGGGACGAGCCACTCTTTGAGATCGTCAAGGACGATGTGCTGGAGATTCAGCGGGTTGTCCGCGGGTGGACGGATTCTGAGACTGAAACCACCAACGGCGGCGTGGTCAACTTGGTCGTGACGACGGGAGGGACAGGCTTCGCACGGCGAGACTTTACCCCTGAAGCTATCGAGCCTCTGATCCACCGTCACGCACCTGGTATTGTTCATGGCATGCTCTCTGCTTCATTCCAGATTACGCCCTTCGCCATGATGTCGCGGCCTGTGGCTGGTGTGAGGAACAAATCCATCATCATCACCTTGCCCGGGTCGCCCAAGGGTGCCAAGGAGAACCTCCAAGCTGTATTGAAGCTGTTACCACATGCGTGCTCGCAAGCCGCGGGCCAGGACTCGAGGACAGCCCATGTAGGAGGAGTCAAGAAACTGGAAAAGGAAGCTGGAGTTGGCCCATCAACTTCCGGTGGTGCTACAGCCGGCGGACACGACCATGATCATACCCACCAACACGATCACCATCATAGCCACGACCACGATCACAGCCATGGCGGTGGCGGTGGCCATGGTGGGCACAGAATCCCCAAAGCGCACACCAGTCCCTCTGAGAGACCTCAACTACAATCCAACGACCCTAGACTTGGTGCCACCGCACGGTACCGGTCATCCCCCTACCCAATGCTGAACGTTTCAGACGCCGTGTCGATAATCTGTGAAAACTCCCCGTCTCCCACAGTCGAACTGAGGGACGTCTCACCTGACCTGGTAGGCTACGTGGCCGCCGAAGACATCAAGGCGGCAGAGGCTGTCCCTGCCTACCGCGCGAGTATAGTGGATGGATACGCTGTCATCGTCCCCGACAAGGCCGCCTCGCAAAGTATCAAGGGCGTCTTCCCCGTCGCCTCCGTGTCGCACGCCCAAGCCTCGTCCTTACCACCGCCTCTCCAGAAAGGCCAGATAGCGCGAATCACCACCGGCGCACCGCTGCCAGAAAATGCCAACGCGGTGGTCATGGTGGAGGACACCGTCATCGCCACCCTCACACCGGACGGGAAGGAAGAAGCCACTGTAGAAATCCTCACGGACGAGCTCATCCAAGGCGAAAACATTCGCGAACCAGGAAGCGACATCGAACTGGGCCAGGTGATTGTGGCCAAGGGGACGCCGATCAGCGTATTGGGCGGCGAGATTGGAGTGCTCGCGGCAGCCGGCATCAGGCAAATCCCCGTCTACCGCAAACCCCGGGTCGGGGTCATGTCGACCGGCGATGAAGTCATGGACGTGACGTACCAAGGCGCCCTGAGCGGCGGCATGATCCGCGACTCGAACCGACCGTCCCTGCTGACGCTGCTGCGCGGGTGGCGGATGTGCGAGGCGGTCGTGGACCTGGGCGTTGCGCGGGATACGCCGCACCACGAACTCGAGCAGAAACTGCGCGACGCGTTCCGGCTGCACGAGCTCGACGTGGTCATCACGACGGGCGGTGTGTCCATGGGCGAACTGGACCTGCTGAAGCCGACCATCGAGCGCGCCCTGGGCGGCCAAGTGCACTTTGGCCGCGTCAACATGAAGCCCGGCAAACCCACCACGTTTGCCAGCGTGGCGATCAAAGACGACGCCGGCCGGCGCGATAGTAAGCGCCTCATCTTCGGACTCCCGGGAAACCCGGCCAGCGCGCTCGTCACGGCCAACCTCTTCGTGCTGCCCTGCATCCAGCGCATGACGGGCCTGCCGGGCCAGGGCGCCCCGCGCGTCAAAGTGCGTGTCCAGGGCCGCGTGCGCTGCGACAAGACCCGCGTCGAGTACCACCGCGTGCTGGTCTCGGCGGATCCCAACGACGGCGGCGGCCGCCTCATCGCGCGCAGCACCGGCATGCAGAGGAGTTCTCGCGTCGGCAGTCTCGCCAGCGCCAATGGGCTGTTGGTCCTCCCGCAGAGAGAAGGCTATATCGAGGATGGAGGCGAATGTGACGCCCTCTTGATCGGGATGGTCCTTGGGTATTGATTGATTGATTCTCGAGATCCAGATCTAAATTCGGCGGGAGGAAAGGGAACGCAAAAGACTGGATTGGACTGGACTATACCAAGATATCATGATCACATACGCACATGCACACGCACACGCACCAATATTTATTGACGGAAAGGCAAAAGCTCTTTCTTGTATTCGCCGGTAGAACCAAGTACGTCAAGTACTCGGCCTGTCTATATCCACCAGAATGCACAGGGGGTATCAATGTCATAAGAATAACACGCCGCGACACAAACACACACCTGTCCTATCATCGGTCCAAGTCTTTTTATGCTCCTTTAGCCTCTAGCCTCTAGCCCAGATCCTTCTGGAATGATGCTGTGGTCTGTATTCCGCAGCGCCCTGGAGAGTCAACCCAACCGTCCTTGATCAACGCCAACAGAGAGCGTAATACGCGAAACTCCTTCCAACAATCCGTAGAGCAAAGCAACAACAAAAGTCAAGGGATGTCCCCTCTCTTATACTCGCGCCTCTTGACCGCCCGAAGCGCCGGCAATGTATGACTTCTTCCTGGCTCTCTCCCAATCTCCACAACCAAAAATCGGACAAAGTCCTGCAAAATCCAGTAGCTGCTGTGTGCGCTGAGCATGTTCAGGTATTGGAACTCCAAGGGACCGGCGCCCGCTGAAAGGAACCAGTCAATCTGCCCATTGTCGTTAAGCAGGTACATGCGTTTCTCTGCAACCTCTTCGCGGGTGAAATTATGTGTCTCCAATTCCACTGTGCTAGGCATGTGCGTAAGTTGTGGGCGGGAAGGCGATGCAATGGCAGAGTACGGATCACCCGTGCTACCAGAGGCCCACCGGAGGCTGTGACCGATACGTGTCATGAAGCCGACACTGGCACTGGGGATAACTGCTGGCTGGATGGACTTTGCATACAGTTCATCCACAGATGCATTCTGGAGGTAGGAGATGGGATCGTTTCTGTGGACAATATTGTAGATGTTGTCGACTGCAAGGCATCCGTATTTTGCTTCGCTGGCTATCCCCGGTTGACGATCGTCTCCTTTGATACCGGGTTTCCCCCGACCTTTTCGCGGGATCAGATTGGAGTTGTGAAGAAGCAGGAAGAAACCTGAAGGACTTCCGCAGCTGAAAATGTTGGTTGTGTCAAACTCGAACATCTTCTCACTTGGCCTTTTGGGATCGAATTTGATGTCCTTGCCTAGTCGAGTAGGCTGTTGACTGAGAATCTCCATAGCCATGACAGAACCGAGGGAATGGGCAACCAGGTGCACCCTGCCATAGTCTTCAAACCCTGGATTATTGCGACACCATAGTCGGTAGACTCGGTTGGCTTCCCTAATGACCGCCGAGGTCATCTTTTCCTTGTGGTGTGACATATAGTAGGGGATGTCCAGCATTACGTCGCTGATAATGGACCGGACAGCAGGGAGAGTATCAGGAGTGATGTCCTTCAGGGCGTATTTATTCTCGGTGCCTTCAGGAGCAGCTTTGACGTCCTCGTCGAATGAGACCGTCAATCGCCAGTTCACAGGGAGAACCATAATGCCTGTTCCATGCCTTAAATTCCCTTTGACAACTTCGCTTGCCAGTTCAACATTGAATTCCCGGCGAAGACCATTTACGGCGTGAGTGAAATGAAAACTGTCAACTCTTTCCGATAGCTTTTGCCCAATACCGTGAATGACAAAGACAAGGTCAGTAACCTTCGGTGCTTTGCTGTCATGTTCGCAAGCTGCACATGACATTCGCCGTCCCCGAGTGGTAGCATCCCCTGACTGAGACATATAGGCTCCGACCTTCGCGTGCGCAGCTTTAACATCCATTTTAGGGTCGGGGTGGGTCTTCAGCCACGCTTTGCGGTCGAACCCACGGACAACTGCTACACCAATCTGCCTCCCTTTCCGAAGGGAGCTCAACGGTCGGCGATTTTGTGTGATGGAGGGAAGGAGATTGGGCTTCAATATCTGAGCATTGCGAGCATCCGTGTAGATGACGCTATGGGTCGCAAAAAGCCGTTTGTCTGGGGTATTCCGGGGGTCTGCAGCAGCATTCTGGATGATTTCTGGCAGATCTTTGCTCCCCTTCCGCTGCCTGTCATTTTCATTGCTTTCTTTCATGTCTGTGGCAGTGGATGGCCGGCTCGATTTCGGCTCGTTAGGCCACAGCTTGTACACCACCTTCATCTCCGCCGAAGCACCATTGTCAATGCAAGCCTGCAGCTCTTCTTGGTAAGCAGGACCAAAGGGTTTTATATATTCGTAGCCGACTTCCAGACGATTCGCCACATCAGCTGGAACAGGTAACATGCTGTCTTTGTAGAACCAAGTGGCCCGGATCACGCTGGATGTGTCGTTGATGGGGGACCAATAGATCGGCTTCATGACAAGATCAGGCAATTCGACCAAGTGCAGACGAGACACACCCACAGGGACATAAGCCTTCTCATTGTCCTTGCCCTTCTTCCGCCGACGACCAGAGCTTCGAGAACGACTTCTGGATTCTGCTTCCGATCCATCCGAAAATCCAGGTTCGTAGGTCAGCGCAGAACTGATATTGCGCCCGCTAGGCGCCCGCGCAAATGGCCGACCACTGATGTCAGAGGAAGGGTCCTGTGAGGGTTGCGTTGCACATGCAGCAGTCTCGTCAAGGTTAGCAGGCCTGGGAAGAGTATCATGGTCGTCTTTCCCTTCTTTGTGTCGGCGATGAAAGGGCGAAAATCGCCTCTTGTGTTTGATCGAGTCTTTGCTGGGTTGTTGTAGGAGTTGGTTATTCCTCCGTAACTCTTCAGCATCGACTGGAGTAGCGTCACGTTTCGAACCGTTGTGTGCGTGTTCCAGCATGACCTCAGATCCCGAAGAAGGTGATTTGGGGGCTGCCTTTGGACGGCCACGCGAGATACCTCTGGTTCTAGACGAGCCAGACTTTGTTGCTTGAGATTCCCCCGTTGTGTCTTGTGCATCTCGGAGCTGCGAAAATGAGAATATTCCTTGTGCAAACCCCTTCTTTCTGCTTCCTCCTTGTTCACCTTCGACCGCCCCATAACCCTTCTGAAAGGTCTGCCATGCTTCTTCAAGGGCGGCATTGTCTCGAACGGAAAATGGTTGAGGGGGGAGATCGGTAGCCTTGTCGGTCGAGACTGGCGGCAGCGGAGAGAGAGGATCATCGATTGGGAGCGACGAGACGTAGAAGAACTGTGCTTTGACCTTTGACGGAGCTAGTCCATCGCTGGAATTGTCATCAGGCTCGTCCTCATAGAAGGCACAGGTAGGTCCCAGCGTATGGACGGGCTGGGCCATTGTAGTGGAAACAGTTGCATGTAGTCGAGTTGGTCAATTCATGGAGACATGCAACAGGGTCGGATTCAAATTACTGTGGCCCAGCAAAGCATTTGAAGACAGTCACCTGTCCAGAATGGAACTAAAGAAAAGGAAGGGCCATGAAAGCAAGCAACAGCAAATGGAGGTCTTCCAGAAACCTCTTACCTGTCATGTCGTATGACATGGCTGAAGCCTGGGACGTTCAACGGCGAGAGTCGAAAAAAGCCAACAAAACAGTGACGTATGTTTGTAATTATTAAATGGCTGCACCAGGCCGCATTTGGCGCCTCGGTGCTTCTACCCAAACCTCAAGCCACATATCGACACTTGCATGTAGAGTGGCAGAGTGGTCATCCATATTTCATTCCGCTCATTAATTTCGAAGCATCTGGACATGATTGACCATGGCTGGGTTTATCTCTAGCTTTAAACCTCCAAACCCATCTCATCGTTTGTCAACCGCCCTCATAACACGGCCTCTCCACGGTCGCTTGAACGTTCAGCCTTGAACGCCCCAGAGCAATGCCTTTCCCAGAGAGTAAATATACAGAGTCTAGCCTGGAATTGTGCAAATATCATCCGAGTGTTCCCCATCCAGCCAATGTGATGCAGTTATCTCAATCTGCGACACCGGCTTCAACCTTTTGCCGAGCGCTTTGTTTCGCCCACCTGCTTAAGCCCAGCTGCTCTTGTCCAAATGATAGCCTGCCGCGGTAGTAGCAGCAAATCCCCTGCTTCTCTGGGTACCTCGTTGGAGCCTTGTGCTGCCATATTCGCTCGCCACCACGTAGACCAGCGTTCACTCGAACTCGGCAGCCTTTGAACTTACCAACAACCCAATAATCAATCCAAACAATCCCAACACGCTCGAAAAGATCTCGATGACCAATACCTTCACAAACATGCTCGCATCAGCTGCATCAGCGAGGGCCGCGCTACTCCCATTGATCCCGACGCTGACACCACAGATCAAGTTACACATGCCCACCGTCACTCCAGCCCAGAATAGGGCGTAACCAGTGTAGTAGTTCGGTCCCGTGTATAGTGATTCTTCAGGTACCATGTTGATTTTGGAGGAAAAGACGATGGACATGATGACGCCGTATATCGCCACGACTTCGCAGAAGATGATCGAGATGAGATTCTTCGTCCGTATCCGTGGAGCTTTGACGCCGCCGCCGAGAATAGATGTGCCGGTGATGAAGATGCCCCTAGGTAGGAGACGAGGGTCAGCAATGATGGTAGAAGAAATGTGAACTCCCTTCGGTGTATAGGAGAAATAAGGGGCAAAACAGCGAGCGAGATCCGTATAATTCTTACCAGGCCGCACCAACAACTGATAGGCCTATACAAAGACCAATACCGAGATCTGCCCATACGTACGGAGACACTGTCTCGAGGAATTGCCCGACCTGTGGTCTCATGAGTCAGTTCTCTGTTGCACGTCGATGGAGTAGTTTTGCGCGGTCAGCAGCCTACATTGAATTGTTCGCCCTCGCCATTGAAGAGCATATCTGGAAGCAACTCGTTAGCGACAGGTTCTGATGGCAGACAATCAGTCGACAATCTTACAAAGGCCGACAACTCCCAACGCGGCAACGGCGCCTCCTGCAGGGTAGATGAGGCTCATCTTGAACCCCCGCCAATCTAGGAAAGCTTGCAAAGGTGATTGAATGTGTCGCAGTCGCGGAAAGGTAAATGGAGAGCTCATCATGCAGCAAAAGGCCGCAGCTTGGGAAACCTGCGGGCAACGGACTAGGGAAGGTCAACCGAGACTACCGAGAATATCACGTGCAGGGCCAGTATCAAGGAGCATTTATGCACTACACCGAGTACCTCGTTGACAGTAGAATCCACGGATGGTCACCAAGGAATACAGTCTCAATCACGAATAGACGAGTCTTCATGTTCTCAAACGATTAATGGTGTGGTTGTTCATATCCAGCTTTTAGCTGCCCTTGGTTGCTTTCTAGCAACCCGAATCCAAAGCCTTTGTCTCTTACTTTTCCCACGTGCCCCAAGTCATGAATCCGTTGCTCGCATCAAATCATTATTCAATAGACTTCCAGATGGAGACATTCTTCTCCATTTCTGCCCTCCGATCGATACCGGCTTGCAAATCCATTTCGTACAGTTTGTGCATCTCCTGCAGTCGATGCTCCATGTTATAGCGGTATCTAGCCGCCGATTTCAAGCTCTCAAAGTCATTCCGGTTCACAGCGTCGTGAAAGATTCGTCTCATGCGGTCACTGTAAAGTTGGCAACTTGTTCCCCGAAGTGAAGAGTTTTTGCGCAAGACAGGCACAAGTTTGAGTGTCTTGGACACGTCTCTTGCAATGGGTCGATCCCTGAGAGGCCATACAACTTCTTCAAAGCACTCTTCGCAGATTGTAAACTCCGGAAGATCGGAAATAAAGTGCCATGACTGGGTAGCAAGTAGGGTATCTTTCACGCAGTGCCGATTGCGCGAAACACGCCGAACAAAATCCACGAACTCTTGGAAATCCCTGTGCCTCATGGTCTCCTTCGAGCGTTCAGCTAGCCGCTCCAGCTCATTTAATATGGGCAAGAAATGACGGCTGTTTGTGTTCAGATTGCATATCTTCTCCTGCTCTTTCTTCTCCTGCGGTCGATCGAAGACACAGAACTGAAGCGTAGGAAAAATCAGGTCAATATTCCTGACGCACGCCGAGCAAATGTCAAAGTTGTCCACGGGCTTTTTCGTTCTAGGATCGGTCAGATGATACCATCTTCTCACATCTGCTTTATTACCAGCACATGGCTTAGTACCGGCCGGTGGGCCATTAGCGATTTGCCAGACAAGCGTAAGGTCCTTTCTGTCCTGTCGTATTGATTGCAGCCAAGCAACCCGAAGCCATGGGAAGCTCATTGCACAAGCGATGGGTCGACGGGGTTCTTTCGGGAGACTCGGTATAAAGTGGTCACGAAAGCGAGTTCCACCTAGAAAACTCATACAAGATGGACAGAAATCCAGGAACGACATATCTCGGATTGTATACCAATCATGGTGGCCAGCAGCCGGTCTCGATCGCGGACACGGAGGCAATGAGTGTGGTCTGGGTGCGTTGTGAGCCAACGTTGTCGGAGGCTCCAGGTTCATTGGGCTCGACATCAGCGCCGGTTGGGCAGCGAAATGAAGTGGTTGTTGATGCCCTTGAGCAGGCACGCTAGAGAAGGCTCTGAGGGGCGCAGGAGGCCGCAGCTCCGGAGAATGAGAATAAGAAGAAGATCTCGATGCTGTTCGAGGAGGCTCAAGAGGTGACGGTGCATACAGCCCATTTTTGGGCACTGGGCGCTCTTCGTTTATCATGTAGGTTGTTGTCCGCGTATTTACGCTGTCATTTCGATTTACTGTGGAGTTTGTTCTAGACAGACTCTGATAAGCTGGTTGAGACTCTTCAATGGCTGGAGAAGGCTTTCGTGAACGCTGTCCGCTTCCTGGCCTGCTCTGAGAGCCGCTACTTTGCGTCTCCAACGACTGCGAAGTGTTTGATCTAGACAGGGCAGGGATCGCCTTAGCCGCAAGAGAAGCGCCTAGTGTGGCGGCTCCCAGGAGGGATGTGACATTCTTAATGTCTTTGAAATGTGTATCATCAATCGACTGTGGACGAGACCGCTGCTTTGACGACCTTAACCCATTGTGAGTTTGTTCAAAATAGTCCCTTTGTGGTGGGTCACCACCTCGAGGTGTCTGCGGAGGACTGGTTGCCGGGGAGCCTCGCGGAGATACATGCCGAGAACAGCTGTCCTCATGGTTGACTTGTTTGGTGTTGTTCGCCATAAAGGCCTTTTCGAGCAAGTCCTCCATACCTGACGTCGTTCGGGCAGAGAGCTCTGGCTGGGTCTCACGGTAAGGACGCTCACCATACGGGAACTGCTCTTGGTTCGACTCATCTTTGAGTGTCATGTCATTGTGCCGAGATCGGGTGCGGCTTAACTTTGGTCTCTCATCCTTTTCGCTAGAATTTCTCGAGTTTCGTCTCGACCGCAGCCCACGATCAACTTTCCTCTCTTCAATTGGTCGTGGACGACGGCTATGGCTCTCTTCAGCGGAAGAGGTATAGGGCGAATCAGCGGTCAATCTCGATGAAGTCTGGCGCTTGCTAGGCTGCTCGGAGAGGGAGGCGTGGTCAGTGAAAGATGAACGAGCAGAGTCGCCATTGAGCTTGGGAGTTTGAGGAGGCGTAATATGTTCTTGACCCGTGTATGTATAGCCGGTAAACCCTCCTGGTGGCGGTGCCGGGCTGCGGTATCGATGGGCACGGCGACTAAATCTGCCATTGGGGCTTTCGTTTCGCGTAGATGATTTTGGAGACTTGACCTTGTCGGATTCTGACCTATCTGAGTGGGAGAAGCTTTCCCTTGCAGCCCGACTTCGACTCCGCTCTGTTCTTCTGGTCGTCTTCGACTTACGGTCGGAGTCACTGCTATCTCGATCAAAACCTCCCGATCTAGGGTGCACGGAGGCTGACCTTCTCGGTTCGTGGGCATGCATTGGCGACAACAACGTATTTTTCCGTTGAGGCTCTGCAGACAGATTGCCCATCAACGCCACAGGGGTATGAGCGTAGGGAGAAGGAGCACGGCGGTGACCCGTCCGCATGCCCTCCAAGCCGGGTCCGATGTCTGTGTGTATCCTTGTGACATGAGGTCTTCCTCTGGGGACAGCCTGATCCGAGAGTTGAGTTGTCGATTTGGGTCGATGCAATGGCTCAGGTCGAAGATGCGTTTCGGCCTCGGGTTCCAAAGACTGAGAAGGCACGAGGACGAATCTCTTCTCATTGTTGACCGCTGGTTTCGAGTGAGAATCTGGAGATAGGGCTTCTGATACAAACTCTTTCTCTGTTGGAGAGCAGGATTGGTCGGGAGTTTTGTTATCGAGGATGATGGGATATTGGTCCACTGAGCCTCTACTGCTCGCGGGTTGATTTTCGTTTTTCAGTTGATGTAGAGTAATGTCAGATATGTGTTCCCTCGCTAATGCCACTTCTTCGTCCTCCACGCAGGGGGACGGCGGCCAAGTCTGCATCATCTCAACCAACTCAACCTAGTAGCCAAACGTAGAAGCATGCGCTCATTGCCAGGCTATCCCACGTGCAGCCCAACCAGCCTTATATACTACCAAATCTTCAAAGCACCTCAGGCCACACATCAAAGTTATTGAACAAGGTCTTTGTTATGTTGTTGGGGCAAACGCGGCGAATTTCAGGTGTTGTTGGACGAAGCACCGTCACCTGAGGAAACCCGTATTGTAGGGCGCAGGCAGTTGGGGTGGCTGCGTTTCGAATCGTGTCGCAAGTGGGCGTAGGTCGTGTAAAAAGAGAGCAGGCCAGATCGAAATCAGCACATCATATGCAGCAGACGGATGAACCTTTCCCTTGCCGGGTCCGCAACCAGTGAATAGAGGGCGACGCAATCGACTTGATCCAAGGGTTTCTGGGACACAAGATGGCGATTTACAAGGCTTTGAAGTCGTGGGTAGTTTTGATCGAAAGGCTACACAGGTGGCTGAGATATTGTCCGCGTTCAAAGATGTGTTAACCGGGTGCACCTCAGTCGACAAACCCTTCGTGTCCGTCAGGCAAAGGCCATTAGGAAGCAAATCGGACAATAATGGACCTGGGCAGAGGGGAACGGTAGCGGGCCGTAAATGCGTGCGATCCGGAGGGGCATGTTGTGGTGGGTACCCGCGAGGTTCTGTTTGAGGCGAAACCTGAAGTGGAGATGAGAGGGAGTCGAGGGAAATGGCGGTGTCCCCCAGTCTATCCAGTGCAAAGACTCTGCTAACAAGAGACGGAGACGAGGCTTTTCTGTTCAGGGATGATTGCAGTTGGGATCGGTAGGGCTCTTGATCTGCTTGAAACGACCATTGGACACCCAAGCGAGTGCGTTGCAAACAGACAAGTATGAGACGGTGAAGCTGCGCATCCACGCACACCAACACCCCACACGAAACTAACCAAACTCTCAATACCACCAGCATGCCACCATCATCATTCTTGCATGAAGGCCAATGCACTAGCTGCCTCCCCTGGCCTTGCCGCCCGTCCATCTGCGCCTCCCACTGCCCTCATTTGCTGGCCTAGGAGCCTTCGCAACCCATTGGCATCCCCCTGGAACTTTTACAGCGCCTTGCCTAGGTACGGCATGTGGCCACCCCTCTTGAGGTATGCAAGCCATTACTGATGCATTGAGGACATACCGAGGGTGGCACAAGACCATGGCCCAGCTTTGTCGATGCATGATTGCGCGAGCATTCCTCCTCGCCTCCATTTCTTGACTCCGGCAGACGGTTGATGCAGTGATATACCACTCGGACGCCGCCATGAACGCAACCGTCGATCCTTCGGCCGGCTTCCTCGTTTTACCATTCTTAGCATGCATATTAGCACACCACAGGCTGACAGGGCCAACACCATAGCCCCCCCGATACTCTCATCGACGTCTGAGGAGGACCTCTTACTCTGCAACGTACTTCCGCAAGAAGCTGATGTGAGGTGGGATGCTCGAAAAGTTCCATCAACATTACCAAAAGGCCCTGCTAGCCCCTCGGACCAATTGGATGGAACTGTTTTGACAGACCAATTTTTTTGCGAACCACTCATGAGTGCATGGTGCCTGGCATGGATCGTCTATCAGCAACGAATGCCACACATAAGAGCACGGCCACAATGCGTTGGTAAGAGCCAGTGGCGAGGCTTGCCATCACAGCGGTGTCTGCCCAAGCCTCGTTGGCAATCTATCAATGGCAGGCCTTTTGTCCCATACATAACGCCACGGAATCCTTTCTTGTTGGGAAGATTGATTTCACCGGTGCAGCATGACTCAGCTTCCCTCACACCTTTGGGTGGACAGTGGGAAGAGAAGGCCCGACAGTCATGCCAGATGTTTTGTCCAGCCAATACAAACGTATGCCACAAGCCTTCACACCACTTTTGCTCCTTCGAATATCGCCTTGTGGTCCAGTTTCACGAACTACAGCAAATCGTCTACTGTATAGATGCCGCCTGGATATACCACTTATCTCATGCTGGCATGACGAGGCGAAGTTGGAACTTTTGTGCGACGTTGTCGTTTGCGGAAAAGCGGCCAAAGGAAGACCGGTCAATGGCTAGGTTGGCCATGCTCTATCTCCAAGCATGATATAATGGGGGCGCAATCTGCAACCCTCAACCCTTCCCTCGTGCCCGGAACTTGCCTCCTTCGTTCAGCCATTTCCGCTCAACACATGTTTCACAGCAGGAGGCTGAACTCACTTGCTCATATGCCAACCAGGGGATCAGACATGTCGGCCTTGGAACCTACAAAGAGTTGGGGCGCTGGACAACTTAATGGGCACCTTTGTCTCAGCTGCAGTCTAGCAAGGATGAACTGGCAGCTCCTACGGTCCGAACCGGCACGGTAAGTCAAGTCAAAGCTGCTAGCAATTTCATCCACCACCACGAGCCACTACAAGTGTGAGGGGCACGCGGGGTAAAATGGTACCTAAGAACTTGGCTTGGACAAACACGACGAAGTAGTACGAGGCACTTATCGACCGGTCAGTTGGGATGGCTTGGTCAATCTAGGGAACACTTCCGGACAAGGTCGTTGATTCTTAAATACGAGCAGCGAAACGTAAGCACAGAAGGTATCGAGAGCCAGTCAACCGGAACTTTCAACTATTACCAAAATCATTGTCTACTTACAAGGTGCTACATAGGTAATGTGCGATATCGGCTAGGGGCTCCCCAACTCCCTTAAGTTGCGGGGAGAAGGTCGAGTTGAGTGGTTCATGCTTAGAAATTTGGGATGACAATTTCGAGGATTGCCGTGTTTTCAGCCAAAGTTGAGGATAAGCGTATAGGTAAGTATCGATCTGGTCTGCTGAGGCATCGAGTCGTACGGAAACAGCCCGAAAGTAACCCCTCCATCTCGGTATCAGAGAAGGCGATATTGCCGTTGACAGATTCACATTTGCTCCGAAGCTAGCCCAAGTCCAACTCATAAAAGCTTCATGTCTCTACGCTCTCGAGTTGCATTGACCAAGATAACCACTACAGCGACAGCGTCCACTCGTCTCGGCCACTTCACTTCTCACCTAAACCCTCGTCAATACCCCTCGTCGCCCTTAAGCCTGAACACAGTTACAACTCGCAACATGTCGTCCCTCCCATCTACAATGAAGGCAGTCTCGTTCTCCAAAATCGGCGGACCTGATGTCCTTGAATATACCGAGTCCCAACCACTACCCAAACTCGAGGACGGCCAGATCCTGGTGAAAAATAACTTTGCCGGCGTCAACTACATTGATACCTACTTCCGCTCTGGCTTGTACCCCGCATCCTATCCCCTGATTCCTGGTCAAGAGGCAGCTGGAACAGTGGCAAAGATTCAAGGAGACAGCTCACTAGGATTTAAAGAGGGTGATCGGGTGGTTTGGATAAAGCAAGGGGGTTATGCCGAGTACACGGCTGTGCCAGCTGATCGAGCGATTAAAATTCCGGAAGGTGTATCGGATGAAGATGCGGTCGGCGGTTTCCTCATGGGCATGACGGCTCTCTCGCTCGTCAAAGAATCATATCCAGTCAAGAAAGGCGAAACAATCCTGGTCCACGCTGCTGCGGGAGGGATGGGGCTGCTCCTCTGTCAAATCCTGAGAGATATGGGCTGCACCGTGATTGGCACGGCCGGTGGCCCCGAGAAGTGTGCACTTGCTAAGGAGAATGGTGCAACGCATGTGATTGATTACAAGGCCACAAGCGGACCCAGTTGGGTCGAGCAAGTGTTGAAGTTGACGAATGGAGAGGGCGTGGACTGCACATTTGACGGAGTGGGCAAAGACACCTATGAAGGCAGCATGGAAGTCGCAAAGAGAAAGAGTAAAGTTGTGTACTACGGTAACGGTAAGCCAGCCTCACGATCCCCAAACTTCTTGCATTCTGTACATTCCCGTCCGCTTTACTGGCAAGACAGTCTCTAACTCTGCGAGAATAGCATCGGGCGCCATTCCTCCCATCAACATCGCTCGCCTGACGGCGAAGAATCTCTCCATCATGCGTTCCACTCTGATGAACAATATCGTTACGCGCCAGGAACTCGAGTTCTACGCAAATGGCGTGCTGGATCTTATCAAATCAGGCAAACTCAAGATCAAAATCCACAAGGTGTATCCGCTCAGCGAGGCCAAGCAGGCGCACATTGACTTGGAGGGACGGAAGACGACCGGCAAGTTGTTGTTGAAGTGTTAATGGTGAGTTTTGACGAGGGAGAACAGACTCGACCTCTCCATCCTTGTCGAAGGGACCGGTGAGTGTGGAATCAGAGTCACGGAGTGGAAAAAGTGGCCATCCCCTCAAAAGCATCAGATCTGGATGAGACTGTCCCCATTTGTATTGGATCTTCCTCACTATGTTTGGCGACATCAATAACAGCCCAGTGGCGGGTATTCTCTCCTGGCGTCCTGTAATCTCTTTGTAGTGCATCTCAAGCCATTACTGCTGTTCGTCGGAGATTCTCTGTTCTGAACGGGTGTGCTGTCCAAGATCTTCTCCATAGCACTGCACATCATATGTGCACAGTAACCTTCAGCAAGTAGGTAGCTCCTATCTCTCAACGCTGTCCCACACGGTATGCCACTCTTGACGTCTTCTTTGCCTTTCTTTGGTACAGCGACAGTGACAGCAGGCACTCTCATACCACGTCATATTCCGGTCGCAATCGTTTCCTAGTCCAGTCCATTCGACCGAGTTCCTGTTTTCTCTCACAAATGCAGTTTCCCACGCGGTCTCTTTACTCTCCACGTCCACTTGACAGACATGATAACCCGGTATTGTTGGAGGCTATCTCTTAACGGACAATCGTCCCTCCTTGGGCGCCCGTATAGGGAGCGTCGAATCCGTAGATAGGAGTACCCATCTATATTTTACGTGCCTGATTAGCTTTCGGGTAACTGGCTTGCTGGCTGGAAGGAAGGGAGGGAGGAAGAAGCAAGCTCACTCGATAAAGGACAAAGATAACATCTCTGGTGGTAACGGTCTATATTTCCTCATTGATGGTAAGTCAGTCAGTCAGTCAGTCAGTCAGTCAATTAAGCTGCTTCTGATACCCGATATCGACATATAACTCAGAATCGCCGAGATTGTGGCCAACCTACCCGTCTTCTCTTCCCATGGACACCCTCGAGAAGCCCGTCCTCGTGATTAGGATCACTCGAGTTACCGAGAACAAGAGTGAGGTTTTTTATGATCTGCAATTGTTAGACAACAAAGGCACAGACAGACATTGTGTCAGCGAAACCTCGACGATCGGTAGCCGAGACAGAAACGTCGAATATCAAGTAGACTTTTGTTTCCTCTCCTTTCATTCTTTTTTCTCTGGACACTTGGGACTCTCACCAGGTGGAGTCTCGCCTGCAAGACTTCGCGGGTCGCATCGTAGATGCCTTGTTGAATGCGGTATATACCTCCCCTACGCGCGAGGCGTCTGTATGATCAAACATCATCGAGTTAGCATGGGTGACACATGAGTGAGATGGTCGGAGCGAGAGACGTACCTGATATCTCCTCTGGCTGGTAGTTGGGTAGAGTAAAAAGGACTAGTTAGCCAAATCGATCTTTCTAATCTTCGAGCCTGGATACAGACAGGAGCAGAGATTGGATGAGACACTAGAGGAAATGACGGGGAGAAAAACTTACTGATCGAGTGGATAGAATCTTTCAATAATTTTCTGTGCCGTCTCGGAACTGTGTGTCCGTGTAAACCCTTCCCACGAAAGGTGAGTTGAGATGCTGGCATGATGAGTTCTTGAGTGCCTGTGAAAGCGAGAGCGACTGTTGAGAAAACAGCAAAGGGCAGGGAGGGGCAATATGGGAGCGGAACCAGCAGGTAGAAACTGGAGATGGTTGTGAGGATTCGAGTGGATGATGGTGGTGGAATGAGTCGGTGAACCAGAATTGAGATGTGTTGAAAAAGATCAACGACTGGAAGAAGTGAAGTGAATTTATGAAGGAGAAAGGAAAGCGAGGCGAGAGGGACAAAGGTAGCGTGAAGAACAAAGAAACCAGTGAAGAATGGAACGAGAGTGTCGAAAAATTACACATTAGACAGCTGGGTTAAGACAAAGCATCTCCCATATTCAAACCATGCTTTACCTATCCTGCCCTCATCCAATTTCTATTCCAGTCATGCAATGTCATGAATACAAGAAACCTGATTAGGGTTCTTGTCTTTATGAGATAAACGTCGCCTCACTGAAGACTTTGCCAGGCTCCGAGATCTCGGGCTCATCGCCGACCTTGATCTTCAGCTCGAGCTGATCATTTGAGAGATACTGCGCGGCATATTAGTATTTGTACAGAAGTTCGGGAAAGGCCACAGGGTCTTGTTACCTGGAAAATGTGTGGCTTCAAGCCAGTCGCATGACCAATGAAAGACTTGACGAAGCCGGGCAAATGTGCCAGGACGTCCACCCGATCTGATTTGGCTGGTAGTTCGCCCCTGATTTCACCATGAACAGCTTTGCCATCCTTCTGTCCGTCCCATTTCCATAATATCGTCCTTGGCTCGGGCCAGTCGTGGGGAGTCTCTCGCATCGACGTGAGATGTTCAGCGGTACATTCGCCAGCGAATATCAATTCTCCATCTTTGGCGATACCACCGACTCCAACTGTAGTCTTTCCGTAAGAGGCAGGTGTCGTATATTCCATCAGAATGGCCGAATAGTCCTTTGTATGAATGTTGGCAAAGTTCCACCTATTTGCCAAGTGGTGTGGCTTCATTCCTTGAAGTGCGTAGATATAAGTGCCTTTACCCTCCAAGTTGTACGTCTTAGTAGGCGTCTGCATGGTGCCGGTCACTGTACACCGCAGCCAGAAAGCGTGTCGCATTGAGCCCCACGGATGCTTGTGATCAGTGCCAAAGTAGGTTGTGCCATCTTTACCGACTTGAAACCCCGGCGCCGCTTTTTTAACGGTCAAGTTGACAATGCAGTTGTCATTTCTTGCAGATTTGATTGTGTACGTGTCACCCGCCTCGTTCATTTCCAGAGCCACATTATCGGCGTAGAAGCTTGTCTTCGGCTCGTCGAAGCCGTAGTCTTTCAGCGGATCCGAGCACCAGAGATGTTTTCCTGGGCCTTCGTAGTCGAAGATTTTGCTGTTGAACTGCGCGGTGGTATGGAGTCCACTACAAATTGACGGTCAGCGGTGTACTCATCAGCGGCCTGTCCTTCTGATTGCACAATCCTTACCCAACATTGCTGTAAATGACTTGAGCGAGGGCGGTCGTCCCATCATCAGCATAGAAATAAAACGTCTCGGTCTCAACATTTGTGTGGTCCATGGCCTTCCACCGCAAATCATCCTTGGACAGGATAGAGTAGGGCACTTCCTGTTTGGTCACAGGTTGGACTGCGGAGGGGCCATATTCAGGTTCCTCGGTGCCCACAACATTGGCTAACTGCTGCTTGAACCAATTCATATTGTCTGTAGTACTGTGTTGCAGAATCTGAAGAGAACGGCAGGGAAACCAACGGGATGTTTATCAGTTACAATAGGCAAAATGTAAGCCTGTGGATGTACGGGGAGGTCTAGATAATAATTGATGCATCAGCCATCCAGGGGAAACTCGACGTCACTATAGGCGAATGGGGTGCCAGGAGTGCCTTGGGGGGAAATGGTTGTCGCACTTAAAGAGCCGCCCACTGACTAACAGAAATTTGAAGGCTAGGCTTCCCCTTTGCAGGCTTAAAGCTCAGGTGCCTTGTGGCCATCTGGGCGGATGCAGACGGGACGCCAGTCAGTAATCTGCGCTAGATCTTTCGGGGCTTAGTCGCCAGTAACTGCGCTCCCTGCCGCTGGCGCTACGCGGGTCAAGTTTGCTCTATCGAGACTGGAGCTTCAATATTTTCTAAAAGATTCATCGCAATCTCAAGCTCCTTATTAATTTATCCTTCTCCTCTCCATTTGGAGCATAGTTGTTCCTGGCACCCAAATTGCCAGATTCCTCTACCACCGGTTGACGTCTGCGTTGACAACCCAATCCTCACATTGAACCTGCACATAGCAATTCCATCATGGCGAAGAAGGCACCAGCTCGTGACCAGATTGTCAAATTGATTGTGGGCGCTGGTCAAGCCAGTCCAAGTCCTCCCGTAGGCCCCGCGCTAGGTAGCAAAGGTGTCAAGAGCATCGACTTCTGCAAGGTACGTATATTGGACCGAGTGGCCGAGAAATGGTCTTGCTGATGCTGGGGAAGGAATTCAATGCCCGAACCGCACATATTACCCCTGGTGTACCAATTCCGGCTCGAGTGACAGTCCGGCCTGATCGCTCCTTCAGCTTCGACATTCGCACGCCCAACACATCTTGGTTACTCCTCCAAGCTGCTGGAGTGAAAGAGGTGAAGGGGAAAATCAAAGGGGCGCAACGGCCAGGCCACGAAAGTATCGGAACAGTGTCACTCAAACACATATACGAGATTGCAAAAATCAAACAGAGTGAGACACGGCTATCTGGATTAAGTCTCGAAGGTCTCTGCAAATGCATCATGTGGCAATGCAAGTCGATTGGCGTTAAAGTTGTGCCGTAACCCGAGCCACCAGATCAAACCTCGGAGCAGCTGTGATTTCAGCCGCATTGCTCGCCGACCCATGACGGAGCATTCTACCGATGAAATACTCACAAATCCCGTCGATACCTACATTTGGCAGATCCTGCGCCTCCACGGAAAGGGACCTAGAGGATTGTGGACTCACTGGGGTCTGGGAAAACAATATCCTCTTGTACCATACAATCTCAAGCTTTGGGTATGAGGTTAGACGACTGGCGGAGAAAGCTACCACGGAACCTAGGATGACAACTGCTTTGGTGTCGGGCGAATCCCCCAGATGGGCCGCGGTAGAGCGCCCTTACCCGCAACACGTTCAGATGCATCGGGTCGCAGGAGCAAACAGCACGTCCAGCATGAAGATGATCATATTTCATCTCTTTGGGAGACAAGGATCTGCCTGGGGCTATGCCGAGAGAAAGCCGAGATGGCATGGACAGGAGCCCGAGGACAGATATTGGACACTACTCTACCTCCTTTTCGACTATCTTGCATCAAACAACCACGCGACCCCGTGGGGTCAGCGTCAATTCCAAGGACGAACTTGCCTCGGCGAGGGTCATCTTGTGCGATGGGTTCCGGTGGATTAGGAGGGTCACAAAGTGTAAGAGAATCAGGCCCAGTGGCTCATGTAATGCAAAACGGTCACTGTACACGCATCGTCAAATCAAAAGTCCCTCGGCCTGACAATGTTGAACTCGTTTTTCGGGAAGCAAAAAGAATACGAGAACGAAGATGACGTCTTGCCTGAAAGAACCTTGGTGCCTCGCGCTCAGGCAGACGGCGACGACTCGTCAGTCGCGAAGAGCTAAGGTGTGGATGTATGATATGATATGCAGCATTGTCATCATATTATTTCCTCCGGCTGGGCCGGAAGGGAACCCTCGCATGAGGAAGCTGGAGGCAAAAACCCCGAGCAATAATAATACCTAGTCGCAATGGAAGAAGCAGTTCTGCAGATGAACGGATGTCACACAACCCAAAGCCGGTCGGTTGTTTCTGCGCTCCGCTCTTTGGTCCGTTGAGCCGTGGAGTCGTCGTAGCATGGAAGTGGTAGTGGGTGGGTAGAAGGCTATCTGCGATAGCCATCATTGAGGTTTGGGATTCCCGCGAGCCCGGTGCTCATGAGCTCGATCTGGCATCTCTGGTCAGCCTAAATGACATTATCCCATATGTCAGAATGGAAAAAGGGTCCTTGCTCTTCCCTAGGCCCATCAAGTGGTGGTGCCGTGGAGGGAGGTACGCACCACACAAGTAGGGACCACCACCAGGGGAACTCTGAAAACACGCAGCCGGTAGAATGTCTGTCCCGCTGCAAGGACTAATGATGTGCTGAGAAGGGACACAATAGGCTTGGGTAGCGGCGTAGCGGGGCAATTTATGAACATCCCACCTTTTTTGTCTCGTTGCGCTAGGTTGCTAGTGGTGGTCATTGTGGTGGTGGCTGCATCTGAGTCGCTGAAACTTCTCCCGCTTGCCCTCCCGCATCTCTCGAAAGACCTTGTTGGGTTATTAAGTGAGCATACAGCTGTTATTACTGTACCTGACGTTCTTTGGACACCGCTTTCATATGCCAGACCAGGCCACGACGGCTTCTAGCTATCCTGCCTCCTGCTGTCTCACTTCCTACCTTCCCATCTGTCAAACCTGTTGAACCTGTCGCTCCACCAGATCCGCTTCTTCTCGGTCCTTCCGACTGTGTTGAATGAATCGGAAGCAAGAAATTAAAATCTCGCAGTCGACGTAACTGAAAAGCATGTGAGTTCCATCTCTCGTCCTGACCCAGCCAATGCTTTTTCGTTACCCGTATTAGCTCATTTGTTCCTCCCGATGAGCCACCCCAACACAGTGTTCTCTGATTCTAACCTCTATTCTAACATGCGTTTGAGCCAGATCTTTCATTTCTAGCCATATCTCAGTTCTTGCTGTCCTCAGGAAAGTCTATCAGGGACCACCACTCGTTAATGTAGTCGATCACTCTCGCTTCCGATCTCTACCGTAATCACCACTATCCCGGCCCACGATCTTCCGATAACCATGACCTCCAAATTGTCCGCGATGTTTTTACCCGGCGATGATTCTAAAGCAGACGCAGGTACGGGAGAGATGTTGAAAGAGCAGAATCTGGGTACAAGTGGCTGACTCGGCGACCATAGATGCTACAGCGCAGCAAGAACCGCAACAGAACACCCAGAAAAAAGACAATCCAGAGTCAACGCAAGGGGCTGTGCGATTTGCCTCGCAACATGAAGAGATAGATCCTCTGGACGATACGAGGCGTCCTTCAGAAGCTGGCGGGGTAAAGAATGAAGAGCTCAGCCCCGAGGCACACGAACAGATTAGGAATTTGGCCATGTCTCTACAAAAGTCACGGTTGCAGGAGAGCCGCCTGGCACATTTTGCCTACGAAACGGTGTCCATGCCTCCCTCACGGGTACGCGGAATCTTTCATCTTACTGTATCAAAGCTGACAAGACGGTTTCAAGGTTCCTTCAAGAGACAGTGAGACGCCGGGTACACCTCGTAGTTCAGTAAGACAAGGACACGGCTCCATGTCCTCTGCTTTTCAATCGCCTCCCTTGACACCGCATGGCTCAAAAGACGGGAAGCAAGACTCAATCGCAGCTGGACGTGGCCAGCAAGGCCAAAACGCAATAACTCCGCAAACATCCCCACCTCCAGACTCTCAGAGCAAGAGACTATCCCAGTCGATATCGCCTTCTCATCCCGTCTCCCCGCCTCGGACCTCCGACCAGCCGCCAACGAAGCCAGAACAAGGCCACGAGCGACGTATAGCCAAGTTCGAAATAGGCCCGTCCGAATCTGCTACCCCAGCCGATCAGAGTCCCGTCGGAACACCCAAACTTGGACCTTCCTCCCCACAACTCGGAGCCCAACAGAAGCCCCCCGAGCCGCGGCATTTCGGAAGCCTGGGAAGAGGCTCCCTGGCCCCGGCCATTGCGGCGGCGGCAGAGCGAATACCACGACAATCAAGTTCTACAGATCTCGCTGACAAGCGAGGATCGATATTTGGATCGAACAAGAAAGATCCATATTCTCACGTCACTGACAGTGGTAGCGAGAAGAGTGGCTTAGATGGGAGAAAACATGGATCAATGTCTGAACTAAAACGATTCTTCAGACTCGGCCATGGCCACAAGAAGCACAATAACCAGCAAGACTCTTTACCATCGAGTGTACCAGCCTCGCGCAAGTCCAGCCATAGGTCGGGAACAAGAACACCTCCCCACCAAGCTCCACCATCCAATGTCCCCTTCATGGATGACCACAGCCTCGAGGCCAAGTATGGAAAATTTGGCAAGGTTCTCGGCTCTGGAGCGGGCGGTTCCGTGAGATTGCTCAAGCGAAGTAGCGATGGAGTCACGTTTGCTGTCAAACAATTCCGGGAGAAACATTCCTGGGAAAGCGAGAAGGACTACTCCAAAAAGGTCACAGCAGAGTTTTGTATCGGCTCGACTCTACACCATGGCAACATTATCGAAACGATGGACATCATCCAAGAAAATCACCGGTGGTACGAGGTGATGGAATATGCACCGTACGATCTCTTTGCCATCGTGATGACAGGAAAGATGAGCAGAGAGGAGATTGCATGTTCATTCCTTCAGATTGTCAACGGAGTCAGCTACCTGCACAGCATGGGGCTGGCACATCGCGATCTCAAGCTGGATAATGTGGTGGTAAGCGAGCACGGCATCATGAAGTTGATCGACTTTGGGAGTGCCACAGTGTTCAGATATCCTTTCGAGAACGAAATTGTACTGGCTTCAGGTTCGTGGACAACCCACCGGGTCCTTGATAAAAACAAGAGGTGCGCTAACATTATTTTGCAGGTATTGTTGGATCGGATCCTTATCTCGCTCCAGAGGTGTATGAAGAAAAGAAATACGACCCAACAGCAACGGATATCTGGTCTCTTGCGATTATTTTCTGCTGCATGTCGCTTCGCCGCTTTCCATGGAAACAGCCACGGCTTGTTGACAACTCTTACAAGCTGTTCGCTTCTCCGCCTACACCAGGCACGCCCGTCCCAGATTCACACCCTAGGAAGCCTTCGCATTTAAGCCCGAGCGAAGACAATGCCAACGGCAGTGCTAATTCGTCGCATCATCACCATCACCACTCTGAGAGCGTGGATGAAGGGCGGCCTTCGACGTCCGGTGGGGATAAACAGGAAGTGATCAAAGGCCCATGGCGGCTCCTCCGCATTCTTCCGCGGGAAAGCCGTCACATCATTGGCCGCATGCTTAAAATCGACCCAGCCGAACGTGCGACGATGGAAGAAGTTCTCGAGGACGACTGGGTGTTGAACGCACGAGTCTGTTATCAAGAGGAAAATGGGACTGTTCATCATGCAGAAGGCCACACCCACGTTTTGGAAGCCGGCTCCGGCGGACCGCCGCCAGCCAAGTAGTGGGCAAGGCTGGCGGATCGGAAACCCGCCAGGAGTACTGGAGACCGATGATGGAAGAAGGGCTATGCTATGATACGAGTATATTGCACGGCAGTACTTGACGGGATCGCATTGTGTCGCATTGGGAAGATTGAAATGTCCTGGGAGCATGATGGCTGATGGGTTACTTTGTTCTTTTGATGGCAAAGGGCCTTTGGTTTGAATGCGCGTTGGAGAGAACCAGAGTGTTTGAAAATCTCATCTACGAAGGGCCTCGATATTATTTGTAGATACCAGTTTATAACGTTCAGCCACCAATCAGACCTCTTCGAGGTATGTTTCAGCTAGTCACAAGTTCAATGGGCAAGAAAAAGAGTAAAAATACCGAGTACTGCTTCGGGACAATGTAAGCCCGTAATTAATTAGTTAATTAATCAATCAATTGATATCACGAAGACCAAGTGTGGCTCTGTGGCTCTGTCCCGCCCCCAGCTTCTGGAACAGGCACTCGCAGGACTAGCTTCTGACTGGCGTGCCATCCGCAGTCCACCATCGCCCGCACTTCACAACGGCCGCAGGCTAAATGCTACGTGATCTGCCGATGTAGCTCTCCCAGACTTCTGCAACCTCTGTAAAGGACGTCGGAGGCGAAATCGTGACCACGGTAATGTTCTTCTGACTTGATCCTGCAGAAATGGCCAGCTGAGAGACGCCGATTTTGTTTGTCGCAAAGGGCCAGAGAATCGAGGGGCTTTTGTATATCACCTGCATATGGCCAAGAAGAAGCGCCAGAGGATCAGCTATGGTTTGTCGTCTTTGCTCATCTTCTGCAGTGCGTCTGGCTAATGATGAGCAGTACTGCCTCTGGCTAGTACACCGGGTGGCCATAGACTCGGGGTAAACGGGTTAGCATTCGACGATGACCGTTCCATACTGTGCGCTGCCGCCCCCCCTTGATACCGATCGCAGAGAACGAATACTGAACCATGGTACAGATACACAGGCGGCAGAGATGGCGTCATATGCGCATGGGATCTGGACCTGGAGGCGCAGAGGGTGAATCAACAAGAGGCGGGCGCAGCAAAGGACAAGAAAAGCACTGTGTCATTCCGCAAGCAGGTGCAGGCGCATACCCATTGGGTCAATGATATTGTCCTGGTCAAGAACAACCTTGGACTGGTTTCTGCCTCATCCGATGTCACTGTCAAACTATGGAGGCCTCACGCTCACGAATCATCCCAAGCGTACACCATCGGCTCCCACAGTGACTATATCAAATGCCTCGCAACCCCTGATCGAACTGCCAACTGGGTTGCCTCCGGAGGCCTGGACCACAGGATTTGTCTCTGGGACCTTAATGGGGGTGGCAAAAATCTTGAAATCAACTTGGGAAAAGTAGAGGACGTGGTCAAGGGATCAGTGTACTGCCTACGCGCGAGAGGCTCTCTCCTTGCCAGCGGAGGGCCCGAGAGTGTCGTTCGACTGTGGGACATCAAGTCCGGCAAAGGCATAACTAAGCTTGTTGGACACACAGACAACGTCAGGGACATCCTGATCAGCGACGATGGCGATACACTGCTTACTGCCTCCTCCGACCAGACGATCAAGGTCTGGTCTATTGCGGCTGGCCGATGCATTCACACCCTGACCATGCACAACGACAGCGTGTGGTGCATGTACTCGGACGATCCTAATCTGGCTGTCTTTTATTCGGGAGATAAGTCAGGTCTGGTTGCCAAGACTGATACTCGACGTGCAATGGAAATTGACGATGGGGTGTCGGTCGCTGTGTGTCAAGAACACGATGGTATTGCTCGGGTGCTTCCTGTCGGGGACTCTGTCTGGACTGCAACCTCGAGCTCAAGCGTCAATCGCTGGCTCGATGTTGATACCGAGCTCGAGGTTGAAACACCTCCTGCATCCCCCCGCGAAGAAAGGACCGCGAGCCCAGAGGCGAGAAGTCACTTAAGCCCTGAGCCTCGGGCGTCTTCCCCTCTGCCAACTACGAACGGCACCACCAATGGCACCACAAACGGTGAAGTCGACCAGAAAAAGAAAATCCCTCACAATGCCATTCTCCGCGTGTCAAACACAGCTCTTCATCCTGGTAGGAAGCACCTAGGAAGACACCCGAATGTGTCGGCGACAAATTTGAGGAAGGCTTCCGAGGCCATGATCACCGATGATTTGAGTCTGGTCGTCCCTATCAGGGGCCAACCTGCTGAGACTATCGAGGGTCAAAATGGACTCATCAAACATGTGATGCTGAACGACAGGAAAAGGATACTCACGTTGGATACAGCGGGCGAGGTAGTGTTATGGGACCTTCTCAAGGCAAGGCACATCTCCTCCGAAGGTGATTTTCGCACACTGACGTAAATTAGTGCATTCCCATCAAGTCCTTTGGCCGTCGTCATCTCGATGAAGTTGTCCCCGACGTCAATACAACTGAAAGTGTTGCGAACTGGTGTGGTGTGGATACGAAGACTGGAAAGATCACAGTTATGCTCGAGGAGAATTACTGTTTTGATGCTGAAGTATACGCGGATGAGCTAGACTTGTCCAGCGATCTAGCCTTTCGCGAGGATCAGAGAAGTAGGTTGATTCCGGTTCGAACAAGCTGTGAGGTGACGCTGACAATCAAACTGAACAGTCAATCTCGGCAAATGGGTACTACGTAACCTGTTTTCGAAGCTCATTGACGAGGAACTTGCCCGAGATGAAGCCTATAGGAGCACACTTCAAAGCCCTGTCAGTGCTCCTCCTCCTACTGGTCTGGTTCGACCTGGTGCACCAACCAGCATCAAATTGCCAGAATCTGTTAGCGCGACGCCCATGGTGTCGCCGGGGAAAGTTGTGACGCCTCGTGCATCGGGTGGCCACTCGATGGTGCCCGCAACTCCTGGGTTGGCCATTGGCGCCGCTACACCAGGCTTTGCGCCATTGACCGCTACGCTTCCTCCCACCGCAGAAGAGCCAGCACGCACTCCCAACGGGGCACCTTCGCGGTCATCTCTAGGGCAAACCCCGCGAGTGCAAACCCCTCATGTGCAACCAACGCCTTCGGCGACGGAATCTCAGAATGTCGACTATTTCTCTTCCACCACGGCTACGGGCAATAGTCAATCTGAGGCGTCTTCGGAAAGCGAAAAGGTTCCCAAAACACCTGGGGGTGGCCCGGCAACGACAGAAAGTAACGCTCACGGTCTGGTCTCGACACCCACATCACCTACCGAGGAGAAGAAAAAGGGCCTCTTTGGCAAGAAGTTCGGCATGGGCATGTCCTTTCCCAAGAAGATGACCAGCCGCTCGTCTGCAGAAGTGAAAGCGCCTGTTGCATCGACAGAGGAGAGGTCTTCTGACACGGCTTCCGTTAGGTCTTCAGAGAAAGATGTCGAGAAGGTCAACATAGAAGACAATTTTTTCGGTGTCGTCCAGAAGATACGTCTAGAGTATGATGAGCATCTCGAGTCCAAAACGGATCAACCGCTGCCACCAGGGATCACTCCTCCTCCGCCAACAGAAACACCGGTGCTGTATCCGCCACCGCACACCACCATTATTATCCAGGAGGATAACCCCGAAAGTGGCGGATTGGCAGACCAATATAGGGGTGAGATCAGTGAGTTGGGAAATCCTGCGGAGGTGGACACACTTGAGAAGATTGCTCCGATGTGGTTGGGAGACTTGTTACTCAGGGTGAGTTCCCATCGTAATAGTGTTTGTTTCTTTAGCTCGTCTCTCCATGTCTTTTCTTGTGTCACTTGTCCGAGGGTTGAGCCACTAACCCTATGTTGCAAACAGAACCAAATCCCTTACAAGGACACCGTCAAGGTCTCTTTTGTCCTGCACCCCTATGAGAATTTGCTCCCACCCATCGCTTCACCCGATGGCAACGCTCGGCTCAACGCGAATCGCATGCTCCGCGCGAAGAAGATCATGGCGTACATCGCGGAAAGAATCGAGGCTCCTCCAGTCCAACAACAAGCTCCGCCCAGCGAGACAGCAGCAGAAGGCGAGCAGTCCACCGAGACCGAGCATTCGGATGTACCTCCTCACGCCGCCGTCGAACCAGAAGAGAGCCCAGAATCTCAGCTGAAGCCCGAGGAGTACCTGGAACTCTACTGCCAGAACCAACTGGTGCACCCCAACACGACCCTCGCCACGCTCCGCGTGCACGTGTGGCGCACGGGCGGCGACGTGGTCCTGTACTATAAAAGCAACGGCAGGAAGCAGTTGAGGTTGCCTCATCCCTCGCAGGTGCCCACGGACGTAGAGAGCGAGGAGACTACGGGTGTAGTGCGGTAGAGCTTCTGCAGGGATTTCCTAACCTTTTGTACCTTGAGTAGCTGTGCAGGGTATGCAGAGCAGAACGTCGGCGTCAAAACCAAGTGGAGACCATCACAAGGAACAAATACCACACACAGTCAAGCAAGCGGGTAACTGACTTGGGTACATATGTTCAATGCTAGAGAGAAGGCGAGGGTGAGAGCCCGCATGGCTGCATCCATTATTGGTAGACCTGGATTGACGAGAGGTGAGAGATCTGCAAACAATAAAAATGGGTGCGGTGCATTGGGATGCTGCTGTTGACAGTTTTGCTCCGAGGGGACGAAGGGGAAGAGGGAGGGAATGAAAGTTCTCAAGGAGAAGAAAAAACAAGAGAGAAAAAAGGAAAAAAAAAAACAAGAGGGAAAAGTTGCAGTACTTGTATACACGGCGGATCTGGACTGAATATAGAATGAATGACCTTTCTAATTTCCGGGCGCGACATTGAACCCGTCCAGATGCCTCCAAATTGTGCGGTCGATCGCAGATGGCGGCACCATGTCAGAACCATCAAGAGTCTTCAGGACCCAGCAGGTTCGAGACATATTGATATGTGCCGAGAAAGATTGCGCCGCCCGTACTGATCCAGCCGACACGGGGCACGAAGCCACGAAACAGACCCGCGGCGCCCTCGTCCCTCCATATCTGCTGCAGTACTTTGAGGGGGCCGGCACGAGCAGAGGCACTGCCTACCTCCTTGCGAGCGAGCATGATGCGCGTCTTCAGCACGTCGAGCGGTGTCGTGAACCCGGCGGCGATGCCTCCTGCGACACTGCCAAAGATTGCGCTCTCGGACGCGGTGACCAAGCCTTCATGGCGTCCGGTGAGTCTGTGCTGTCGATCCGAGTAAGAAGCCTTGAAATATTCCCACAGGCTGAACTGGGTGATGGTGAAGGGTATCTCGCGCATGATAGTCACTCCGCCTCCTCTGTAGAGCTCCCGGACCATAGTCGCATAGCCATCGGTCTTTCTCAACCCCAGTATGTCCTGCAGCGCGAGCAGGGCCGAGCCACCAAAAAGCCCGGCCTGGGCCCGTTGCTTGACGACCTCGGTGGGCACGCGGATCGCGCAGGCCGCGATCTCTCCGAGCGACGAGGCCAGCATGTGCGTCGAGGCCTGCCGTGAAGAAGACTGCGTCGTCGGATCAATCAGCGCCCTCTTGACGCCGTCATACACGACGAAGAAGGACGCAGCCGACGGCATAGAACCGAGCAGCGCCGAGGGAAGCCCGGCGTACATGCTCCGCAACGTCCCCTGCACGGTATGGCGCGGGAGGATGGACGCATGTTTGCTCGTCGTCAGGTTCGACTGGAGGCGCGTCTTGATCGTGTCGAGAGGATATAGCGAGAAGTCGACCGTGAGGCCGGCGAAGGCGCCCGCCTGTTTATCATGGCCATGCCGTCAGAAAATCATGGCTCGGTCGACATGCGGAGGGAGGGAGGAGGAGGAGTAGGAGGGATTTACGATGAGGGACCGAGTCCATGGCGAGTTCACGACTGTTTCTCCCCCTCGGGGAGCTGCTTGCAGGGTCACATCCTGCTCGATCATTCCTGGAGGTGCCGATGCCTTGGAGAGGCAGGAGGCGGCCCTTTCACTTTTGGGTGCTTGAGTTCCAGGTCGGCGTTGCGGAGGGAAAGTAGCAGCACTTCGTAGACGGAGTTCAATATACTTTAGCTGGTGACAATTTTCAAATGACAGGGCCGTGATCGGTCTCTCGGTCTGTCAATGTCCGAATCGGGCAATGTGTCGTGCTCCACGAGATGCTAACAACTATATCGTTCCTTTCCTACATGCCAAACCTCATAGACACCTCCGAGTATCTCACATTGTGCAAGGCTATCATGACCAACATACGGCAGACTCAAGAGAGTTTGAACCTGGTCAGAGCTGAAATATGTAGTCATAACACCCTGGACCACAAGAACGTTTATTTATTGCACTACTTTCAATCTTCGACAGCTCGAGTTACATCACCTGTATGGTGTCTGATCAGAAAGCCGCCGTCTCCCTTTCTCAGTAGAGTCTTGATCCAATCAACACCAAAGTCCCACCAGCCATGTCGGTCTGGCTTTGCCAATTTCATAAATTCCGGATCGAGGCTACCGACAGTAATATCGACAAATGCCTCTGGCGTATCAAGGTATTCGTGGTTCAGGTATGTGAGGTTTGTACCGCAACGTGAGCAGAACGCCCTCGTTGCACTATCAGTGCAGCAAAAGCGCGATACATAACTCGAGGAAGAGCTTTCAGTCTCACTGGCAGGACCAACAGCGTCGCGGGTAGACAAACGAAGAATATGCCCATTGCCCGCAGTTTCTTTCGGTTGCACGTCCCATTCCACCCAGTCGACGGGGACTATGAGCCAACATTGAACTAAACAGCCAGCTTGACGTCGGCAATCGCCACAATGGTCGATGTCAATCAAAGGAAGTCTCGTTTGGATCTTTTCGGTTGCCGAGATAGGAGTCTCGAGGGCGCCAGGAACAGCAGGGCGGTTAGCCCAGGCTGGAACTCTGACAGTGTATCGGATGGCATGGCAGTAACAGCCGCCCGTGAGATTGATGGCCTCTTTGGGGAGATACGACATCTTGCGACAAAGGAACTTGTCCAAGTGAATCCTTGTGACAGCGAGGTGTGAGAGGAAGGGTGCGCTGCGACGGTTCAGGTTAGCGAGCAGCGACGCAGGTAAGAACTTGCCTTTAGAGTCTTTGCCAGGCTGTCTAAGAGCACAGAGTCGTCTCTCTTCAAGAGTGATGGATGAAACCAGTTGAAGTGAAAGGCGGGGATGAGTGTTGGCAAAGATTGGAGGATGGCCGTTGCCTGGCAACAAACCGGTGTGTGATTGTGGGGGCAGCAAAAATATCCGAAACGGAGCCAAAAGTGTCGGAAGAGGCTCGACACATGATTCTGAACCGCGTCGCGAGTCTCTTCATACACACCAGCCACTTATGTCCCGCATGCTCTATGATAGTTCCCACACAGTCCACCCACCCTCTACAACCTCTTCAGCTATGGTTACCGGCTACATTGTTTTTCTGTATGCGATATTCAGATCGTCGGCTTGAGCATTATCCTCGTGCTCCTTGTCGCGATCCTGGTACCCATTGTGAACACTCGGTCGCACCACTTGTTCATATCTCATTCAACCACATCCACAATGGAGCCGTGGCTCGATTCCTTGTCAGAAGACTGGAAGTCTGAACACCGCTCATCCTCCCCTGCGCTTTCTCTCGCAAGCAATCCTCAGCAGGGCAGTGTCGCACTATCCCACTCACAAAGTCGCATCCCGCACCTCGCCAACAACATCCGTAAAGAATCGTCCAACGGGAGCTTTCTGAGACATAGATCAAGTCGTGGACAAGCCCGCCAGAGCAGCAAATCCATCCTTCGCGAACGGAGCGCCTCCAGTCTCAACTTGCCGAATGCCCTCAGTTCACAGAAACAGTCAAGCCTGCCGCGACGAACATCAAGTGTTTTCTCTGATTCCCAGAACTCAGTACAACATCACTCCATCCACGAGAAACCCTCCTTGGCAGAAACACCAGAATGGAAGAGACGGCTGGTTGCAGGGGAAGACATCAATAGCGACGGCTTCGATCTATTCTCGCCTTCAAAGTTAGAGGGCGTTTTCAAACAGCCGAATTCATCGCAGTTACAGAGTGATAGGGTCGAGCAACCTGAGACTGGCTCAGTCCGGAAGCCGTTCAATCTGCCTGCGACCAATCCCTTTCCCGAACAGCAATATTCCAGCTATCGAGTCAACAGAAGTCGGTTAAACCTGGAGATTTTGGAAGAGGTCAATGAGGAGGAAGAGGCGGAGCATCAACACTTGTCTGCAGTATCATCGGACCTCGTAAGGACTGGTTCTCTCCGAGGCTTGGTGAAGCAACGAGTCCAATCCCTCGAGGGTGCTGAGAAAAGTCGTTCTACGCCGTCATCACCGAGGGGCTATAATGTGCAGGATCCACGATGGCGAACGATCAGCGGTCAAGAAGAATTGCGAAACGAGTTCATTTCTCCCGTCACGGTGTCAAAACAAAACTCGATCCGTGATACAGTGCTACGCACAGATATCGATATACACGCGTTGAAAGGTAAATTGCAAAGTGCTGCTTCGAGGGAGGATGACCGGCCGGGTTCAAGCTTGAGTGACAGCCGCATCAGCTATATGGACAATAAAGATCCCGAAAAACATTTCCAGGATGAACCACTGCCTGATCTGACCTCTCAGTCTTTACCTGACGACTTGTCTATGGGCACGCAAGATTTCATTACAGGTGGAGGCTTCATTAATTCGCGACGTGGCGGTCGTTCGAATGAAGCATCGTTCCTCCGCAAGAGTCTCAGCCTCAGTCAAGAGCCTTCCCAAATTGAGCCACACCAGAGACCCGATTTTCAGTTTTACAGTTCGCCGCCCCCCGCTTCACGAGTCCTTGACGATAGCATAGATCAAAGCAGGCTTAGTGCAAGTGCGCCAACAACGCCGCAGGATACGAGTGTTATTCACCACACAGAGAATCAGCTCCGGCCCCCATCTTCTGGAAGCCCCCTGAAGTTGTTCGGAAATCGAGACACGTACACGAACAATAAGCTCATGCGTATCTTGAGCCATTTTGAAGAGCCTGACGAATCGCGTGAGAAAGTGACTGCACTTACGTCGGAGGAGGAAGCACAAGAGACCGAGTTTCGCATGAGTCAATTTGGGCAGGGTGAGCTTGACGGATTTGGCTTTGAACAAAACATTCGCAGACCATCCCCAGTCGAACAAGCAGTAGTGAACCCGGAGGATAGAATCTTCAAATCTCTTTTGTCACAGTCGTTGCATATCTCTGAATCAAACCCCGGCGCAGCCGCAACAGAAACCGCACTCGAAGTGGATCAGGGAAGCACAGAGCAGAAAGAAACCATCGCCCACGGGGAGAAAGAGAGAATCAATAAACGACGAAAGACACTTGTCGATGGCCAGGTGTCGCCACCAACCAACGAGGTTGAAGTCAAGATTCCCGAGCTGGGAGACGCAGCCACATATGCAGGGAAGAAGAGAAAGGATGCCCGGCCTGGTGACGAAGGGTTCGAGGCAGATCCAGAAGTCCTTGCTTCACGGGATCTTTTAAGACCGAAATCGGCGAGAAGATCTTCTTCCATCAGTCGTGTCACGGTAGTTCCAGGTGCCGAAGTTGTTGAAGCAGGACCGGGACCCCAAGTGGTCAATGAAGACCTCACAGAAGCTCTAGCTGCAGAGCTGGCCACATTTGCGCAGGAAGCAGCCCAAGTAAACAATGATTCGCGCAAGCCATCCCTGGCCACGAAGGACTACATGGAGGAAGCCAACAAGGTCATGCAGTTCATTCGGTCTCGAGGCAAGCCAAAGCCTGTTGCTGCTCTGCCAGATATTACAGAGCCGGCCGACGTGTCAGAGCTGAATGCAGATGCTATTCTGGATCTTGATATCGACGCAGACTCTACGAAGGACGACTTCTCTCGACCACCGTCTCGAGAGCATGTGCCACGGCACCCCCAGGACCGTCGTCATGCACGCCACGACTCCAGAACAGCAAGCTATCTGCGGAAATACCGTGAAGACGACATGGACGCTCTGGGCAGCACCTCGATGTTTGGCACACTCCCACCAGCACGTGAGGCCGTGTCTTTGAGTGCAGAAGCTGAACCTGCAGCTCTAGAGGAGATTCAGGAGAGCGATCCGCCAAACATCCGCATTTTGAATGCCACCGAAACTGTTAGGAAACGGAAGTACTCAAGTTCCACCGTCGGGGGCCAACAAGATTTGACACTGGATCGTCTGGCACACGCTCAACAATCCCATAACAGCTCCACTCAGCAGTCGTTTCCTACGCGGTCGTCTGCATCCGGCCAGAAAGGAGTCATCTCTTCTGGTACCGTATCGATTCCCGACCACGTGGGAACTATGACGTTCGATCATGACAAGAAGGTGTGGGTGAAGAAGTTATCTAGCGAAGACGGCTCGAAATGTACGGACAGACAGCATCGGAAAACCGTGATAGAGGATGACCCTTTTGAGGACATCCCTGACTTGAGCATTGACGAACAGCGGGAGTCGCAGTCTCATGGGGTGCAATCAAAGACTGCCGTAGACCAGAAAGGAGACATGTTGCGGGCCAACGTACGCGGTGCGAATGAAGCATCTCAACCCTCTCCACCCCCGCTTCCGGACCGCAATGTCAATCCCGCATGTGAGCAAAGTGGCGATGTACCGGCAGCCGAGGACGATGTCGAGGAAGTCGATCGAAGTTCCCTTCGCTCCAAGGCTTCAGCGCACGAAGCGAAGCTCCACAATGGCATCCCTTCCAAACCTCCGAGTCAGCTCAAAGACGACCGAAGGCAAGCTCGAGCAGTTACCATTGCGTTTTCGTCTCCGGTTGTGTCGGCAGTGAACTACGCCAACTTTTCTGAAGACGACTTCGATGACCTTCCCCGCGAAGAAGATCTGCCCCTTGATGATTCAGCGATCGACCTCGATGCTGAGCATGTTGAGCAAGACCTACCACACCCAGCTGTGCTGCCTCGATCCACAGACTCCTGGAGGAAAGTTCATCAAATGCAGCTGCTCAGTCAGGGTTCAGTCACGTTCCAACCTCGAACGATATCGCCTATTGTCGAGGACGATGAAGAACGGTTTCAGCCTCGGATGAGTCTTGTCCACATGAAGCACTCGGATATGGTGACTCCTGCACCACCAAAGACCATCGCCAAACTTGAAAAGGCAGGCAACAAGGGGGCCAGCATTCTGTGCTTGACTCCGCTGTCTGACTTCTCCGTGCACCAAATCGATAAAGCCAAAGACCCCGACCAGAGCTACGTTGATGAAAGAAAGCATCCAAATGCACTACGGCAAGCTCATGGCTCGCTAGCATTGGCTGTGGATGAGCTAGTCAAGGCGATAACAGACGCAGCGCCGGAGGAGCTGTTTTGGGACCAGCTCCGTCAGATGACGCTTGCTCCTGGCAGCGTTTCTTCAGTCCACGGCCTGAAAGATTACTGTCCAAGCTTGGAAGAGTTGAGTATCCCCGGAAACAACATTTCCCAGCTGGGAGGCTTGCCGCCCACCTTGCGGATCCTTGACATGGAGAAGAATTTGGTTAATGACCTCACTTCCTGGAGCCATCTCCGTAACCTTCAATACCTCGATGTGTCGGGCAATCGGTTGGAGAGCTTGGAGGGATTCAGTTCCCTTGTCCATCTGCGGAGCCTCCATGCAAACAACAATCAAATCTCCAACATTGACGGAATCCTGGATCTGGACGGCCTGCTTGAGCTAAAACTCAGCGACAACGACCTGACTAAAGTTGATTTTGAGGGCAGTGATTTGAAACGACTGAAGACACTGGATCTTAGCCACAACCAATTGGAGATGGTTCAGAACATCCACTACTTGCCTGCTCTAGAAGAACTTGATATCTCTCACAATGCTCTGCAGTTCCCGATGACATGCCATGATATGGATATTCCGTTGCAGAGACTGCGAATTGCCCACAACGAACTGGAAGTGATCTCTCTGAAGCATATGCGAGCTCTTCGATATCTGGATCTCGACAACAACAAGATCAAGGACATTCAGGGGTTGCAGACGGCATATCACCTTGAGTTTTTGTCTCTCAGGCAACAGGCAGAACAATCGGACATTGTTGATTTGGTTCTGTCCACACCTAACGAATGCCGACACATCCGTCTTTCGTCGAACTTGGTGGGGAATGGGACGTTGAAACTCCCGGCATCGCCTCAAAATAATCTGCGCGAACTCGAGATTGCTGCATGTGGCATTTCGGAGCTTCCCGAAAAGTTTGGGCTGTTCTTTCCCAACTGCCGATATCTGAACGCCAATTTCAACGCCATCAAGGAGGTAGACCCGTTACGAAAGATGGTTCATCTGAATACCTTGCTCCTGGCGAAGAACCGCGTCCAGAGGCTGAGGCGAACTTGCCTGGTCATGTCCAGGCTTCCGTCGCTGCAGCAAATTGATCTACGCGAAAACCCTTTGACGGTGGGATTCTATAGTCCTGCGACAGGTCAAGTGGCACCTTCGGAGTCGGCACGGTACGACCTGCCTGAGGGGTCGGAGACAGAGGACGCTTGCTGGATGAAAGTGCTTGATGAAATAACGGGTTTACGACGACGTACAATCGAGTTGATGCTTGCCGAGAATTGCAAGAACTTGGTTCAACTCGACGGACTGAAACTTCCACGTGGGCGGTCCAGGTCGGAGGATGAGACATGGAATAAACTGACGGGCCGGGGAGTGCTTGTGAAGCCAACGACCACGATTGTGGAAGCGGCTGGTGGAAATGATGGGAATGCGGAGTTTCCGGATGGTCTTGGGCGGGATTGTCTGGTTACTGGCGATGACGGGGATGCATTTAATGGTTGATGAATGTACAACAGGGCCGTCTAGGTCGTCTTCTGGGGAAATGATGGAATGGATCGTGCGTTGGGTTTCAAAAGTTACGTGGTTGGTGTGGGTTCTTTTGGAAATTCTCGGGGATCGAGCATGTTTTGTTGCTTGTGGAGCGAATAATGTTGGAACAGCGCACGATGATCACAGCTTTGTGTTGTTGTGTACAGTATGGACGAATGATGAATCTTTAGCAAACATTCATGTCTCCAGGAGCTTTGACCTTTTGACGAGGGAATGCCGGCCTCCCCTGGATCTTGTCAGCCTTGCCGAGACTCACGCACCAGCCCTGTCGGGCTCTGGTGGCATTCCTACCGGTGTTTTGCAGACGGCGCACAGACCCTCTACCAGCCTTATGCATTAGATATGCTAGGCTATGCATGTCCCAGCCTGATGACTGGGGACGTGGAGAATGCGAGCCGCCGACCATGGATTTCTCTGAGGTACAAATAGAGACCTGTTGGCCGGATACAATGCGTCTTGCAACTTCGCTCTGTGTGTCTCCCAACGACTCCATTCCGCAGTGGTGAGGGAGATCCATATTTCTCTAGTATGTCAGCCCAAAGAACCATGATCAGGTCCTTGTGCGTCTCAGTTGTCTTGTACAGTTGTGCATATGCGTCGCCGATCGCGCAACCACAACCTCAGGCGGCGACGGCAGTGATACCTCCGCCACAACCACCACCGCCGGGCTGTGTAGGCACGTTTCCAGGCGTGTTTGGTATCGCGTTGACGAACATCTCTGTGCGTGCTTCGCCTTCGACCCCAGCTCCGTCTTCAGAAACCAATCCTGCCGGCAAGCTCCGGGAGAGGCAAGAGGCGCCGCCGGTGCCAATCTTCACAATGGGCGTCGTGTCCCAGATCGGGGACGGGCAGGTCCAGGGAGGAATGCACACCACGACCATCACCATGTCGACGACGTCCATGGCGCCTGTGAGTCAGATTGGCGACGGTCAGATTCAGGCTCCGGTGGTTACCGCTGTGTCTGGGACGTATGCGACAGAAGCGTCTCTGGTGGTTGCGCCGACGTCGAATGTCCCGGTTCCTTTCCCTCCACAAGTATCACATGGGTATGCAACACCGAGCAAACCACCGACTGTGCTGGAGCAAGCCTGCGGGGTCTCGACGCGGTTGAACCTCAGTCCAACCTTCCCATTGCCGTCGCCGTCGCCATCGATATCTCCCCTGCAACCTAGTATGCCTGCTCCGTTCTCGTCCTCATCGACCTCTCCCTTTCTCAACAGCAGCAGCACTTCCGCCACTCCTTCGACCTCACCCACACCAACCCCCTCGCCACGCTTATCCCTCGTGTCCTGCCTCACAGACTCGACCCTGCGCCTCCACCTTGGCGACAACAACCTCTACGACGCCTTCAACCGGACCGGCTACATCGCGTCGAACTACCAATTCCAATTCGACGGGCCCCCGCAATCAGGCGCCATCTGGACCAGCGGCTGGAGTATCTGTCCCGTCAATAACAATAATAACGACTCAAGTTCTAATTCTCGTTCCACTCCCACTAGCGGGACAAACGCGGTCGAGTACGACGGGATCCGGACGCTCGCGCTGGGCGGGAGCACCACCTTCTGGCAATGTCTCAGCGGCGACTTTTACAACCTGTACACGGAGAATTGGGCCGCGCAGTGTAGTCCGGTCGAGTTGAGGGTTGTGCGTCTGGTGGATTGTGGTCAGTGAGCGACAATCTTTAGAGGGTAAGATCAAAGAAGGGAAGGGGGGAAGACCCTGGCATGGCAGGTGTGGGATAGATGGATGGATGGAAAAATAGATGACGGATTTGATTAATTAGACTAATGAATGATACAATCTTTCAATTTCTCTTCGGGGATTCAACGTTGCCTTATTTTTACCCTTGCGACTGGTGGCGTGAAGAGTGCATACATGATGAGTTGGGGAGTATTCGACGAGGCTGTGGTGCCAAGACTGGACAAGGCTGGAGTCTCCTTGGGTACCTATGGACGAGCAAGTGACTGAAACTCTCACGCACCACGGCAGCTGATCCTGGTCCAATCTCACAGCGTACCAGGTCTGTAGTTTCTCTATACCATCTCCCGCGGTCCTTATACGGTGACTACTCTAAAACACCGCGCACCCCCCACAGATCCTTGAGGTCATTCTTGTTCCACTCCCAATCGACCGCGTGGAACTTCTCCTCGAGCGCCTCGCGGTTGCGGGCCAGCTTGACCTTCAAGTCGTCCCAGTCGACCTTGACGAGTTTGCCCGCACGCTTGACGATCTCGCCGTTGACCATGACGGTATCGACGTCAGCAGCCGCGGCGTGCGTGACCAGCGCGGTCGAGAAGTCCACGCTGCCGACCATCGAGGGCGCGTCGGTGCGCACGAGCACAATGTCGGCGCACTTGCCGACCTCGAGACTGCCGATCTTGTCCTCCATGTGCATCGCCGCCGCGCCGCCCAGCGTCGCCATGTACAGCACGGCGTCGGTGCGCGCGGGGATCATGTCCGGCAGCTTGCCGCGGGCGTGGAAGGCGGCGTTGGCCCGCATGCGCTCCTGCTGCAGGGCCAGGCGCATCGCGAAGAACGGATCCCCCGAGCAGATGGCTGGCGAGTCGATACCGAGCCCGATGCGACAGCCTGGGCTGCGGTAGAAGTCGAACGCCGACGGGATGCCGTGCGACATGGCCATCTCGGACTCGGGCGTGCTGACGATCCCGATCTGGTTGGCACGCACGAACTCAACATCCCCTGCTGACGGCTCGCACGTGTGCGACAAGGTCATCTGCGGTGGCAGCGGCATGGCCTTGTCGCGCAGGAATGCCAGTGAGGGGAAGTTGTAGCGCGGCACGTCGTGGCACGTCACGGGGACAGCATGGTCCCGTGTGAAGGTGAGGATCTCGCGCGCCTCGGCCTCGGGGATCCAGTGCATCGTGTCGAAGCCCAGCCCCAGCGTGACCCGGCCGTCGTTGCCCGGCCCGCCTAACGGCTGCTGGAGCCACAGCGTCTTGAACAGCTCGATCTGCTTCGCGTGGTGCACCGACATGTCCGGCAGCTTCATCGGGTTGAGCGACGTCGGGATCGCAAACGGCGATGCGCAGTACACGCTCCGGATCCCGGACTCGATGGTGGCCTGGATGCAGCGTCTCGCGTGGTCTGGAGTGACCACGACGTGCGAATGGTCCATGACGGTCGTCACGCCGCAGAAGAGCGCCTCGCTGGCCCCCGACAGCTGCGACAGGTACATGTCCTCGGGTCCCAGAAACGTCATGCGCCCTTGCAGGAGGTGCGCGCAGTACTCGAGCAGGGTGTGGTTGCCGACCGTCGACCGCAGCTGGGCCTGGAAGACATGTCGGTGGGCGTCGACAAAGCCGGGCATCACGATGCAGTCGGTGGCGTCGATGACTGGGACAGACGCCGCATCTTTGGCTTCGACGTTGATATTTGGACCAATCTTGGTGATCAGGCCTCCTTCGACGAGGATGTCGAGCCGGGGGAACGAGGATTTCCGGTCCTGATCCCACGTCAGGACCCGGCCGTTCTTGATCAGATATCCCGGTTCTGGCATATTATCTCTGCAGAAAGGTGACAGGCTGTCCAAATAAAGATCAAGCGAGAAAATGAAAATGAAAAGTGAGAGAAGAGGTCAAGCTGGCCTCTGAAGCGTCTCTTATATGGGAAATGAGAAGTAGAACGAGTAACTAGCCTCACTCCTTCAACCCCAGAGGGTCGCCCTACCTCTCCACAGATCCACACGTTCCATCCCACACCGGCCCCTCGCGTTGCATACCATATCGATAATTTGACTCCTCGTGCTCCTGATCAACGGCCTATCCCATCCCTGCTCGGTCATTCCCACCCGATCGAGTCACTCGGTACGCCGGCCCAACTCAACCATCGGTCCTTGCCCCGCCCCTGACCGTTGGCCGCGCGTGCCTTGTGCCTTGTAATCGCCCCAAAAATGGGCCGGGCATTAGGACCGAGGGACCGAGAGCAGAGCAACGCAGATTAGAATGGGAGAGGTGAATAGAAATATACCGAGTACGAGTACAAGGAAGGGCGTTCATTCTCCAAGACTCTACAGGTGGTGACGATGTACGTGTATAGTACGAGTACGGGTACGTACGTGTATGGCTTTGTCGCGAATCTAGCTTGGTTTGTAAATATACACCCCCAGTACAATACTTGTGACATGTGGGAAGTGGGGAACCTCCGTCCTTCCCATTGCGGTTGACATCTACCTAGTTAGATTTAAATTGTACTGGACAAAACAGAACTGGCATGTTGACGAGAAATTTATACACGCTGTAGGGAGGTCGCCGGCCATGATCATCTCCCACCCCCCAACCTCCCCTCTACCTCCTCTCTTGATCGGTAACGAACGACTCGATAACGCACTACATATCCTCCCTAGGAGTAGGTATGTAGGCACGCAGTCAAAATTTGTCATCACGCCGCGCAGCATTTCCGCCTCTAGCCTGTTTGTCGTCCTTTATACGGCCGCAACAGATCGATCACCTGCACTTTCTCACGACGTACCCAGCTAGCTAGTGGCCGAGCGAGGGAGCATCATGGAGACAGGGAGACAGCACAACTAACTGAGGAGGAGCACACGAGGTAGATGGGTGCATGAAAGGTGAGTCTCGCTAACAGTAATGGCTATGGGTTTGAAGAAAAGGCTGGTTGGACGAAATAAAAATCGGCCCGAAGGGCCTCCCCCATGCGCCGAGGCTGAGACAGAAAAGGGGGAAGGGGGGGGGGCGAAATTGACACGAGATTTAATTACACCGAGCATCCGCACAAACATAGCCGCGTGTCTATTGTCACGAGGTCGCGTCGGCAGTTCGTTCCTTCTAACAGAAAGACAAGAGAGAGAGAGAGAGAAAAAGGAAAAAGAAGAAGGTGAAAAGGGATGAAAAAAGGCAGATATGGCTTCATCCCGGCATAGCAGGAGAGGAGAGCTACGCATGATACAATACCGAGATACCCGACACTGAAAACTAACTAAATCCCTCCCAAGTCCTTTCCCCCAGAGCAGACATGCTGGTCCTCGTCGTCGGCATCACAGGAAACGTGGGTTCCAAGCTAATCACGCCCCTCAAGAAGCGTGGAGCCCAAGTGCGCGGGCTGGCCAGGAACAAAGCCAAGCTCGCCCCGGACAAGGTGCAGGCTCTGGAGAGCTTCCACGGGATGGAGGCGTGGTACGACGTGCCGGCCATCAAGAAGGCCCTGGTGGATGTGGACGCCGTCATCTGCGCGTACGGGCCGGTGCCGGAACTCGTCCTGGATGCGCAGTTGCTGCTCGTGCGATTGATGGAGGAGCAGGGCATAACAGTAAGGACGCGCTCAGCTAGCCTTCGAATGTCTTGAAGGTCAAAAACAACGACGAGTCAGGTGTGAGAAGAATGGTATTTGCTGACTTTTGTGTGTAGCGATTTGTCCCGTCCGCTTGGAACCTGGACTGGTCGAGCCTGTCATTCGGGGACATCGTATACTACGATCTCTTCCTGGCATTCAAGCGCCAACTCGCCATGTCTTCCCGCATCGAGCCCATGTACATCTTCGTTGGCTTCTTGGCAGAGACTTTCTTCTCCCTTCCCAGCCACGGTGTATTCGACCCCAGCACACATGGAGTCTGGGACCCAGCGGCCGGCAGCCCGCGCGCAGAGTACTGGGGCACGGGCGACGAAAAGTGGCAGATCACAACGGAGCAAGACGCGGCCGACTTCACCGCCGCCTTGGTCTGTGACCAGTTTCGCGAAGGTGCAGTGTACAGATACTGTTCCTGGGAGTACAGCATCAAGCAGATCGCCGCGATATATCAGGAGGAAAAGGGAATCCCGGTCGAGCTGAACCGTCTGGGCTCCTTACAAGATCTCACCGTGACGGCTGAGAAAAGTCAGCAGGAGCTCGGTCTGGCCAGGTTTTGGGAGTGGATGGGCTATACCTACCAGATCTGCCAACTCGGTGGCAAAACCATGATGAAGGCATTGGACCACAAGCTGTATCCAGATCTCAAGCATACCACACTGCAAGACTTTCTGAAGCAGCATCCGGAGATATAATATGGACAACTGATACACGTCGCATTAATACAGGGCTATCTATGCAAAATAGTAGTAGCATACCTGTTGAGTGGTTTCCAAACTCATTCTGCGAAACTGTTTCGGATGTTTTGGAGTTTGTTTTTATAGCCGCTCCCCCGGCTTTTGGAGAAGATGTATCATGTCTGAGAGCATCCGGGAAACAAGTCGGCTAGATCTTGACCCCAAAGGTCCCAGTTGTCGCCGCAGAAATCATACATGAAAGCTTGTAATTCAATCTCGCTAGGCTTGTCGTCCGAAACTGTGGTTGCGTCAGGTATTTGGCTTGTGCATGTTTCGGTGTAGTCAATGCCATCTAGCATAGACACGTTCCCAAGACCAGTCGTGGTGGTCGCAGAAGCACCGTCACGTCGTCTAGGCCTCTCTTGTTCAACACCATTCAGGTCATCGAACGGACTTGCGTCGAGACTGCAAACATCATCCCCGTCAAGACCGCCAAGCGCATCTGCTCCATCGCCTTGAGATTCAACCAATCTCGCTCGAAGCTCGCCCAGCCGCGAAGCCAGGGTGTCTATATTTTTTACCATCAACTCGGACGTCGTCCAGAACTTGTGGCTATGGTCCAGAGTGAGCCTCAGGAGGTCGAAGTTGGACTGAGCTAGATCTCGTTCCGCCTCATCTTCCGCGAACGCCTTCTTGAATAACTGGGTGGCTGCTGCGATCCAGAACGTAGATGCAAGAAGGGGATGGCTGTATCCGATGTGGTTGGGTGAAGCTTTTCGGACGACGCGTATGATCTCCTCGGCAGCCTCGAGATATTTTCCCCAGGCTGTTTGATCTTCCGTGAAGCCCAGTATCGCTCGGAGTTTCTGCGTCACCGAAGGACCACTGAGTGACAGATACGCCAACAGTTTCTTGCCTTTGAGGACCGAAGAACCGGTGTTTCGGATGCAGTAGTGATGTAAAATCATGAGTCTACCCAGATGAATCATGGCGTGAATCAGTTGCTTGTCGCAGTCTTCGATCACCGTCGGTTGGCCGTATGAATCGCCAGAGAGGCAAAATGACAAGTAGTTGCCCTGATATGAGAGCTCCTTCGGCAGCATGGTTTTGAAGTACAAAATAAAATCGTCTAGAACCGCGAGTTTCCGTTCGTCCACGGGATTGCCACAGCCTGAATCCAGCAAAGGTGAAACATCCAGTCTGGGAAGTTCGCGGACGCAATGGGAGGTTGGATTGGCAGTTGTATGCGCATCGCGAAGCAGTGAGTTGATCACAATATACCAAGCCTTGCCATTGGTGTTTCCACTTTCGAGTAACTTTCGAGTTCGATGAAGAGGATCAGGGTCCAAGAAGCAGCTTGGCTGGTAGTGTCCTTCATACCACGACTTTTCATTCACTGGGAGGAGTACCGCATATTCTCCATCGTGTATGGACGCTGGACGTCTACGAACAGTCGAAGCAAAGACGTCCATCTCCCAAAGAAGCCACCAGGCTCTTCGTTGTTCCTCCTTGCGCGACCACGGCTCGGTCCAGGCGTTCTCCTCCGGTTTTGATTGTCCTTGAAGTAGTGAATCTGTCAAATGCAGATCGAGCTCGTGTGCAACGCGGACGCAGGTACCGAGGGATCTCCATGCTCTTCCTCGGGCACTAACGATCATCTCATAAAACGTGATAAGAACGAGCGCTTGAAGAAGTGCGAGGGGAGGCTTGCCGTCACCACATTGATCCAGCTGCTCCTTTGTTATTGTGCAAGCCAGCTTGTAGAAATGATTGGGTGCGTGTGAGTTGTCAGGATATCGCGAGTTGAGAGAGAGTCGTAGTCCGGGCTTTTCTTCCACATAATGTGTAGCTATAGCGCATACTGCAGCAAGGAGAGCCGAGGATGGGCCCTGCTGTATCTGGTTATATACCATGGAGTCGAATGTTGGTCGATGAAAGAGAGATAGAAAGGTTACTTTTTCAAAGTATGTCCTCGTTCTAAAGGTGTCAGTAAGGGCTTTCACTTACTCACGGCGTATATCCTTACAGTTTAAAGAGCATGTCCTTTGAAATGCAGAGAATTCGGCAGACGTAGCTGGTGTTGTCTTGCGCAGGCCATGCGTACAACGATAGACTTTCGCTGGGTATCGCATTGTCAGAGGTGGTCAGTGGCGAAATGCTGTATGATTGATCCTCGTGGAAATGGTGAAATACCCAGGATTGCGCCGTCGTCGACTCAGGGCTCGACGCATCCGAGGTCGTGCTGGTGCTATCGCGACATACGGATAAGTTCCGTCTCTGACGTTCTTTCTTTCTCTTGACGCTGTTGCTATCTTCTGCCTCCCGGATGTCCTCCTGACTATCTGGTGAATGGTCTCCCAATTGCCAGCAAGCCCGCTTTCGGTGCTTGGACGAGTGCGAGCCTGCAATCAATCAGGAGAACGAGTCAGATCAAAGTCACACAGTCGCTTTAGGGAATCGCAAACATCCTCACCCAGTTTGGGACCTGGCTTGTGTTGGATCTCCGGGTAGCAGCATGGCATGGCATACTTTGTGCAGACACGACAAGCAGGGAGGGATTTATCGCTAGATAGACCAGTCAATCCCGGCAACATATGCAGCACGAAGGGACATGAGGGTGATTGTGATGGTTCAGGTAAGGACGGACCATTTGACCTTGCGTCTACCTCAAGATTAGCATTTTTCTGCGGCACGGTGATCAGGTACACAACCTCCTGCATGAATAACAGGCCATCGCTGATTGATTTTCCGCAGTCATCTTCGTCCCTCTTGCTAAAGTCCACTCTGTCGAAGTGGATGGTGTATGTCTATTCGATTTAGGTTGAGTCACTTCTGTGCGGTCCGACATTTCGCAGTCAAAACAACCACAGACAGAGGCAGGCATATAGGGTGCGTGATGGGGATTCATGCATAACGTTCCCATGGCTCGCTGAGTTGGTTGCGATATGGAAGAAACTGGAGACGTGAAGATCTGGCAGATGTAGATTGCGGAGAGGATTGCTGGTCTGGAGGCGAGAACCGCCCAAAATCCCAAACAGGAAATACGCCGAAAATGCAGCGACAAGTCGTTTTCGTGGATCCGGGGAATGCGCTTAACCGAGCAGGGGGACTCCAGAACGAATAACTACAGCCTATGGGAGAGCAGAGTCTTTTCCGGAGGATGTGGGCTTGAACACTGTTTACCAAAAAGGATGGTGTTTTGTAAGAATAATCCACATTTTGCCTGCACAAACTCCGGCTATTGCTGGGCAGTAAAGAATTATGTACCATGCATGTATCTGTGCTCACCGAATGTGCAGTATTACATCCTCGATCAGAGTAGATAGTCCATGACCGGCCGCCCCCCATAAGACTGACTTCTGCCACCAGTCTGCCCTCACCCACTGGTCTTCAAGCAGTTGCTGCCCATTGAGTCCTGAAGTTGTTGAGACCAGCCATCAAGCCAAGGAAGCCAACCAAACCAGTGTTCATGCCTGGAATACCCGCAGGGTACAGGCTGTAGTGAACCGCGACAGGCATCCAATATGCCGCCACCATGAACTCATTCCACCATTTGCGGTCGTAATCTTCCCTCTCCTTGACCGATTTGCTCCCCCGCTTTTCCTTTTCGATCTCTGCCTCGCGCCACAGGCGGAGGAAGTCGCTGGCCACTCCCACTGCCCACGCACGACAGCTCCAGGCAACCCACTTGGCAACTCCTCCTCGCTTCTCAATGACCGACAGAGGGATGACACCTTTGCCGGCCAAGTGGTAAACGTTTTCTAGGGCCTGGAAACCGATATATCCGGCACATTGCAGCAACGCAACCCGGTGGAGGGCCGGGTCCATATCTGCCGAGGTCTTCTTCGACAAGAGCGTCTTCAACCAGATGTAGAGCGGCAGCAGTCCCGTCAAGCGCAGCGAGGTACGAGTATCCGATATAAGAGCTCCCAGTGGCGTGAGAAACGACGTTGCGGCGGACGGGGCTAGAGCCCCAGCGGGGAGCTTCGAAGGTGTGCGACCGATGAGACGCGAGATATATGCGATGACAGCAGCGCGGGCAGGTGCTTTTGAATGGAGGTATGCGGCCAGATAGATGGCATAGTTGAGGGTCGACAGAGCTGCGCCGAGGCCTGCGGTGGTCTTGATCAACCTGTATTCAATACGTTAGTGGAAGCGCCCCTTGCTCCATTGATTGCGAGTGTCACATACTTGCTGATGCGCAGAATGATCTCGTCGGCCTTGGAGATGGTGGTTTTGACCTCCTTGGGCACCTTGTTCAAGGCCGGGTGGTGCGAGGGCTTGATGGGCTCGACCTGGCCTCTGGCCTCGGGAGGGTCCTGGGGGACGACACTGGGGTCTGGATTTGCTGCCTCACTGCTCGACATGTTTGCAATGTGTGTAAAAGAGCTCTGAAGAGGAGGAAAAGGGGGCTGTCGCTGATATAAAAATCAATGGGATAGGAGGCGGTTGCAGATCTTAAAGTAATCAAACAAATCCCACAGTCTCACGTTAGAATTGCGTGGCCTATCTCAGGAGATGCACTGAGAAGATCCGTTACAGTCAGATTAAGATCCCAAGGACCGCAAATAGTCGAGGTGGATGGGGGAACTTATCCAAGTAATCAAGTTAATTCCCTGTTCTGGTTCTCCTCCTCGATTCTCATTCTCTTATTCGGCTCCGCTCCTTTCAACCGAGGCTTGTTCGGCTTTACTAAGCCGTTAGCCTTGGCATCCCCGTGCCCCGGTTCCTGCAGCTGTTGGACGTGTTTGACTGTCCAAGCGTCCAGTACGAGCAGTACGATGCACGTGACTCAGCCCGGCAGCCTCCGCAGTCCTCGCTCATGCCCATGCAAAACGTCATTGCTCAGCCTCTCACAGCCTCGCCCTAACTCGACTCCAAGACTGCGCCCTTTTTGCCCTCAAACTCTTACTATCGCCAGGCAACCTCATTTCTTCTGTACTCGTACAAGTAGACACGAAAAAATTCTCTTCGAGCTCCAGCGGTATATCTTCACGGCCGTCTCTCTGTGTCTGCTGCCTCTTCAATCGATGCCAATTATCATCTCTGAAAATCAAACTACCATTACCATGACATGTGGTGATATCTTCTTGGCTTTGATAGCCGTCCTCTTTCCCCCCATTGCAGGTATGTTGGTCATAACTTCACTCGTGGTATTCCTCTGCTCATATTCTCGTTCATTAAAGTCTGGATCAAGTCGGGCATCTGCTCGGTTGATTCCCTTATCAATATCCTCCTCTGCATGCTCGGCTACGTCCCTGGCCTTCTGCACGCCTGGTACATCATCGCACGCCACCCCGAGCGCGACTTTGATTATGAGGTGATTCCCGATTCCGAACGAGGGGGTCAGGGTGGGCGAGTCACATACTACTACATCCGTCATGAAACCGTCCCTCGGCGGGATTATGGTACGCAAGCTCAATCGCAAGATCGACCTGCCCCTCCCCCGCCTGCCGGCCAGGGTAGCAATAGACCGGCGCCACCGCCTCCCTCAAACCAAGAGCCTCAAGGAAATGAGCCTGCCGGACCAAGTGTGGGTGCGGGAAGCAATGAGCCTGGTGCCCCGCCTAGCTATTCGGAAGTTGTGAGGGGTGATCACAAGATTCAGACTCAAGATTAAGAACGTCAACTGGGCTATACGATCCGGTGCTGAGGCTATAGGACCAGGCACGCAAATGAAGTTACGTTCATGCTGTATAACTGTGGACGAAGGCGCAGGTGGCAAAGTGCCAGAGGACGATGGCGAAGGTGGAGTATTGGAACATCTCTGGCAAGGAGCAAACCGGGGCCTTGTATGGTAGAAAATTTAATCCACTAATGGTGTATTGCTAGCTCATGTGGACATGGTCCCGAATTGTCAATTGACGACGGTAGAATATGCGTTGCATCCTCCTTTCCCAGCGGTCTTTGTCTGGACTGGACCATCCCACAGCCACTTCTAGCCATTTTGAGCTTGTTCCATGCTCCCTACCACGCGCTCCACGTTGGACCCTGCTTTGATGAGACGCTAGTAATTATCCCAAAGAACGATAATGGACTCTTGCAGACGCCACTGGTTGACCCCTCAATGGCCCATCTTTCTACTTGACAAGGGCTCTTGCATGGACCAGGACCAGGACCACGTAGACGCTTTCTTTATCAGCGCGCAAAAAAAGAAAGACCATTTGCCCACCCCCGGAAATAGGCAATTCGACGTCGGAATCTCGACACGAGGACCTTCCATTTACAGAGCTTTTTGACTTGTTCGTGAAAATATGTTGCAAAGCTTAGCCGATCACAGGCGACTGGAGTTATATGCGAAGAAAGGAGCGCCTTCTTTCCGCGGAACATCCCGAGCTGAATTCGGCCGGTTAGGCTTCGAAGGTATCACTTCCGGGCGAGTGCTAAGGGGATCATTCGATCATCTGGAATCCTGGCCAACAACACGTTGCCACGGCTTCGGTATTCTCCTGCCCTTTCACTCTCCTGCCCTTCTGGACGTTTCGGGTTTGCAGCCCGTCATAAGCTGGTCAGGAGGGACGAGACCAAGACCAAAGCCGACTACGATTATTCTGTGTGCGACAGTTCAGGTCAAGTGAGGGGTATTGATCACGAGATTGGGCTCATAACAAATGGCGGCTTCGACTCTGCCAAGGTGGCATGGAGCCTCGTGTGACGGAGGGAATCTCAGTAGGCATGCCGCATGGAAATTCTCTTCCAGGACCTACGCTGACTGTAACGTGTGCTCAAGTCCCCGTTGAGCATGGAACAGCTTTGAGTCTGAGGAGTATCTGGTCGAGGCCTGGGCGCGGAGAGGGTTCCGGGTTGCTCGTCTCCGTTGTAAGTTGTCGCAACCAGTCCAATTGTACACTCGAGGCAGTCAGAATCTCAAGAAGTAATTTTCCGTAAGCCCAGATATCACTTAGCTTTTGTTCTTGGAGTGTATAGGAATCGGTTTCTCGATCACGGAGTTCTGGTGCAAGCCCCTCTATCGAGAAGGCGCCAGTGCCACCGATATCAATGAGAACCGCGTTCCCGTCTCGATCAAGGACGACATTGTCAGGCTTGATGTCCATGTGAGCGATGCCGTTCGAGTGTAGATACTGCAGGGCTGTGCAGATCTGAAAAGGCCACTGTTTCCACGGTAGACCAGTCAAGTCCTTCTGTTCCAATCGCTGCAGAAGGGCGCCACCTGGATACTTTTCCTGAAGGAAACCTCGGATCACATATTGGTTGTTCGCTTTTGTGGAGGCTACCATCTGGTAGGGGTTTGTCGACACGACGACCGCGCAGAGTCGGGCAATGTACGGCTTTTTGTGGATCCGTCCAAGGTTGTGGATCTCTTGGACGATGGCCGTCGTGTCAAGTCTGTTGTAGAGCGGTCGGTCAATTTGCTTGAGGATGAAGACTTTATCACCGAACTGAGCTTCGAATGTCGTTGCTGAAAGTCCTTCCCAACCCGGATATTTGACAGCTGGGCGATGGGTTGACGCGAGATGGATGGCTCGTAGGGTGGATAGACAATTCGATTCTCGTCTTCTCGAATTGTTACGGAGAAGCGACAAGCTGGATCCAAGAATCTGTTCCCTACTTGATCACCACAAGATCCAAGGTCAAATCGTAGAAAGTCTCCGGGTGCCATAATCCGAGCGTAAGAATCCGAGTCCGTGTTCGTAGACGTATCGGGTTGGAGACAGAACTCGACACGCTCGAAGTATCGATAATCCTCATTTTCGCTGTACTCCTTGAACAAAACCTGCCCTACCATCATGTGAATCGGAGTTATTGATTCGGATGAGGGCGAGAACTTGTACAAGAGGAACAGCGGTGAAGAGGAAAAAGGCCAGTCGACAAAGTTACCTCGAGCCACCCGCCAGGCTGCCAGGCACCCAGGACTTGTCAGAAAACCGGCAACGGCAATTGAGCCGAGAATGCATTATGCACTGACTATTCAGGTAATCGTCTAGCTAGTTGCCATGAGTCCTCAGAGCTACACGTTTAGCTGTCATTGTAAGGAGGTTCAGGAAAAATGTGTGTGTACGTTTGTGTGTGTATCTTTTGTTTGCGGACCAAGGCAAAACTAACACTATCCTTAATTAGGCCTAAAATAAGCCGATGGTCAACCCTCCAGTTTGCAAAGTGATGATATTTACCCAATCGGGCTTAGTGCTCGGGTATAGCCGTCGAAGTATTTCGTCAACTTGAACGTGCACCTTTGGCATTTCTGGCCAGCCACTCTGTATACCGAGTACCCTCAAAGACCTTCGGCCGCTCAGGAGCTCGTTGATTCTTGATGTTTCTGCTTCAGACTCTGAAAATCCCTGCAATGACTGTAAAGAGACCCCGCACAGAAGCTGAACAGCTGAGAGCAGCAGCCGAAAGCTAGCTTGATCAGGGTCCTCTGCTCAGCTAGCCACTGACTTGCCCTTCTCCCCTTGTCGAAGCCCGAATGAGGTGGAGGCAAGATGATCTCCATACTGGGAAGGGTGGGGTAATGAGGAATCTCATGTGATACGAGAGCTTTTCAGCCCGCCTGAATCTGCAGGTTCGTATCGAGGATCGTCACTTTGTGTTTTCAGTATGTGGTTCCCTACCAATCAGGCCTCCCAGGAACTGCCAGCCGCTTTCAAAATCGACTGGGTAACACACCCTTTCCGTCGTCGAGGCGTCCTGTTAGCAACTACTTTGATGCAAACGACCTACGACTCTGAGCTGAAAATATCCTTTGTCCCAATCTAGACACATGCCTCCCCATGTCTGAGACGATGATGTCGCATTGGTCAGAGGAAGTCTCATCACCCTTCGTGGCGGGTCTCTGAAGTCACAGAAAAAAGAACATACAGCTCATTTGAGACTGCCGCATTGATCGTCAGGCTGGGAGAAGCACAAAATGCCGTCAGGGCTGGGGTCGGAATGTTCTGACGCGCATCCACCTCACTGAGCAGAGGGAGGGGCACTCATAGGAGAGCTGATTCATATATCCCTTCTACTCTTTTGCGTTTTGGTCCTGATTTCCTCCAAGGTCGACAGTAGGACCTTGCCAGAAACCAGCCGTAGACATGGCCCCCATACGGAAGATATGGACGGGCATCATTTATTTCTTTGACTATCTGACAAATTCCCCAAGCCAGTTGTATCCTCCAGAGAATACTCCAGATCTCCAGATCCCAGTGCAAACCGTTCAGCCAATTCAGCCACAAGCCACGAAATACCCAATTTTCAATCCTCCAGACGACCTCGAAGATAGCCCCTTTAGATGCGAATATCCCGACTATCCGGCGGAGGAAGGCTGGAGAGCATGCAACGCCAAGACAGACAGGACATGTTGGCTCGAGAATGTCAAGACTCGTCAACGGTATGATATCCACACGGACTACGAGAACGATGGCCCCAAGGGTATCGTGAGGCACTACTACCTGGAACTGGAAGAATCCACCTGCAATCCCGATGGCTTTGCGAGTCTACCGGTGCAGCTATTCAACAAAACCTTCCCCGGTCCCCGAATCCAAGCTTGCTGGGGTGATCAGGTGCATATCACAGTCAACAACAAATTGACGGGCAACAACACAGGTGAAAACCCGGGCAATGGCACCACCATTCATTGGCATGGCTTTAGACAGTGGAATAGCGGCTATATGGACGGCGTCAATGCAGTCACACAGTGTCCAATCGCCCCCAACACCAACTTTACGTACATTTTTAACATCACCCAGTACGGAACTTCGTGGTATCACAGCCACTACTCCTTGCAGGTATGTCGCATATCACCCTCCTCATCCTCTGGGCCGATGGACTGAGGTGTTGTTGTTCAGTATGCCGCCGGTGCTCTAGGACCATTCACCGTCTACGGCCCGATGTCCAAGAGTTATGACCATCAATTGTATCCTATCATCATGAGCGACTGGCTGCATAAGAGGTACGTGACAACCACTGTCAAACTTGCACATCCATGTCCATAACGTTGATGGTCCCCAGTGTGTATCAGAAATGGGACGCGTCCATCCAAAAGAGTGGGAAACAGATATTCGTTGACAACATTCTGCAAAACGGCGTTGGTAAGTATATTCTCCGAATGAGAGAAATCTACCCAGGCTAAATGCAACCTCAGGCCACTGGCCGCCTCAGATAGAACTCGCACAAAAGCCCAAATTCAACGAGGTATTCTTCCAAAAGGTAATACAAAGTCTCGCCCTCGCCCCCTTATCACACATTTTCTGATCGGAAACCAGGGAGTCAAGTACCTGATGAGGCTCATCAACGGCGCTGCCGACACGACGTTTGTGTTCTCGATCGACGACCACAAGTTCTGGGTCATTTCGACCGACTTTGTGGCGATTGAGCCATATTATACCGACCACGTCGTGGTAGGGATAGGTAAGTGTGTGTTTTGCCATCCCCCCTTCCCCCCTGCGGCCCAACGAATTAGGTCAAAGGTATTTCTGGTGCTGAAACCTTGAGCATCTTCCAGGACAACGGTACAACATCATCGTCGACGCGAACCCGGAACGTTACAGCAGTGACCACAGCTATTGGATCCGGACCACTCCGGCGAAGAACTGCAGTTCGTTCGACCCGAACGGGCCCACGCCTGAAGAGCGCACGGGTATCGTCCGATATACTCTCAGCGACGAGTTGCCGAGCACCACGAGGCATCCCTTTGAAGCTACGTGTGCGGACGAGACCTACTATCGGAACATAACTCCAATAGTTTCCTGGACTGTCGGGCGTATCAGGCACCGTAAGAGGAACACCCACAAAAGACTACACATAACGTCCGTCTATAGAAGGCTGACTCGAACAGACGTCGACCCTCTGTACCTCAACATCCAGCCCATGAAGGGATACCCTTACTGGCCGTGCGACAAGACGGTCAACAGATTCGAGCTCGTGCCCAACAACCCCATGTGGCTCAACTTCAGCGGGCCGACGCTCTGGAACCTCGACCAGAACTTTACAGAAAAGGGGTGGCTCGCGGTGGTCGACACCAACGACACCAAAGAACACGAATGGGTGCAGTTGACCATCATCTCGGGGCCCAAGAAGTCCAAGTCCCCGCTCCTGCCACACCCGGTGCCCAAGGTGCCCGGCGTGTACGTGCCCGGCGAACATCCGATTCACCTGCACGGGCACGACTTTGCGGTTCTGGACCAGTGCGTGCCCGACGACCACACCGAGTGCGACGTGTCCAAGGCGAACCTGACGCTGACGAACCCGCCGCGCCGTGACGTCGCCTTCCTCCCGGACAAGGGGTACCTGATCATCGCGTTCCGCGCCGACAACCCCGGCGTGTGGATCATGCACTGCCACATCGCCTTCCACGCCTCGTCGGGCCTGGCCGTCCAGATCATGGAGAACCGTCAGAAAATCGACTTCCCGCCGCCCTGGCCGCAGCGGTTCGCAGACCTGTGCGAGAGTTGGGACCGCTGGAGCCCGTACATGCACGACCCGTCCGATCCGTGCGGATACCTCGATCCCGGCGAGGAGCCTCTGCAGACGGACTCGGGCATCTAGGCCTGGGTTTTTCTATCGCCGGTGCAAAGTCTCGATGGAGCACAGGTATAGCTAGCAGCACCGACAAGAAGAGGAGGTAGCCGTTGATCGTGTTGTGGGACGGGGCTCAGAGTGGCGGCACCAGGAAACACAAAACTAGGGAGAATGTGTTGTGAAGCGCGGAAGGTGGAAGGGTATTCAGAGCTCTAGAAGAAGCTCCAATATCTATCAATGTAGGTCAAACATTCACTCTTTGCTCGGGTAAAAGGTCATTAGTCCAAATGCAATATTTCGCCGCTCAATCCATTGCTTGCCCACCTGTCTGTCTGTTGGCTCTGCGCTCTGCGCCTCCAATGTTGATTAACTCAAGACCTGCTTGACATATCCTACCTTAATACCCGACCACCTCTTGCTATTAAGCTTACCGATCCCAATAATGCGGCTCTTGGCTCCAAGTGTGTATGCAAAGTCCTCAAGAGGGCACTCCAACCGCAACCTCCTCCTCATAGTCCAAGCCATTTTTGATAACGGCAACTTCACCGTTTCGTGCAAAGAGTACATCTCGTGCCGTAGTCGCACAGACTATGTCTCGAGTTCCCGAGAACCAATCATGAGGCACGAAGAAGTGTCTGGAGTACTGGATCGGCGGTGAAGGTGGCCGTGGAGTCGAAACTGCTGCCGCCGTCGCTACGACAGATCTGTCTAAATGGTCGAGATCAATGGAGCTGACCCAGGAGTTGGTGTCTAGGAAGATAAGTTTGCCCGTGTCGGTGAGATGGATGACATGGAAGACGTGGGGAGTCAAGGCCAGGATTTGAGGGCCAATGAGAGGCTTTAAAACGTGTTGTTGGTAGGTCTGTAGCATTGGTTCCCCGACAGAAGGCTCGCCTAAGGAGCTTTCACCCTCACTTGTTAAAACTGCTGGGACTTCCATGTCGACGAGGCCGTGGATTCCAGCTTTCTCTCTTTCCAATCTATCGCCTAGACACGTGCCATCTTCAAGGTTGAATGGTGTTGCGTCAAAGACGTAAATGGAGCGGGTTCTGGCGGACCCATTGAGCTCCGATAATTCCAGAAGCATCCAGCGTCGTTGGCTTGAATCGTATCCTCGGACGCTCTTCAACTGTACGTTTGTGGTATCCACTCCTAGCTGAAGACGTGAAACTTCCGACAGGTGACACCAACAGAATATGCGCGCATCCTCCCCTTCGATACATATTGCATGGCGTTGGGATTGAGGGTGCTGTATCCATAGTCGAATGCCTGACTTCGTTAGACATGACCGTGCTGCAATCTGCTTCCCGTTGCTGTCCCAGAGATAATCCGACTCCCGCGTCGAAAGGATGAGGTTACTGGTTGTCTCGGACCTCAGGACTTGAACGATAGCATGGCCACAATCCAGGCGAAGTTGAAGGGGAAGCTCGTTTGAGATCCATCCTCCTTTATGGTCCCTCATCAGAGTGGAAGCCAGCACTTTGTTTGATGCATCCACACTCGTGGTAATATTATCACGAGTCTGCCAAGTGAGAGTGCGGATTGGAGATTTGTGTTTGTGAATCTGTTGCAGAAAGGCGCCTGTTCGAGCATCATACAGACAGACAGAACCATCATCCTTGCCGCAAATGACTACCTGGCCCTGACTATGAAGGGCCATGGTACTGATTCTGACTTTATCATCCGATGTAGTTGCTTCGATTACCGACGTTGAAGTAATCTCGCTCGGATTTTCTGCAACTGTGTCACGCAGCAGTATCGTAGGCTCCCAAATATTGCATTGTGACCGGCGGACGTCTGCGAAATGGAAGTTGTCTCGGCTGAAAATAATCTGTTTGATGCCCTGCTCGGATGATTTGATCCTGTACAACAGCCTCAATGTATGAAACTCATATAAATTGATGGTCTCACATGCAGCCACACCTCCCAGGAGACGTCCGTTCGGGCTCGAAGTCAACGCACGGCAGTTAGCTCGAAAGCACTCCATTTCCTGCTCTTCGAAAGGATCAAGGAGGGCAAGTTGACCGTCAAGGTACGAGACAGCAAGAAGTCGAGTGACAGGATTGGGGTTGAAGGAGAGCGATGTCACTAGATGCTTACTGACCTCACCATTGGCAAGAATTCGCCCACAGCTGCCATAGTATTCGTCGTATTGAAGGTCCCAGATTGTGATGGGCTGGCCAATATATGCCACGGCCATTTTTTGATGTCCGATAGAGAAGGAAATAGCACATGGTTGAAGGGGGGAAGGTTGCTGCGTTTCCTCATCCGAATGACTCCAAGGTCGGTCTTCTTGTGGTAAGGCATTGTTGTTCAAATCCCAGGAGGTCAGGTAATTTCTCCTCGACGCCACCAAAAGTACATCTTTGTCAAATTCGAGAGCGATAGGTCGAAAGGGAGCGGACAATCTATGTAATGCATCGCCCGTGCGGCTATTCCACACCGTCACATTCTTCAAGCCACAAGATACGAGGATGTCAGACTTAGGCTTGAAATGTAATAGCCGAACAGCTTCTCCATGATCCAGCGCTCTCTGTTCCTCACATGACGTTGCATGGTAGAGTTTGACGAGTCCTGAGGTTGTCCCAACAGCAAAAAGTTCGTCTCCGTAAGCGAGGCTTGTGAACTCATCGCCTTGGAGCTCTATAGACGTCAATCGGTCGTCCCATTGATCGTAAGACATCCCACTAATTGACAGTGTTGCTGTTCGACATCTCTGACATGCTTTATACAATGTCGAGTTACGGGGGCAAAAAGAGGGGATATGGGTGTAGATAGAGTCTGGATTAGCGATAAGAGCGTCAGAAAACTTGGCGACGACGCGGGCAAGATCGGTTGTAGCTCCTTTGATGATTTGTATTTCCTTTGAGAAACGGGCTGCGTTACAATTTTTAGCATAAACCCGGAGATCTTTCGCTGCTCGTATAATTGGAGTCAGAATCCTTGTCTGGGCGATGCTATCAATCCACGAAAGGACATTGGCTTCCAAAAATCTGGAAACAAGAACAGGAACATCAAGTGATTCGCAGTCAGCACTGGCAAGGTGGTGTGCGAAGGCTGCGCAGGCATACGTCGAGAATTGGATGTTCGAGTCCTTGATGGTAGTACCTGACCGTCGGCGTGACGTTCGCCTCCGAGTCCTGGAAGGTCTCATTCTGTCACTTGTGAGGTAGCTCAAGCATGTCACAGCGATCCTTTTATGCGCCTGAGGCTTGCTCACGGCAAAGTCTGACTGTAATCCATCCTTGGTGAGATATTCTCGGACTGTCTCGTGTATAATCTGGACATTGTTGAACTTATCGATAGCAACGAGTTGGCCACACAATTTCGGGATAATTTCTTCGAGTGCATCATACTTGTCCCCAAGGTCCAATTTCAGCGCATCAGTAAGCTCTTTCGTGCTTAGTGGTCTCATAGCACAAGCCACCCAGGTGAGGATGGCTTGGGCCACTCTCTTTCCACTTCCTGCAGTCGTCAATTCCATTGAGTCCAGCACTCGTCGGTATAATGAGTTCATGTCTCGAGGGACGTCGTCAAGCACCTTATTGAGCTCCGCTTCACCGTAGGTATTTGCAAGCTCTTCTAAAACCAGGAGGGTCCATAGAAAGGAGCCTTGGGATTTTTCGAGCACCCTCCCAAGTAGCGCAGCCCGAAATTCATCATTCTTGACCATTAGAGAATGTGACTTTGCCTCAATGACGAGTTGAATATCCTGAAGAGTATCAGGCGTCGAAATTGGTAATTCACAAAATCTGTGCGAACCAAGGCTCAGAAATGCAGCCTTGATCTTCGGCATATCCCGGGCTGTGACAAGAACTCTCAACTTTGTGGCGGAATCGAGCTGGCTAAGGAGGGCTTCGATGAAAACCTCAGGAGCTTCACACTCATCTAAGCCGTCGATGATCCAGTAGTGAGGTTCATTCTGGCTTCTGAATATTGTCGAGACAAATATTTTGCGCCAAAGAGTGCGTTCATTCTCACCGTCAATATAGGTATTTTCCTTGTACAAATCGCTCAAAATGCGCCGAGTGTGCTCATTGTTACAGGCCATTTGGAAGGCTAGTGACTTAAGGCAGTTGATGAGCCGAGTCTTCGAGTTCTCACCATGTCTGAAGAAATAGTAGCTGCTGTTTGACTTTTGCTGTTGAAGTTGCGTGATGATATAGCCCGCAAGAACAGACTTGCCCGTGGCGGGTTTCCCACTGATCCAGAGAATGGGTGGTGTGTTTGCGGTAAGGTCTCTCCACGCTAAGTAGCTCTCTTTCTGTGCAATCCATTCGCAAGTTCCAGGCAGTTGGGAGCCTTGGGCAAGCTCGAGATCATCTTCGGGTTGGTGAGGTATGCGCAAGTGCTGGTTGAGATCGTCTAGTTCGTGCTTCTGTCGCGCCTTGTTTCTTTTCGCCAACTCAGCTAATATGCTTGCAACCGTCATGGCAAGTGAATTACGAAGCTTTGTATAGTTGCCTTCCGTTTTTGATTTGAATTTGCAGATCGATCGGTGGTCGGCGGCCATTGGGGTTTGGATTTCCCCTGGCAAATTGAGGACTGCAGACTCTGGTTCAACTACCCTTGACCGAAGGTATTTCATTGGTTGCATCTCATAAAATGAAAACAGCTGAATTCCATCAATGTAGTGGCGGAACTCTTCGTTGATAGCCTGGAGTGTTCCGGAAGCTTTCTTCAATTCCTCCACAAAAGTAGGCGATATGGAGAGAGCGTTCAACATCCGATCCAGGATTTTTGCCCAGTCAGAGCCTTGATGCGGTGTTGCAAGAAAATACATCGCCCGGAACCTGGATGTCAGGAAATTGAGAGACTTGTCATGTTTCGCCAACATATACGCTCGCTTTATCACCAAGCCTCCCATGCTGTGCCCGGTCATGATCAGTTGAGTATCTGCCTGTCCGATATAAGGAGAGGTCCTCAAGTCTGCTAGTAGGGATTGCGCGAAACTGTGTATGGTCCAACAGCCATCCCTGTGCTTGACGTAGTCCGAGTTGTACCCAAAGCTGTGGATGCGGACATTTTTGAAGGCGGGATCCTTTGAAAGCCACTCCTTTGGCCAATAATTCTGCGCAGTCGAGGGTTCAAGGCTCCAGGTCTTTCTTGAGCCACCTCCCAAGCCATGAACGAAGATCAAGTCGATAAGAGGCTCGGAGGGCGTATAGAGCAAGCTAAGGCCAAGAGGGCCTCTCTCATCAACTACCTCGTCGTAGTCGATTGAGCTTGGAACCGAGGGAATCTCTACGGGGGATCTGCCCTCTGGCAGTATAAGGCTGGCAGTAAATTCTTTGATCTTCCTGCGACATATTCTGCTTGACTTCAGAAAGATGGTCAGATCGGCCAAAGCTAACGATGAAGTGCTGGATCATGGGGACTAACATACCATCTTGCCCACATCTTTCCCCACAGCCTTGCAAGGTGTGAAATGTTTTTCACCCAGGTCACTATGGGATGATTGATGGGTTCCAGATGAAGGGGGGTCTCATTGCTGGTTTTCCACGGAGAACAAACTCAACTTGGTGATAGTAGTATGGAAAGCGAAGTTTCGAAGATAGTACGATAGAGCGGGAAGTGAGGCTGAGACCTCTCGCAGTGAGGTGAAACGAGCTAGTGCAGGAAACCTGGGCGCTTAGTAGAACAAGGAGGAGCGCATCCGAGTGGCGTTTGAGTCTCAGCAAAGAACTCGGACACATTTTGGTTAGCAGCAGAGGTGGTGGTGGTGGCGGCTACCTGCATGTCTGCTGAGGTTCCACGTGGCAACCTGCGCCAGGCTGCGGCTTCTGATGAAACTGCGGTCAGTCCACCATTCCTGAAGATTCAGACCCCCCTCCCCCATTTGTGAATGCAGAATTTACCAGACTCCATATTACCTCTGAATTACCGATTGATGGGAAATTGAGTTCACCTGTTAACGTTCCCATAGCCCTTTCTCACTCACCAAGGATGGCCGGTGGATAATCTCACCCTACCATCGAAGTAGGTGATCACGAGGCTTATAGGGAATACGCCCTCGTGATGGCACAGCTATCACCTCCAGCACCCACAAACCTATGTGTTTGAGCTGTCATCGTGAACGGAGACAGTGGCGATGTTGGGTCGACTGGCGACTCGTTGGATTTCCCGGGTGATGGACCTGGAGACTCGGGCCCGATACACGCCGAGCACTGTCGCTTCATCAAAATCCCCAAGAAACATAACATGCCAAATAACAACGTCGGCAGAGTGTTGCCCAAGAATACAGTTCTCTACACGACCAGAGAATCATGCAACGAGCGGTTGCGCGGCAACCGAACTTGTATGGAGAAAACCCTCCCACTCAAGAATTCCATCAAATTGGTCCATGTCGGCATCACGTAGCCGGGGACGTTTATCTGCCTCAACCAAGGCAGGAAGCGACTCGAAGAGGCGGGCGTCGTGGTCAGACAAATTGAGAAGGAAGAGGTTCGTGACCGGATATACAAGGCCTCTACGGCAGGACATAATCAATAGGATATGAGTGGATCGTCGAACGCAGCTCGAGGAGAAAAGCCCGGGGCCGTGCGCGTTTGCTGAGGGTCACCTTTTTGCTGACTTGAAAAGCTTCCTTGGTACAAGTCTTGGGGCTTCCCCTTCCCTGCTGAACTGTGGCTAAGGAACAATCAAACTCAAACAGGACACTTAGCTGGCCCGCTCCAGCGAGTCAGAAACCGCTACCAACATGCAGACTTGTAAAAATACAGACACTCACCCCCTGATCTGGCTAGTCGACCAGCTCACGTACAAGACGACGAGTCAACCCGAGATAAATCGCAGAAGCTTTCGAACCCCATTTTCCCTTAAATCTTCCCGGATTCGCAGCACGAGTCTCCTGCAAGGTAGCTCTATACTGGGCGTCATGGGTTCTGAGGAGGCAGAAGGATTCGAATCTGGAGGAACCAATCCTTCTGTCGATGCGAGTGTCATTGCGGAATTGCCTGGAGGGTGCCGCATCCTCTGTACCAAAAGACACGGCGAGAGCTTCTGGGCGAAGACCAACCGGATCGACGTCTTGTTGGCGGATGGGCTTACCAAACAATCATATTTCATCAAGATCATCTCCCACGATACGGGTAGAAACATGGTCCATGGAGAATTCGAATCGATGAAAGCTATCTACAACATACTGCCAGACTTCGCACCCAGGCCGACTGCCTGGGGCACGTATCGGAACGATCCCGACACGCACTTCTTCCTGTGCGAATACCGAGAAATGGCAAAAGATATGCCTGATCCGGACCAGTTTTCTGCACAACTGGCTCTGCTGCACAAGAACAGCAAGTCTCCCAATGGCAAGTTTGGCTTTCACGTCACAACCTACGGCGGCAATCTCCCGCAGTTGAACGACTGGGAGGACAGTTGGGAGACATTCTTTACAAAGAGTATGCGATGGGCACTCGACCTAGAACTAAAAGTCAGGGGACACGATCGAGGTTTTGATACACTGATACCGACTCTGTTCGAGAAGGTGATTCCTCGACTGCTTCGACCGCTGGAGAGTGAAGGCAGATCTGTCAAACCTTCGCTTGTGCACGGGGACCTCTGGTATGCCAACTCAGCGGTCGATGCCGACACAAGTGCCTCTTTGATTTTCGACGCTTGTTGCTTCTACGCCCACAATGAATGTGAGTGCTTCCGTCCTAAAGTCGTTGTGCCTGTTCCGTCAGAGAGGCCATAGTCTAACACATGTCAATGCCCTTCAAAACAGACGAGTTCGGGCAATGGATGCCTACTTGTAACAAATTCGGTGCCGCGTACTTGACCGCCTATCACTCTTATGTCCAGAAATCATCCCCAGAGGAAGATTACCAAGGCCGGCTGGATCTCTACAAGTTGTGAGCCCAGCCTACACACTTTCCGTTTCCCACGTCCCCGTTACTAATCATAGCGAAAAACAGAAGATTCAACACTCATGTGTCTGCTCTGTTCCCCGAAAATGAAACTTTGAGAGAACAGTGAGAAGCATTTCCTCTTTTTCCTCCCCATAAGCTGATTATACATGCGCCCAGGATGCTCGGAGATATCAGAGATCTCGTTGCGCGCTATGGCTCGTGACTCGCGACTCGCGCCGGCACAGGAACCTGATCAGGAGCCACCTACATCGGAATACCAAGGGCTAATCGATCGGTTGCGTTGTGCGCCCGGCTTCTGCAGTGTTTGATTGACATTTCCACAACGTAAGTCGCAACCTGTTCCAGGCTCGAGCCCGGGCCAGTGGCGGCCCTAGGCAAGGCGTGAAGCTGTTCTGGCCCGGAGACACGGGGACAGAACTCCCTTTTTGACTGCGGTATAAGGGCAATATGGCAGACTCAGCAAGGAACCCATTCCTACCCTCAATCCTAACAGGACATGTCCTCGAGCGATTAATTCCGAGATTCAACCCTTCAGGGCGATCTCCGGACGAACCTACCCTTCTGCCGCGTTACGAGGTACAAAGGCTTTGACATAAAAACTCGAATTATCTAGAGATTCAACATCTTTATCTACTCAACATGGATAAAGAGGAGGACTACAATCTAGCTTATATACTAGGATATATCAAGCGTGAAAATGGAGGAATTGCGCCCCTGGTGCGATTGAAGGTGTATAGGACGGAGATGGTTAGTCATATAGGTCGTTCGAGGTATATTATTATCTAGGGATCGTGAAGCAACGGCAACGCCTCTCTCATAGCGAGTAGATACAAAGATTGAAGCTGCGCTAACACACCTAAACTTGGCTTTGACCCGTTCTGGCCTTGCCCAACAGTGTATGAAGCGATCAATCAATCAAAGTCTGACCCAATGGAGTTACGTAGACACTTCGCAGCATATTGCCCTTCTCGGCCTGGTACAGTCACAGCCTTGCGGCAAGGATCCTTCCGGCCTGGGCACGTCCCGCATCTTGCTGTCATCCAGTATCCAGTCAAGCCCGTGTTCGCATTTGTATCCTTTTAGGGTTGCAAAATGCGAACTTTTGAATCGTCTGTCATTGCTTATGGGGCCTGGGGTTACCGGGAGACGGATAATTGGATAATGGCGATGGTTGTCTCCGAAACATATAAAAAGTGTACCAAGGTATACTCATGCTCAACCACAATTCTTACCTGGGAACGGCATTCCATCTTTCTCAGTTGTCACATGAAGATTCTCTTCCTGTCCAACGCGTCTCAAGGGCTCCTCACAACAACGTGGCCACCTCATTTTGATCAACGTCATGGCACAAAACCTCCAAGTCCGTGTTGACCAAGGCAACGCGACCATGTCCCATCCACCATCGGCAGAGAGTTACTTTAGAGAACCTACCTCGTCCAGTATTTTATACTTCCATATCGGGTTCATGATCCTGGCTTGGATAGGAGCTCTTCCCCTTCGCAAGTAGCTCCCATCTCTTCGAGGAACCAAGCACTGACAATCTCTAGCAGTGGCGTCGTTGGAAATGGCTCGCTCCAACCTTGTATATCCGGCTCGAATCCTCCTTCTCGGGTTGCATGCCCTCGGAACGGTCTTTGGTTTCGCATATAATTCCAAAACACCCGACTTGTATCGCAACAGCTCACATCATGCGCTTGCTTGGACCTTGACCGCGTTCGCTGTGTTGGAGTCGATTGTCAGGATCATGAGAAGTTTGTCGCGGTCTCGGTCCGTCAAATCCACTTTTGAAGGGAGTCACGAAGAGCAACCGCTTGTTTCGTCTGCCAGGAATTTTCAAGAAAGCGAGGAGTCTCTCGATCACGACCACATACACGCCATCGAACAAAACTATCTCACACCACAGAGGGAGCCTCGAAGAAATCGGATCAATTCAATGAGAACCGACTCGCACAATCGGCGTAACTTTCCTCTATGTCCTCCCCGCCGCGCAATTGATGGACGGTATGGACGGCTCTTCTCCTCGATCAGGGCCCAAAGGTGGACCAAGATGATTGCATCCCAGCGCTTTATTCCTCTTGCGGCACTCACGTCTGGCTTTTTCGTCGTGGTAATGATGGTCCTAGCATTTGTTGCTTTCTGCACTGGAATCGTCACCATGGCTGGAATATTTGTGAGAAGGCTTCCCCGTGGCTTCGCTTTGGATACTCACTGACAATGCCTAGCATGGAGATAATCTCTTGAATGGCTTGGCTCATTTCATCAAAGGCGGCGTCTTCTTCTTCTTCGGCATCATCACCTTACTCCGCTTCGTTGGCTCCCTGTCTGGGCTTGGCTGGGCGTGGAATCTCAAAGCTTCGGGTCCTTCATCTCGGAGCTGGCATCACTCCGTCACCATGGAAGGGCTTGAATGCTTGCTCATCTTCATCTACGGAATCAGCAATGTTTTTCTCGAACATCTCTCTGCGTGGGGAGAGGCGTGGACGGCGCAGGATCTCGAACATGTCGCGATATCGCTCTTGTTCATTGGCGGTGGGCTGGTGAGTGGTCCCGTTTGCGCCATCTGTTGACTGCCTGGGCAGTATATTTACTATATTCTAGTGCGGCATGATGGTTGAGTCCCGGACGGTGTCTTGGACATGGTCGATTCCAAATACCAGCACAGACAGAGTCGCTCTCGGTTCGAACGAAAGGCACACGTTGACACCCGGATGGTCGACCAACCCCATCCCCGCTATGATTATCTTCCTGTTAGGCACAATCCTCGCGGGCCACCATCAAAACAGCACGGAATCTACCATGATGCACAAATGGGTAATCACCCCTCTCAACACGCTCTGCGCTTCTGATGGCCGCAATGTGACGTTGTAACTAACGCGGTCGCAGGTGGGCAACTTCCTCACCGCAGCATCGGTGGCGAGGAGTCTCACGTACTTATTCCTCCACATTGCCCCCGCGAGATCTCAATCACCGTCCCGACCTCCAACCGAGCTCGTCACGTCGTTTTGTCTCATGTGCGGAGGTCTGATGCTCATGGCTAGCGTAAGGAAGAACTCTGCTCAATGTGGTCAAATGCTGATATCTCGTCGGTGAATACAGAACAGAGACACGGTCGATGCCATGATGGAAAATGAGCTGAACGCAATGCTAGTGGCCTCGGTCATGATGGGCCTCACGGCTGTTTTGATGGCGTGGTGTTTGGCCGTCGTTGGTATCAAGGAGTGGGCGCAAAGGGGGAGGGAGAGATATACAGAAGAACAAGGAGAAATGGCATTGGAGTGAGCGATGATTGTGGGCAATTGACTGGTTGACTTGGGCATGCAGGCAGCAGGAATTATCTCCATGCTTCTACTACCAGGAAAGTATTTTGTGTGCTTGGTACGTGGTGGAGTCCTTCTCCATTACCTCGTAATATGTATCTTTGTATCCACCTGGAGATCCACTTCCTTTACCCAACATGCCAATAATCCAAGCACCAAGCCACGTATGATTACGATTACGAATGATACTTGCGGTTAAAATGTTACCACCGCTTCCTCTTCGTATTCTCCTTGGCGTAATAATACGAAAATCAAGGCCGTCGTCAGGCTCCAGGATTAACTTTGACATCCCGAAGATCCGCGTGTACCTCGTACATATATCGCTAGGTAGCTACACGCGTCGAACCTCCCCCAACCAGAGCATCTCATGGGAGCAAATACCATCAAGTCTACTCGTACACTGACACTACCGGCCTTTTCGGATATCTCTACCACAACCAGCAATGGTTGGAGTCGCAGGAAGTTCCAAGGGCTGCAACACGTGCCGGAAACGCAAGATCCACGTACGTCTCACCATTCCCCCGCGAACGAGTATTCCCTGTCTTTTTTTTCCTTTCACCCTTGTGGCAATGGGGATTCTGACAAGGAACCCTCGGAAGCGAATCAAAGACATACCTTACCTAACCTCAACCTACGCTAGGTGTGTTGTTCGATTCTTAGTAGTGTGATGGAGACCGACCGTCGTGTGCGCGATGTCGAAAAACCAATCGTGTCTGTGGGGGTTATGAGAGGGAACGACACTTTAAGAATCTGAGCGCCTTGGACCGCGAGACGTTGTTGACGAGGACGCAGCCGTTGGTTTCGCTCACGGACTTGAGGCGGCAAATCACTGTTGATGGCGACGCACGCTCGGTTGACCAGTTCACGCCGGGCAGTGACTCCGGAACGGGTGGCACCAGCGTAATGACCGCGAGGATAACGTCCCAAGACCAGAAGTTTGAGGGGTTAAGGAACACCGCCGGGCTTGCGGAGGTGTTTGTCGACTTTCTCGCCAACTACATCCCCAGGAGAGAAGAAGAAGAAGGAGAGGAAGGAGAAGAACGTGACACCGGACTTCAGAACGCGAAAAAGACCCAACAAGTTTCCTGGCTCCAGGCCATCGACCCGTCGTCGCTGGAAAACAGCGCCTCGCTCGATCTCGCAATCCTGGCATTGAGCCTCTCCTGTCTGGGTCGCAGACACGGCGACGAGCGGCTCCGACGTGAAGGCACGGCCAACTACGGGAGAGCGCTGCGTCGACTCCAGGACATTCTCTCGCACCACAGCCTGCTTTTGGAGGAGCAGACTCTGGCCAGTTGTATGGCGTTGTCGATTTTCGAGGCATGTCTCTCTTTCCCATTCCCTCCTCATTCTTTCCCCCGTTCTCCCGTTCATCCCTCACAAACACTGCTGCGACGTTGGAGTCATGAATAGAACTGTTTATCATTGACCGGATTCACAGCTCCTCGAAGTCTCCGGGAAGAACACCTCCGGATGGGTTAGCCACGTCGAGGGGATGGCGAGGTTAGTCGAGCTTCGAGGACCCGAATCCCATATGACGGGATCGAGCCATCGACTCTTCCTGGGATTCAGATCCACCGCTGTGAGTTACCTACCTACCATCAATGTTGAAAACCACTCCCCAGCACTCACTCACTCACTCGTACGATTTCCACCAGATCACCCACGCCCTGGCCACCCGCAAATCGATCTTTCTCGCCCAACGGGACTGGCTGACCGTGCCGTGGAAGATACACCCCAAGTCGGATCTTGACCGGTTACAGGATATCATGGCTCAAGTTGCGACTCTGCTCGAGAAAGCCGAACGACTTAGGACTGCTTCGACTTCCACCGCCGTCGCCGCCACCGTGCCAGAGAGAACAGCACTCGTCCATCAAGGATGGATATTTCACTCTCAACTCCAGACCTGGTACCAGCGACTGGTCCGCAAGCACGCCGGGTGTGGAGCGCTGTATTGGGAGCGACCGGTGTCGGCACGATTTCATCTGCCTGTCCCGAGTGTGTTTACAACGTCACTACAGTTTCCGACCTTTGAAATCGCCCGACTCCATCTCTCCTACTGGACCATGCTGCTCTTACTGCGCACGAGCATCCTCTCCCTTGCCTCGCGAGAGTCGCACCCAAGCAACACTGACACTGACACTGGTGCCGAACCTCCTCCTCCTCCTCCTCTGGAGGTTCCAGAGATCCCGGACCACGACCTCGCAACCATGATATGCAAGTCAATGGACTTCTTCCTCTCCGACGACGCGCGCATCCTGGGTCCGCAAAACGTGTTTTTCGCCCTCCGCGTCGCCACACACGTGTTTTCCCGCCCCGCCACCACCACCTCCACCGCTGGAACACCCCACCACCTGCGAATCGTCGAGTGGTGTCGCGCCGTTTTTGACGAGTTGGACCGCCGGGGGTATTCGTTGGGCAGGATCTTGGCGGAGTGTCCGTGGGATGAGATCCCGGCGTTGTTGTCGCCTCGCAACCACGGCATCACCTCACGACGAAGGCCAGGGCCGGGGGTAGAGTTAGGGGATATAGGAGAGGGATAAGGATAGGGAGAGGGGGGAGAGGCGGAGTCAGAGTCAGTGTCCGGGGTTACGGCCAGGGGTATCTACACAAGATGGTTGGGTGGTTCGAGATAATTTCTACCTCGAACAGGGGTACACAAGATAAAGATACATACATACACACGCATCTATCTACCTACGTTGTTTGAGAGAACCACAATCGCTCACAATGGCGGAGAACCGAACCGTGCAAACCCATACAAAACAAACACTCCTAAAAGAAATCTACTGCCACTGTTTAAAGATGACGGCAGCGAGGGAGGGGTATCCATATCTCCTTTTCGATTTACGTGCGTGATCACAGAACGGAATGGTGTTACATTAATTAATGGTAACTGATATATACTACCTAGGTAACATACCATAGTACCCTGTTTGTCGGTCACGCACAGACACATCTGTATTGTAGCCGCAGTGTCTGTGTCTACATCTGTGTCCCTGTCCATTCAAGACGCTCCGTTGCTCTACACAGGCATGTGTGTCTGTCGCAACTCTACCCCCATGGCCATGATATACTCAACCATAACACAGGGGCAGGCATTTCGTCATGTCCACGTCCATCTCATCATCGTATCTGAGCATACCGCAACTAGGGTGAAGTGACTTCCAGTCCCCCTACATCCGGAGCGTTCAGCTGGGCTAAAACTCCCACTCAATCAGCATTCCATCTGGCCCTCTCATTTCTCCGAGTCCTCCCCCTTCTTCGCCCTCATATTCCGCATCCATGTCTTTCTTCTTCTTACTTTCCTTCTCCTTCCTCACCACATTCTTCGGCGGCGGCTTGTCTCTGTCCACCTTCCTCAAGAGGCTCGGGATGTTTTGTCTGCGAGACAGACCGATGCGGTAGATTGTCTTTCTCCCCGAACCGCTGAAACTTGGAGGGTTGATGGGTGAGTGCTTGGTCGGTCCCTTTTCTGCAGACGACGCCGATGCAGCTGGCTTCGGCTTTGCTGGTGTGCTGATCGCCTTGTTTACTTGGCCGTCGCTAGGTACAGTGTCGTTTTCTTCCAATGCCGCCCCTTTCTCAACCTCCGGCTCGGCCTCTGGTTCGGGAGATGTGATGGGTGAGACCGTGGGTGCCTTTCTCAAGTCTCCCTCCCTCTGATTTCTGCTTGCGCCAGTTGGGATGTTGCTGGACTTCTCCGCCAGCGGTGAACGACCCTTTGAATGCGATTCTCGGTCTTCCTCCTTTCCTTCAGTACTCGGTTGCTCCTGTTGCTGATCTCCCAACTTTTTGGGCTTTCTCCCCCGTTTCTTAGGCTCCACTATAGGGTCCTTAACCTCTGGAGGGTTCGGAATCTCAATGGTAATGTTGTTGCTCATTGCATCTTTGGTTTCTTCGCCGTCCTGTCCGAGTCCGTGCTCTTGCTCGCTTTTCGGGACGTCAGACTCTTTCTTCAACGCCTTCAAGTCAGGTGGCAGATCCAGCTTCACTGGCGCCGGCTTCGTGTCCATCCAGACAACATCTTCCTCACCATCGCTTAACATTGGGTCTGTTTTCTTGAGCAAGGCCGCCGCAGACGTCTTCGCACGCTTGACTTTACTCTTTCTACCTTTCTTGGTGCTGGGCTTTGCTGCACTGACGGCAGGAGTTTCTTGCTCTACACTGTTGTTGTTGTTGTTGTTGTTGCTCTTCGTTGGGGTGCGATGGTCATCTTCAACTGCCAGTGGAGGCAGAACAGTCTCATCCCCGTCAACAAACTTCTTGGATCGCGCCCGACTGGGACGAGGCTTGTAAGCTTCTTTTGGTAGCCCGATCATGATCTCATCACTGAGATTTAGCTCGCTTGTCGGTTGATTGATGAGGAGAGATTCTGTAGTCTGTTGTTCCGTCTCGTCTTCTACAACAAGTTTGGACCGAGACCGACTGGGTCGTGGCTTGTATGCTTCTTTTGGAAGTCCAATCGCAGCTTCGTCGCTCAAAATCATGTCGCTTGTGGGCTGTTTCCAGGGGGATGACTCGCCATCTCCTGTAGCGGCTTCTTCTCCCATGTGATTTGATTTCCTTCTCTTCCGCTTCCTGGAAGCATTTGTCGCAGATGTTTGAGATGCTTGAGATAACGACTCCATTGTTCCCCGGCGAGATCTGGTCGCGTTTGCCAAGATTGTGCAACCCATATCGTCTGGATCGTCATTAACATCAAGACCAGGAGATTTGGAAGACAGTCTAGAATTCTTCGCTTTGCGTCCGCGTTTTCTGGGCAATGAGTCCTTCTCCATGGACATTGTAGGTATATCCCTAGTGCTGGCTGGAGCAGGCATGTCGTTTGTGATCTCAGTTACTTGGAAGAGGCCGTCTCCATTCGCAGAGGCCGTTCCATCTGTCTGAGTAATTCGAGCCGGATCAATCCCCAGCGGTTTTGTTGGTGATAACTCTGACAAGATTTGCAAGGATTCGTCTTGCCATGGCTCGTGAATATCCCGACTCTCGTCAATGTGGGTTTGTCTTGCTTCAACAACCTCGACCAAATTCACGAGGTTTTCCTGTCCGGCTTGGTTGGGTTCTTCCAAAAAGGAGATCTGGCTCAACGACCCAAACGGGTTTGTGTTGACATCTAGGCCCTGACCTGCGCCCCGGAAGTCTAGGTTGATGGATTGATACTGTCCCATCGAGGCCATCGAAGTGGTCATACAGTGGGACGGGTCAGCCAAGGGTCGTTCGAGAAGCGGGATTGCCCCGGAATTGTTGCTTGTGTCGGTCAGAACCGGCATGCCCACGTGAGACGACATAGTATCTATGCCCGACGCTGTCTGATCTGCTGCATTCCCATCCTGATCGGTAGACTCTGTATACCCAAGTTCCGGGGAATATTCAAGGGGCGGAGCAAACAAATTGTCATTGTGAGAAGTAGTGCGAGACCTGGATGCTGCTCCATACGTTTTTGACCTTTTCACTTTCGGGTTCTCACTGGGTCTCTCGTGCTGTAATTCTCCAAGACCGTCGTGTAAAGCAGTGTGAGCTCTCTTCTTTGGCTTCATTTCCCCAAAGAGTGTCGCTGTCTGGGCAACAATGACATCCGTAGAGCCATCTAATTGGTTGAAGTCGCCCGGGCGCAGTGAGGCAGAGGATGAAAGCTTCTGAGTAGGCAGATACTCATCGAAATCGACGTGAAAGTCTGAGGTCAGGCCTGGGAGTGGATTCACTTGAGCGACTTCGTGGGCGGTCGCTCGTTTGATGGGCGAGGCGAGGTCGGACTCGCCATCTGAATCCGCTATTTCAGCAGGCATCACCACAATCCCGTCATCCATGTCTCCATGGAATGTTTGGTGAGCGACAGTAAGCGGTTCGGGGTCACGAAGTTGGTGCCGAGCTCAAGCGCATGTCAAAGGACGCGTCTTGACGCGCGTGACCACGTGACAATGTCCCACCGTGGGATTTGTCTGCACTCACTCTACCTACTTGTGGACTGATTACTCCGCAAACTAGCGAACTGCATACATCTCGCTAGATATCTGGCGTATGGGGACGTTACATTTCTTACGGGAAAGACAACTGCAATTCGAGATGCGGTAAAGGGAACCCGAGAATGCTAACTCCGACTGGTCTTGCCCCAGGCTTGGAATCTCAGCCTTGCAGCTGGAGTTTCAATATTGTACCAGGTGATCGATGGCGACGACTATAAACGTGATCTTTACAAGAAACAGTTCATGTGACGATTGAAATTTGAGCACATGTAGTCACTTAACAGCCGGACCCGATTTATCTGCAAGCTACTCTAGATGGTAGACCAGTGATGGTATATCAACACCCACGAAATACAGCCTCGTTCTGGCTCCTGGAAATATCAGTCAGAAATCTAACCGAGGAGTGCAAGGCGCTCCTAAGTCTTAACCAAAATGGACGGTTACAGTCCTTCAGATCTCCAGATGCGCCAGTAAGAATATAAACGATGTAGGAATCACTCCCTGTCGACGCACGATGATTGTGATCCTCGAGAATTATGAGCGTCGACGTGAAACAACCACAGGAGTGCCCATTCGCCTTCGCTGATCTTCGCTGATCGCAACAAGTCAAAGTTGAAAGTATTATTGATAAGTTTCCGCCGGGAACCAACAGTACGGGAAGTTCCGCCACAGTCGTATAGATCTCGCCAACCTCGCGCGTCAGTCAGAGATACCACTCAACACTTCATCGAGACGTATCTTAACTGGCGCTGTATCATGTGGTGATGGGATCAAGAACAATCCCTCATTATCAACCATCACACAACCAATCGAGGTCTCACTTGCGCCTGATGGCAATGGCCTGAGAAACATCCTGGGGAAACGGACGGCAATCCGCGGAGGTTTCTGCTGCGCGAACTGTATACCAGTCACCTCCAAAAACAGAAACGACCTAATGGAAAATAAGCCGAGCAAACATCAGGTCTATGGGAAGAACCGGGGTGGAGAACAGACAATCACTATTCCAAACTTTACCTCGGCCACCTCGCCTGTAAAAGTTGGCACGTATGTTGTTTTTCGCTTAGACCTACCGCTCGTCTGATACCAAACTTTGAGCTGGTCAGCCGGGAGGCAACCAGAATGCTGTCTGAACGCACATGGTGGAGAAGTTCGGGCAGAAACTGCTTGGAGGACAGGGGCTTGGTGGAGGGCTCAACACTCTGAACTTCAAGAACTTCGCAAGAAAGTTGTTGTATTGGATCTTGATCATTTAGCCTCCTCTGCTTGCGGCTGTGTTTCCTTGACAAATAATACATTGTCTCCAGACCTCTTAACGAATCCCTTGAGCTAGTGACCCCAAGAAATCGGGGAAATTGTGAAATGTCAAAGAGGTCCAGACGACTTTTTGCATGACACTGCTGTCTCGTCGTTCGGTAATGCAAGTGCAGGGCTATCGTGTCAGGAGTCTGGCCGTGAATACTGAGAATTGCGCAGATAGGTACAGTAAAACACGGCACGGAACGTCTCGGGTTCGCTTTATTGGTTGATCGTCTTGACCTGAGGTTGGAAGAGAAAAACAAGACTGCGAACGCTTGCCACCTGATAGAAGCGGATGATATCTTACACAACAGAGTGCTTGAAATGCCACATGCGACATCCGCGGGATGCCAATGGTGAGTTGTCTGCGGACGATTCTACCTCTTTGTGTCTTATACGGCTCGACAGAAGAAAATAAAGTCCCTTCCAGGTACTCGTGTCCTTCCAGAGGGGCGGGCCCACAGCGGAGAAATCGCTCGAAGCTGGAAAGACTGGCTGGGCTGATTCGGGACGCGGATTCGAGGACAGCGGAGCCTGAAGGCCCAGACGTCGGGCTCCAAGGGAGAGATGAGAAATGTGCCATCGTGTCGGATCGGTCGACGTGGCTTCACGATGGTGGATGGAGCATCGCTGGGGGGAGACGGAGAGCTCGTTCCGCTGTCCGGCAGTCATAGCGTTTTATGCATGTGAGCGCAACGTGCGACGACCGAGTGCGAGGATTGGTCGAAGCGAAGGTGCAGGAAATCATGGTCAATCGAAGTGCTGCGGGCCCCTGGGACGATGGGGTAAAGGGTTAAGGCAATCTCTTGGAGAAAAGGAACGGTGTGGAAGACGTGCAGCCGTGGTAGAAAGCGTGATGAGAGAGCGATTCCGTACAAATATGGATGAGGAGATGAAGTTCGGGATGCAATACTGTAGGTACGGGAGTATATTTCGAATGGCGGATAGAAAAGAACCAGTAGAAATTGCATTCGGCGTCCTCTAAAAGTGGGCTGAGATGAGATTCCCTGTGAGTGGACAGTTCTACACGGGGAAGTCCTTGGGCCTGACGATGATTCAACGTCATGGTCGCACAGAAAATTTGGGCGGAGGAGAAAAATATGGAGAAGGGAGCTCTTGGGTGCAAGCCCAACAGGTGGCCGGGAGCGGATAGGCAATAATGAGTCCCTAAGAGTCCCTAAGCGCTCCAGAGAACACCTACGAGTGCCCGGGTAGAGACACGGAGGAGAGAGCCGCCTGGAAAGTTTGTTGCCCGCCACCACAAACTACCTCTACCAACTTCGATCTACACATCGCTCAAAATGACTCCGATATGATGCAAAGGACACCACTTTCTGCATGGATACCACGAAACATCAGGATAATACCTCGTACTCTGCATCATACCGCATCAGGCCATTGGCATAAGGCACCGTGCATCTGATATATCCATCATCGAGATCGACGCCCCCCCCTACACCCCTCTCAACCATTCCAGACAACACGACGCTACTCGCTCACCGAATCATCGTCTCTCTCGACACTCAGCCTCTCGCTCTTCCACGTGTCTGCTGGACGACTCCCTTCCTTGGTGCCCTGTCCCACCAGAGATTGACCGCCTCCTCCGGCTCTTGTACCTGCTCCAACCCTCGTTCCCAGCACGTTGGCCTCCTCAGCACTACCCGACGTTTGCTCCTCTGCTCGCTTCTCACCTCTCACCCCCTTCACGGACCATTCGTAGCGAATCGTCGTTACACGCACGACCCCTTCCCTGCCACCCTCCGTTCACTCAGGGAGCAGTTGAGACCGCAGACTGCTCGCCCAATGTCCTCCCCATGTCAAATAGCGCTCCCGCCGGAAGACCGTCCGCGCCAGGTTCGACGGTAAATGGACACCCTTTGCTCCGCCATGAACCAGGCTCTACTTCAACTGTTACCAGTCTGAGTCCCTCGTCCAGTTCCAAGCCTATTCCAATCTCACGGGGGACAAAAGGGTTATATTCTTCCACGAATACAAACAATGGCAGAGGTCCGCTCTACAGTCTTCATCGGGCAGCCACGTTGGGCGAGCATCTTCCTCAACTATCAGAAAGAGACAGTATCTTTGCTGAACACTATGTCTCTCCCCCGAGCGAGCCTTCCACTCCCCTAGACGGGCCAAGAACATCTCCGTCTTCCATTCCCTCGCGGAAAGCACCATTCAATATGTCGACCATGGTGACACATCCCGTCCCTCCTCCCGATACAAGCAAAACTCCTCGCACCCACTCTCCACGGAAGCCGGAGTGGATTCGACGATCCGACTCTTCAACTGATGTAGATACGCCTCCCTCGCCGTCCCATCCTTCAACTGGTACGATCCACGGTATCAGACGGATTGCCTCCGATTCGAACTCATGGACTAAGAAGTTTCATGTAACATTGGGGAAGATGGAGAGCCACGAGGGGAAAGACCAAGACACGGGGAGTACAGGACAACATCGGTATACTGGAGGGGCCCAAGAGAAAGAGACCGCTTCGGAAGAAAATGGGCAACATACAGTGGTTGAGAGAGGCGATGCCATGCGTGCTGTCCTGAAGGGCCCTCGCACAGAGCGGAGTGTCAGTCGTGGCAGGGCACATGTGGACAAAAGTATAGAAGCTACAGTGAAGAACCCCGAAGTTGGAGGTACAGCACGTAGCAGGAAGGCTAGTCATATGATGGGTATTTTCGATCCACGAAACGGCCCGGATTCTCAAGGATTGAACGTCGGTGACCAGTTCAGTCACATTAGTGGCAGCAGGGAGCCCTCGAAGTCGTCTTCACGACCAACAAGCCCGGCTACTCAAGATGCTAAATTTTCATGGAGTGCTCGTCGGCCTTCGAGAGAACGCATTGACCCTGTTGTCACCACTTCCCAAGATGCCACAGGCCTTGGGAGTTTACGCAGTTCACAGGCCACTTCTCCACTCAGACCTGACCTCGATCCTTATTTCCGTCAACAGGATCTTGCAGAGAAACCAGACGTGAAGGGGAGAGTATCTGATGATGGCAAGGAAATCTATCAGGCGACAGTACGTGATGCGACTCCTGGGGAGGTCACCGAAGAGGAGAGAGAAGAGGACCAGCACCCTTCTGAAGAGGAGCATATATCGGCAGCTGTCTACTACCCACATCCAGGTCCGTCGCCTGAAGAGATCGAACGCTTCACCTCCCCAGGAGAGGTTGCCTCACCAAATCTGAACAACAATCGACAACTACCGAGACCGACGGACGAGATTGTCCTCTCAACCGACAACAAAACAAACGAAGCGTTGGGAGGCACGGAGCACATTGACATATCAGTCGTCTCGCAGAATGAGAAGAGAATGTTTCATGGTAATTATCGCCCTTTGGACGAAGGCACCGGGGACTATCATGTGCCAGCACTATCCCCGCTTGAAGAAGCTCCCTCAACTGCAATCGTCAGTACTTCGGAGTCGGAGATTGAATCTAGTGATGATATCAGCCGGCAGAGTCAAACAGATGATATGTCAACCACGCCAACGCAACGAAGCACACTATCTCGGCGACCAACCGAGGTTCAGGGTCCGCCTAGGACCAAGGGAAAGGTTGTACTTGAACCTTATAAGCATCAAGTGGGAGGGCACTCGACCATATTTCGCTTTTCTCGTCGCGCCGTCTGCAAACAGCTGAACAATCGGGAGAATGAATTTTACGAACGAATCGAGCAAAGGCATCCGGACATGCTCAAATTCCTTCCCAGGTATGTCTAATCTATCCTGCTCGACTGACCCTTTTCATCCTTCACCAAGATCGAAGAGAGATGGGATGACTGACATGGTGGGCAGATACATTGGCGTACTGAATGTAACTTTCTCGAAGATTCCAAAACAAGCACAGAACTCGGAGGCAAAGCCTGATGGTAACTCGAGGACTGAAAATCCTGGTCAAGAAGACCGTTCCAGAGAGATAGAAGGCACGTCCGACATCGGCTCGAGGTCCATTATTTCCTCGTCTGGAGACCAACCACGAATTGTCAGCCACTCGATGCAACAAATCGGCAGTATTCCTGAGGTTATCCTAGAACAGAACAAACATATTATCCCCTCCAATTACTTCGCTTTGCCAGAGCGGCCCAAAAGTGCGGACCCCAATCACGGGCGCCGGCGAAGCAAGGATTTCGATCTTCCAGATACCTCCGCACAAGAGTTTTCAGAGGCAGAGAAATCGCCAAACAGACCATCAATGCCTGAACATTCGAACAGTTGGGGCCATACTACTGTCAACGAGGGCTTGAAGGATAAAATTCTACGCGAAGTATTCGGTCCTCCTCCCGTCCAGTATATCCGTCGTCATATGCCCTCACACAGCTCTGTTCCGCGATTCAAAGGTCATCACGTCCCTCGGCGGAGGAGTAACCTGTCTACAAATTCGTTCCCCCATGCAGATGCAAAAGATTTTGGTCCGTCAAAGGTTCACCATGAAACACCGATGCCGCATAACAAGACACCGGATATACCTGCACCCAGTGAAGCACGCTCACAGACCAATGACGGTGCTAGTGTGTATTCCTCATCTGCCTCTGCCTTTGATGATCTCAAATACAACCTCGAACAAGTTAAAACTGATGGAAGTGAGGTGTCCACCTCCTCCCTTGCAGAAAACAGACAACATGTGAAAAGGCGTCATTCTGGAATGGGTCTGCGACGTCGACGCCAATCGGTGAATGAGAAACAGAGTCCTGGGTTGGAGTATTTTGAAGACGAGGCCTATACAACCGATTTTGGTCCTGACACCGGAGGCGATGTTTTCGCCATGGACCAGGAGAAGACACGGGATACTCAGAAGCACCGCCCAAGTCATTCGACAGTCAACGGCGTGAGCCAGTCTCAAGCGGGGGACGTCAGCATGTCTAATCCTCACTCAAACAGTACTGGCAGACCCAGAGAGTCAGCTACGAAGAGCTTGATCCCGTCCAATCCAAAAGAGGCCCAGAAAACTTACAATGCTTCCGGCGATCGAGTTGTATACTTCATCCTGCTGGAAGATCTTACCAGTGGTATGGGACGGCCCTGTGTACTTGATCTCAAAATGGGAACACGGCAATTTGGGGTTGAAGCCACCAAAAAGAAGATGGAGTCTCAGCGCCGCAAGTGCAAGTCGACAACCTCTCAGCAACTGGGTGTCAGAATATGCGGCATGCAAACATTTAATGCCAAGACCCAAAAAGTATCGTACGAGGACAAATACTATGGGCGTGACCTGAAGGCTGGGCGAGAGTTCAGGGACGCGCTCACGAGGTTTTTGTATGATGGTGTCAGCTATGACAGTGTCGCACGGCATATCCCCACCATTCTTCACAAACTCTCCAAGCTCGAGAGCATGGTGCGAAGATTGCCAGGATACAGATTCTACGCGAGTTCGCTGCTCATGCTATATGATGCCGAGCCCTACAAGTCTCGAGAAGCTGAAGAGGCGGCAAGGGCCGGCATCGATATCGCGGCGCAAAAGAAAAAGGAGGGCAAAAAGTGGCCGCCGCCTATTGATATCAAGATTGTGGATTTTGCAAACTGTATCACCGGCGAGGATGAACTTCCCCCCAACGCTCAAGCGCCGCCTGCCCATCCGAATGATATTGACCGAGGCTACCTGCGCGGGTTAAGGACTTTGAAGGCCTACTTCGAACGCATTCTGGCCGACATCAAAAACAACGAAAAGAAGGAGATAAGTGGAAGGGAGGAATTAACCACCGACAATGAAGGCGCCGGCCACGTGTCACATGGCGGGAACGATACGCCAGAGGAAGAAGGTGAAGTCAGCGTATAAATGGCGAGCTGGCATGCACCAGGATTAGATTTAATACGGGGCAATCCCGAACTTGTCAGACCCCCTATCGAGCTTTAGCGAGGAGTGAGGAGTTATCAAACGTTTTGTTCTGGGCCAGAGGGACTGTTTACATACCGAGGGGTGGAAGGCTTGGGCCATAACGGCCAAGTGTTTGTTATCCGACAAGCAGGAAGAGGATCATGGAGCTCGGAACACGTCTGGAATGTCCGTTTCAACCTGTACGAGGTGGGCTGGGTGGAATTGAGCTGATGCCATGATAGTTCTCATACCGTGTTACGAATAATGCAGTGCACCGGTCACTCCAGGCTATAGATGTCCAAGGGTTAGGATGAATGCATGACTGAATGAACATAGCATTGTTGGTATAGTTCAGAGGCTCCCGCTGTCCAAAGGAATGACATCCTCTGATGAGGTTAAAGACCCAACCTTGGGCGTTAGTTGAGTGCGATGTCTGGTCGACGTTCTCCAACAAGCGAGTCCTGGGCTTCTTCTCATATGTAGTATACTCGACCTCTGCAGATGTACTGAGTGGTGCGGTATCACTTGGGGATTCCTTAGTCCATAGCATGTTTCTGGTTGAGCTGAGCACCTCGTTCAGCTGGTGGAGGCACTTTCAAGTGGATCAGCCAATCACATTGTCAGACCAGCCAGCCTCGCCCCCTTGCCAGCAATGGCTTCGAGTTGTTCCACAGGTCTCTCTGGCCTTGTCTGGTGAGCCAGGCAAATAGGTAGATAGTCGAGGACCTTGTGCAGAGGTCTCAGGGGGAGGGGCTGGAGGGGGTGTTTAAAAGACGGGATATATCGCCTTCACTCACCAGCCGTATTCCCAACATCATCGTCGCAATACTTCAGACTTTCGAGCATTTTGACGCCCACCCTCGCCATAAGACTGCAACAGAATTCGGCACACACTTTCAGCCACGACATCGAAATCACCACGAGACAGACAAAATGTCGCCGAACTCAAAGACAACCAAATTCCTCAATATTCTCGAGAATATGGGCACCTCACTCCGCGCATCCCACAAGAAGATCGCTTCAAGGCTGCTTGAGCAGCGGTGTCCCGCATCAGAGAGCCCGAAAGCGGGTGTGTGGCGAGGGACGTCGTACTTGCCTTACGGAATGCAGACTGTGACAGAGGCAGACGAAGCTGGCTAGCGAGATGGCGTTCTTCAGACGGTGAAATGTAAGAAAGAGGAGGAACATTCTATATTCCAGAACGGTGAGCTTTGCGATGATACCAGGACGGGTGTGTGGAGGACGCCTTTTAATATCTGCCGACGAGGCCCCCAGCAACCAAGGGCCCGGGCAGTAGCGCTTGGTGCCGTCGAAGCACATTCAAGTCCTCAGGCCAGTAAGGCTGCGGAATAGCCTTGTACTGCAAACCTGCCCTGAGGCCATGCAGGTATCGCGTGGGGTAGTCGAGGGCGATAAGATCATGAGTTTTAGGGTGCTTGGCCTCGAATGACAGGATCGCACCACTCAAGATTCATAGCAACGATTTGACCTGACAGGTCAAGAGGCACCATTCTATCCGGCGCTCGTGAGGAGCCATGTGGGATACTGGGGTGAGATCTAACTTTCGATCGTGCGAGTTGAAGACATGGTCAGGGAAATGCACAGCCTTAAAGAGGCAAAACAGTATATGGGGACGGGGAGATAGGCAGATGACAACCGAGATGAACCCATAGGGAAGTTGTCTGAAGGGAGTGATAGACAATGATGACTGCTCGGTACAGTTGTTGATAAGTCAGCCTAGTCAGCCTGTCACGTGCCTGTCAGCCCACTTCGGTCCATCTTGTCCCGCAATCTCGAAATTTACCCCTGGCACGTGACTGGAATTCTCCCTGCGGCAATATTTTCTTTTCCCTGTTCGCACTTTACCGCCTTGGAGCAGATCATTGAGAACCGCAAGAGCCTTTCAGAAACAAAAGCCCCGTTTTTCCCACCCCGCCATTCCTCCCTCGTTCGCTCCTTGAAACCTTTTTAAACCCTTCGTCGGGCTGCTCTGCTACACTCCCTACCTATAGTCATTACCTCGCAGACAGCCAGTATGGCTTCGACAACAATCACCCGCGACAATGTCACGACTCTCTTCCCCGATGTCCACACGACGTTGATCGGCGCCGATATGGCACCAAACTCCATACCCAACGGCACGTCAGATGCCAACCCGGACGACATGCTTGCCGGCTACGATGAAGAACAAATCCGTCTCATGGACGAGGTCTGCATCGTCCTCGACAACGACGACATGCCCATTGGATCCGCCTCCAAAAAGGCTTGCCACCTAATGACCAATATCAACCAGGGACTCTTACATCGTGCTTTCTCGGTGTTTCTTTTCGACCCGCAGACGAAGAAATTGCTCCTGCAGCAAAGAGCAAGTGAAAAGATCACGTTCCCCGACATGTGGACGAACACATGCTGTTCACACCCTCTCGCGCACCCTTCAGAGACCGGCAATGGCGAGCTGACAAGTAACATCGAAGGCGCCAAACGCGCTGCACAGAGAAAACTCCACCACGAACTCGGCATCAAGTCATCACAAGTGCCCATCTCGGACTTTTCCTTCCTCGCGCGCATTCACTACCTTGCACCCTCGGACGGCACGTGGGGCGAGCACGAAATCGACTACATCCTCTTCATCGAGGCCGACGTCACGTTGGACATCAACAAGAACGAAGTCAAAGATACGCGGTGGGTGAGCCCGGAGGAGCTGAGACAGATGTTCAAGGATGTGGAGACGCAGAGCGGCAAGGACAAGGCTCTGAAGTATACGCCTTGGTTCCGGCTGATTTGCGAGGGGATGCTGTTCCACTGGTGGGAACAGCTTGTGCAGGGAAAGTTGGGCGAAGTGGCCAACGAGACACACATTCGGAGGATGTAAACAACCCAAGCTACTTTGAACGTCTCGGACATGGCAATTGCCCCAGATTGTGTCCACTCAAGGACTCAGACCCTTGTGAATGGGTCGCAACGCGCTACAACTCGGGATAAAGAGCATTATTTGGTAAAAGCCAGCATCGTTTTCTCTCACTATCAGGCGTTCCTGGCGTGGACGGGGAAAAACTGGGCCAGGGCTCATGATGAAACGGATAGTTATAGTCGGTACTGGTCATTGATTGCAGACAAATCGAGATCGATATCCTGGGTGTCTGGGAGTCTGGGAGAAAGAAACCTGCCTAGCCCCAGCATCAAGGAATTATTAATGCCCCCTTTTCTCTGTCTTTTCCTTTCTTTTCTGTCTGTCTGTCCTGGCTACTTACAAGATACTGTGCTTGTCCTAGGTGAGTAGGTGTCTCTCAATGCCCGCGATAGCCTGTACCGTGCAGTCGCAGTCTACACACGACGCCGAACTCGATTGTGAAATGTATGATAGATACACTGAGTAAACTTGCATGTAGCTTCATGGTCTGGATATGTCTATGGCCTAGCTAGCAATAGCTATGGCCGGGGTGCTGGGCTCGTTCGAGACATACATACATACATACATACGTGCCAGACCAGACCAGCCACTGTATATATATCGTACGGTAGGTCCACTGCATACAGGAGATGCATTGCGTCGATTTGAATCTTCATTAGAGGTCATTCATTAGCATAGATCTACCTACCCTAGCACCCTAGGTACCTATGCAGCAGCAAGATCGTAATCATCTGCCGAGACGAGGTCCATGGACTCGGAGGATACCTGCAGCACTTCTGAGTGTGTGTATTTAGAGAATATGGCTTTTGTAGTTCCGTAACGCATCAATCACTGGCCACTTTCTAGATTCCTGGCCCTCGCTTCCTCGACGCTCCTCTGCCAGTCGGTCCGTGCGAGGTACACGAATTCAATCACAGCCACCAGGCCCAGCGCGAGGGCCACACCGGTCCAAAGTCCCCAAAGCCCCCAGCCGGCACCGAACGCCGTGCCGAAACTGATTGGCATTGCAAAGACATAGTAGCAGAACAGCTGCACGTAACCGCCGAATTCTTGTCGACCTAGGCCGCGGAGGACGCCGTTACAGTTGGCGGCAAGAGCATCGAATAGTTGGAAAGCTGCGCACAGAGGGAGAATTTCGCTAACGATGCGGACCACCTCAGGGTCTGAGGTGAAGAGGTGCGGGATGTAGTCTTTCAGGGCCGAGAGGAGGGTCACGTTGAGGATGCCAACGACAATGGCAGCGGAGAAGGTCACACGTGTTGACACTTTTGCGGCATCTGCCAATGTGGCACCGATGAGGTTTGCGACCCGCGTGGAGCCAGCAATAGACAGGGGGAAGGGGATCTGGAATGTGATCGAGGTGAGTGTGGCGAGAACAGACTGTGCGGCGAGGACTGTCGTGCCGAAATACGAGGCAGCAAAGGTCAAAATTTCGAATGCGAGAACTTCGGCTTCAATCATCACCACCCCTGGCAAGGCTAGTTTGACCATGGGTCCCCAGTTCTGTAACGCCTTTTTTGTGAATCCGTTCCAGCACGACATACCGGTCTTGGAGAAGAAACGGACGTAGATGAAGAGACCTAGTGGGAGCAAATTATCTGTGATGGCCACAGCGATAGGGGCTCCCACAAACCCCATTTCCAGCTTCCAGACGAACAGCCAGTTCATGAAAGCATTAAACGGGGCACAGAAAAGGAGAACATAGAGAGAGGCTGAGAAGAGCCCCTGAGCCTGGACAAAGCGTTTCCCGGACTCAAAGGCTGCATAGCCAGGTGCACCACAGAGGACGACCTTCAGATACAGGCCTGCGAGCTTAGCGACCTCTGGTTCGGGGACCAGGGCAAGGAGAATTTTGTCCGCAAGGAGCCAGATGATGGCAATGGGTATGGTGATGGTCCATAGAAAGTAGATCATGCGCTGCATTTGCAGGCCGACCAGTTTCTTGCGGCCGGATCCGTAGGCTTGCGCACAGAGGGTGTCAAGAGACGTGGCTAGACCTTGGTAAATGGCATAGCCAGTGATGTTGGCAGACATAGATGCCAGGCTCACTGCCCCTAGCTCCACTGTACCGATATGTCCAACCGTGAAAATGCTCGCGACGGTGAGCGAATACTGGAGCATAAAGGTTACCATCAACGGCGCAGAGTACCGAGCAATTACTTTGGCTTCGCGCTGCCAGGTTGTGTGAATCATGCCTGCTGCCACAGCTTCCTCCCACTTCTGATTGATGGTCTGGGCGTCATCTTGTCCGCCATAAGGGAGGCCTGGGTCACCTAACAACGGCGAGACCTCAGTTGCAAGGCCGGCGTTAACCTCCACCGCTGGGACTGCCTCTTCATCTCGAGGGATTTTGCGGTCACCGCCAGGTATATGGAAAATGCTTCTCCTGCGACTGCCTTGGTCGCCCGCGGTCTGAGGGTGTTTGGGTGGTATTAGATTGTTGTCTCTCAGTAGCGACCGTTCCTCCTCCATTGCCCGCTGTCTCTCTTCCTTGGAGAGTCGCTCATGTTCTGGTGCAAGGCGGGGTAGGAGGGTAGCTCTGTTTCCCGCTCCAGCAAAGCTCGGTCTGCGGTATGATCCCACAAATGAATATCCCCCTGTTCCTGGAGCAGATGTGGAAGGCCGCAGCGTAGAACCCTCTGATTCGGACTCTGTCTCTGTGGTTTCCTCGTCCGTGTCTTCCTCGATATCCCGGGCAAGTGAGGCCTGGGCGATGGGCGATGGATCTGGGAGGGAGTTGGAGAAGACTCGGTTCGTGACACTGGTGACACGCTCGAGAGGGCTGATGTATTTGGGAGGCGTCGCCATGTTGGGCAGGCCTGTTGACGAGATAGAAATACTTTCTGGCGGTGACTGGGACAGACTAGCTCACGAGACCGAGTGGCATGCTAAGGTGGCAGAGGACCTTTGAATAACTATATAGCGAGAAACAAGTTGCGGCAGGAGGATGGCAGCGCAAATCATGACCATTTCCGCCTTGGATCAAGGTTGAGAAGATATGGTTGAAATTACTACCACGTTGGTTGCTCAACTGATAAAGCTCGGTGAACCAACAAACCAACTAGTTACTCCGCAGATGTGCGCAAGCAAGGCGAGCCTTCAGATGGTATTAATCGGCTACGCTGACCAAATCCGGCACCAGTTCTCGCCTGCGCTTAACTGCTTCTGGGGGCTTGGAGGCGGCTCTGACTGTTTTCTCAGGTGTTATTGGTGGCTTTCGGTGCCTACCGCTGGGAGGAGGCAAGGGCACGGGCGCTGGGAAGGACATTATCTTCGCCCGGCTCCGGCTACCAGGTTGAGAACGAGTGCATCTAGCAAGGAATAGATGGATAACGAAAGGGACGAACTTGTTCTCTCAGATAGCAAATATCCAGGTCCGTTTTCACCTGGGACATGGTAACGAGCTCACTCACAAGCTCAATAATGCCCCGTCGTGTGCTTGGAAGAAGTGAAGCATGGAGAACCTCGTATTATTCGTTCAAGGCATGCCCAGTACGCCTAGAAGTGGTTTTGGGGCTGCCGAGGCATCGGGGTTTAGGGCCACTGGGTGACTGGGTCATCTCTGCTTGGGGTGCAGGTGGTTATCGCGCATCGATCGGTTGCGTCATTTTAGAGCCCTGCGAACCATCCAGAGCGAGCTCCATCGCTTTTACAAGTATTCCTGTATTCATGCAGCATCAGCCATATCCATTCCTAAATGTGTGTTACTGACTTAGAACATTTGTGCTTGCCCGTCCAACGACCATAGATATGGCTCCTCCCGCGGATCCAGACATCAGTCCTCCGCCCACAACGGAGGATGCCTGGCATCTCCTCTACAACCCCTTCGGGGCTACCATCAACGTTGACGAGTAAGTTTCTTCACGGGGATGCTGGGGAGAGCCAGATGCCTAATCAGCGTGTCATACAGCACCCATCCAGAGAATCCCATCCAGATGTTTCTTCTGCGACCTCTCTATGCACCCCTTCTGTTCTCTAATGTTTCATCTGATGCCCGCGACCATTGTGCCAACGAAAGAACGTTTTTATCCTGGCTTCGGCTATCCATCTACATGGCCGTTGTCGCCGTCGCCATATTCGTCAACTTCCATCTGAAGAGCCAGCCTACCTCCCTGGAAAGGCGGTTATCGCATCCACTCGGAATCATCTTCTGGATCCTTTCGCTGGCGTGTCTGCTGAGCGGATTGGGCATCTACATGCGGACAGTCACAAAGTATGCGAGACGACGGGCATTGGTCCAGACGGGGATGAAAACACAGATCATCTTTGGGGTAGTGTCGACGGCGATTATTGCAGCTTGTGCGTTATTCTTGGGGGCCGAAGTGCAGGCATCGAGACAACGGCAGGCTGCCGCTGCCGCGAGTGTAATATATCGTACTTGATTCATGATGACGACGGATAGTCGTACGATTGAGAAGGACTGGACGCTCCCAAAACTGTAACGCGCTCACGCTCACCTGCGGAGGTTGAGAGTGTAACTTTCTCGGCGCTGATTGGAGTCCGTAGACGCGTCTTCGGTGGTTGAGCGTGCCTCGAGTGTTGATTCGCCATGTAAGGGCTCCCTGTCGACCCTACTTTACCTACACACCAAAACTTCATCTTTCGACCGCATCCGCAGCCTCAGACCGACGCTCATCTTCGCTGCATGAGTCGACCCAAGGCTTCATCCGCAGGCTTTCAAAGCTAACTTTCATCTTTCCGTCTAGTCCGTCCTTCGCTCGTTGTCGTTCCAGCCATGGATCCCACCGCTCCCGCTGAATACCCCGCCGATTCGGCATACAGTCCTCACATCGTCAATGACCAGGATCAGCCACAAGAGGACACTACCGCGATCCAGAACGGCCATCAAACTCACGCCTCCAATGCTACCGCAACTCCGCCAATGGACAGCGACTCCAATCAGAGATATAACTCTCCAAGCCTCTACCAGCAACCGACCTCCAGACCTGGTTCTGGAATGGGCGGACATCAACAAACACAATATCAAGAGAACAGACAGTCACAACCGTCCAGCAAATCCAGTGTCGTCATCAAAGTTGGAATGGTTGGAGATGCTCAGATCGGCAAGACGAGTCTAATGGTCAAATACGTCGAGGGTAGCTGGGATGAAGACTACATACAGACCTTGGGTGCGCTCCCTTCCCCTCTGATGATTCAGCCGCCCATCGCTAACGCTTCCTTAGGCGTCAACTTCATGGAGAAGACCATCTCGATACGTAATACAGAAATCACCTTCTCGATCTGGGATCTCGGTGGCCAACGAGAGTTTGTCAACATGCTTCCCCTTGTCTGCAACGATGCCGTCGCTATCCTTTTCATGTTCGACTTGACACGGAAATCAACGCTCAATAGCATAAAAGAATGGTACAGACAGGGTAGAGGATTTAACAAGACTGCCATACCTTTCTTGATCGGTACAAAGTACGACCATTTTGTTAATTTTCCAAGGGAGGATCAAGAGGAGATCAGCAACCAGGTGAGTCGGAGCAACTTTTGGCGATGTTATTAGCACAGCCATGTTGACCTCGTGTGTTCCACAGGCTCGAAGATTCGCAAAAGCCATGCGCGCGAGTCTCATCTTCAGCAGCACAAGCCACAGCATCAATGTCCAAAAGATCTTCAAGATTGTCCTCTCCAAAGCATTCGATCTGAAATGTACGATTCCGGAGATTGAGAACGTCGGCGAACCGCTGCTGCTGTATCAGTCGGTCAATTGATGCTGACGCCGTGTTATACTCGCTGCTGGGGCGAAGGAATGCTCCGTTAGCGCAGCAACCTGACCTCTACCCTCTTAAGATGTACTAAACGAGTCTGATGCGGACGACGGGGATCTGATCATGAGCAGAATCGACTACATCCACGAGAGGAGACCAACTACACACCACACCTTCCCTCGAAATAGTTTGGGCGAATGTCAGCAGCCCATCGAGTCCCAGAATTAATGAGGCGGCCCGGTGTCAATCCCGTACTCTGTCCATTGGCACCCTATCGTCCGGCATATTGTCGAAATCTCTTCTTGAATTCCAGCAGTGGCGTTGATGGAAGCAGTTATCATGTTCACGTTTTGCGACCAGAACTCGTCCGTGAGGTCCCCTTTCTGCATTTCTCCACGTTGTAGAAAAAAAAGCAGAGGTGGAATGGGACTATTTCGGAAGGATCCGTGATCAAAGGGAGCAACAAGTATTCTTCAAGCGATGAAAATGTCCAAAGAGTATTAGTTTTTAGTGCAGAGACCACTCGCGTGGTTAGAAACAGTCTATGACCCCGGAATGAATCTGAATGAGTAAAAAGTTTCCCATGGAGATACAGAACAAGAACAGTCCGTGACGAAGGCCGCTTCTCTGATCCAAGCTTCAAAGGCTCGAACACTTTGTAGGTATCGGTTGTCTCAATACATGCCTGCACGCTTTAGTTTGCAACCAACCAACCAAATGGACAAAGTCCACTCATGTTATTAAGCGTCGCCGCCTCGCTGGTTTTCAGTCTCCGGGCGAGGGAAGAGCTTGCTTGTATAGGACCAAGGAGTCCGACGGACGACACCTTGTGATATCCCATTTCAGCCGATCTGGACAAGGGATATATGTGCTCATGCTGGCCCGCCGGTGCGGCCTGGCCTAAAACTCGAATTTCTCTCCCACAAGCCGCTCGCTCAACTCCCAGACTTGGTCGGTGTACCGCTCGTGGCCCTCGTGGACGGCCACCCTCGTCACCTGGCAGTCGTCGAGGTAGGCACCCGACTCGACTGCCAACGTCGGGTCCAACGCCGCGCGGAGCTGGGTCGCGCAGCCTTGCTGCAGGGTCTTGAGCTCGGGCATCGTGAAGGCCGGGTTGTAGCGTCGGGCGACGTCGATGGCGCGGCTGCGCACGTCGGCGCTCATGTAGCCTTGCAGATTTGTGCGGATGCTTCCCGGGTTGAGGCTGAAGACGGCCACGTCCGGGTGTTTGTGGTGGAGGAGTCTCGCGAGTCGCTTTCCGTAGAGGACGCTGCACGCCTTGGAGAAAGTGTACGCTTGCATCGGGTCGTAAGTGGCGCCGTCGCTGTACGATATGTCGCCCAGAGGCTGGAAAGCGTATTCTGCCGCGCGTTCGGATGCTGAGCTGCTGACGATGACGACGCGCGACCCGATCAGGCCGCTCTTCAGGAGGAGGTTGGTGAAGAGGAAGTGGCCCAGGTGGTTCGTGGCGAGCTGCGTCTCGATGCCGTCTTCCGTCACGCCGTACGGGCACGCCATGATGGCGGCATTGAGGATCACGCAGTCGATCTTGTCCCCCTCGAGAAGTGCCTTGACATCCTCGACGGCTTGCCGCACAGACTTTTGGCTCCCGAGGTCGAGCGGGACGAAGCTGGTCTTCACGTTCGGGTCGGTCTCCCGGAGTTGGTCGATCAGAGGTTGGATCTTCTGTCGCGAGCGGCCGGCCAGGAGCAGATGTCTGGGGTTTGCCCTTGCGAGACAGAGGGCCGATTCGGCACCGATTCCTCCTGGAGTTGGACCGGTAATCAGGACTGGATATCCATGAGCTGGCTATCCTCACACAGTTCCAGGAAACTCTAGGTCTTACAGGTCTTGCCCTTGACTTGGTCTTCGAAACGGTCTACTATTTCATCGCCCGTTGTCTCGAACCCGAATGACATTGCGGTTCAGCTGTGAGGATGTTCTGCAGGTGTTTGAGATTGTGACGTTCGTGGGATGTCGTCGGTTTGTGTTCACTAATGTAAATGCTACTCTCGAAGGTCTAAGGTCGCAGAAGACTGCGTCTCTTTTATATCCCGCCACGGTTGTACACAAGGTACCACGAACAGCCATGATGCTGACTCGTGTAACCTCTGAGATGGTCCCTGTATGCACAACGCCAAAGTCTCTTTAAACCCGCAACGCCATCTGTCAGCATGCGACATGTCCTGCATCGATGCATCGACCGATTTCCCACACGGTTGATGGTCAAGGGCTGTCCAATGAGATACGCCGAAAGGTTTTCGTGTCATACTTTGGACGCGAGATGCGGGTGGACGGTCGCTGAAGCAAGCCTATCTCCGGCTCTATGCGTGCAGCATGCATGGGCTCGGCTATGCAGGAACAAGCGGGGACGGCGAGGCTGGGTGACGTGTCATCGCGGACAGAGGTGACAGTGACATCTCGGGTAAAGTAATCTTCAAAGACCTTTGTGAAGAGTGAGGACTATGATCTGGTTGATGGCATGGCACGATGGTCCGTCCACACGGTGATATTTCTGTGTGTGGCGGAGTGACGCAGTGACGCCACACCTGGTGGCTCTGGGCCTCTACTTTATTTCTTCTCTGCATACAATGTCTCCCACGATGTGTACACCTCCTCTTATGAAGACATGGCACTCCTTCGCCTCTGACTATCATCTATCGACTTCTCTGGTAGGTTCTGTCCGGAGGTTGGCCATCATTGCCAGAGTCTCAACCGATTCGTGGCTACTGCCATTCAACAATTCTGGATACGAAATGTCAGTCAGCGTTCCAGCCTCCCTTGAACTTGGGGGATGAACAATAGTGGTCGCAATTCTCCTTGTCAGGGCAAATCGAGCAGTATATGCCATCGTTCCAAAAGAACTCCATTCATTGTATGGGATAAATTCATCACAAGAAAAGTACTGTGCATGCATCAGGAGGCAGGAAGCTTTACTTACTTTCCATCGAGTGACGTCTGAAGCACGACACAGCGGCGAATAGTTGACGAGATTGCAGGGCTGTCCTTGTGTCCCCGATGATAGACACGAGCTTGAAGCAGTTGTCAAGGCCTCGGGTCAGCATACGTCCAGACAAAGGTAGAGGGATGCAGGAAAGGATTGAGAGAGTCCGTTCAGATAAGTATAAGCTTTTCTTCGCATCTATACCGATACCTCGAGGCGTCGTGCATATTGACAGAGGGCAATTGTTCATCATGGTTGTAATCATTGGTATTGGGGGCTGGAGTCGGAGACTTACTACGGAGGTGTCCCTGTTTTCCAGTCCAACTCTTGAGGGATCTTGCTATGGAAGTCTTGACGGTAAGCTTAGAGGGCAGACATATTGTTCTTGCTTCTCAGTACTTGATCTTATTCCATGTTGTTTCGCTGATGTGTTTGTTACTGGAGAATGGGACGCTTGCTGTCTGCCCTGCTGGGCATTCCCAACAAGGGCAAGGTCAGACAAGTTGATGGCTGGGTTCGACGGCAACAACTGGACTGGGCTGAGATGACCTCGTCATCGTCGATGCTGGCAATTTGTTGTCATGCAGGGGCTTTCAAGGCTCTGCTGCAAAGAATCAGTTGTGGCGTTGTGGCGCCAATTTCACACACATCAGAGAAAGGACTGTCACCTTTTTCTTGAGATGGATCTCCTCATACTACTGTTGGAGGGCATCATACTCGAGTCTCTTTTTAGGAGACATTGTGTGGTTGACGAAGTGCTCGGTCGGTTTGAGAACAAAGAATGTCCGAATCATGTCGAGGGAGATGCAAAGAGCGAAAACAGTTCTGAATGAACAGAGACGGGCAGAAGTGAATTCAGAAGAAGGAAAACATTGATGAAAAGCGGAGCCTGTCGTGGCCATCAGCCGCATTAGCACCAGCCGCGCCGATGACATGAGTCTTGACTGCTGCGGCTGGAGCAGCGGCTTGCATTACTGTTGCATTGCGACGGAAGAGGGCAAACAATTGACCCTCTGGATCATCTGTATTCAATTCACGCCATGAGTACGGTTCTCTCTATGCTTGGTCTGTCAAACATCATGCTTCAGACACGTCGACACGATTGCTTGTCTCCCATCTCCAGCATCTGGCTCCTTTCTGTCCTTGCTGTTCACCACATCTCGACCATTTACAGGTCCAACCACCCTGAAAGAGTACATTCCAAAGGCAAACAGTGCCTGAGACAAACGATGCCTGCAAGCGAGGAGATGTTTGTTTATTTCCTTCGGCACAAAGCATCTATATATCCCGACACAACACAGACCGCACAGTTCACGTCGGGAGATGGTGTACTTCAGATGTGGCACAGAGCAAACCGATCCACTGGCACACAAACCCTTTGTATTTCGGTGATCAAACAAGTCCATACATTGTCAGCCGCGCCCACGTGAAAACCGCGACATCAGCCGACTGATTTGGAGACAGACAATCGCAGATGAAACACCACGGTGTCAAGCTGTCGGAAAGAGCTGGTTTGCATACACCTTCTTTCCCATGTCTTGTCCGTGGACGTGGTGCAAAGACTATCTATGGCGTTGATCTGGCATCCACGAGGCTGGCACAGCAAAGGGGGTGGGTGGATAACCAGCGAGCCAGGTGGCCGGACGGACAAACATCCCTCCGAGAATAAACCACCATCCACCCACAGGTGAACAACCGCAACGACAACAGCAGGAAAATCTACGAGGGTCATTTACATGCTTTAAGTTTCTTTCCAGATGCGCAGAACATCATCATGATCGCTCACATCTACTGGTGCAAGTCTTATAGGGACTCGGGCTTCGATTTTCGAACTGGGTTTAACGGGTCTGGGAGTAAGTGCGTGCATACATACATACATCATACCTACACACCTACATACATTGATGACATGCGCACCTCGAGACAGGGACCCCACGGTCAAAAGACACAAGGAAGCTACAAACAAGGGATGGGGGGTAGAGGCCCTCGCCACCAAAGCCCTCGAGGCATCAAACATGACTGGATGTCTTTTTCACAAGCAATGTCGACCTTCGCGGCATATTTTGTGGCCATGAGTTCAAGCATACTTGCCCACAAAGGCGATGAGGGCACTATCCACCTCCTTCGGGTGCGAGGCTGACAAGAAGTGCGCCCCGCCGGGAACTACAATCAGCTCGGCCGACGGCGAGTTGGTGAGGAGCTTGATTTCCTCCTTCGCGTTGGCGACGCTGTAGACAAGGTCGTCTGAGCCCTGTATAAAACCAACCCCGGCAATGTTAGTATTGGATAACTCGCTCTCACACGAATACAAATGAGGAAGAAATGGGACGGGGGGTCCTCACATGCAACCACATAACTGGACACTTGACGTCAAACAGTCGACCGTGCAGGCCGTCGCGCTCGCGCAGATTGATAGCCGCCATCCTCGCGCGTCGTCGGCCGTCGTCGCCTTGGTAATTCGCCTGGATGGTCTTGCGCCAAAACTCGCGCATCTCCTGGGTGCAGCCCTTGCCGAAGCCGATGTCGATCAGGAAATCGCAGTATTCGAGGTCGGGTTTGAAGTCGGGCGTCGGGGTCTTGCTCGTCCATTTGTCGATGGGGCCCGTGCAGGCGGCCACGCCGTCCCAGCAGCCGAGTTTGCGGGTGCGTTCGGACTCGTAGTCCAGCGAGGTGCCGAGGGGGATGATGCCTTGGATCTGCGAGGTAGAGATGTGTGTTCAGTTATGTCCTTCCACATTCCACAGGGCGAGAGACAGGGTCATGGGCATGGGTGACATACCTTTTCAGGAGCCAACAGCGCCATCCGCACCGTGATCCATCCACCCTGGCTAGTGCCCAGGACAAAGGCCTTCTTGATGCCCAGCGCGTCCATGACCTGGATGTTCATGATGGCCGTGTCCCAGTATGTGAAATTCTCCGACTTGGTCCGCGTCTGCCCGTGGCCGAGCAGCTCGATGGCCAAGAGGTTCATCTTGTCCGTGAGTTCCTTGTTGGCGTACTGCTTCTGGTACAGCTCGGACGAGGTGGTGAAGCTGTTGACGAGGATCAACGTCGGCTTGGACGCGTCGTAGGGGTAGGGCATCTGGTACGCGGCGTCGATGCCGCCCAGGTGAGGGACGTGGACCGTCTTGGTATTGGGCATCTTGGCTTGTTCTTGGGTAGAAAATCGAAGCTCGCTGAGGATCCGATCCGATCAGGTCAGGTCAGGTCAGTAGTATAATGACAGGTAGAGACAGCACACTCTCTATCGCAGGCTTTTCTGGAGAGAGAGACACGTCAAGTTATCTGCTGCTAGCTGCGCGCCTTTTGTGACCTCAACTTGTTGGAGGCGTAGCAACAACAACCAACCTAATTGTCTTTATACTCGCCCGCCCCCCGTCATCATCCTTCCGCGGGCCCTTTACTTGGGTTTCTCCATCTTTTTCTCTCCATCTCCCCTCATTTTCTCTCCTACTTGCGGTTCCGCTCTGTCGGTGCCGTCCCGCAATCTCTTGACCATGGATCGAAAATTATACCCATTATTGCCAATGGAGGGGGGGTGGGGGGAGGACAGGTTTATGTCACTGTGGGACAAACCCCTGGTGACCCCCCCTCCCCGGCGAAACCGATCCGAGTCTGACGGTATCTGGCCACCCTGGGTTACGAGTACCTAGCTCATTGAGTGATTGAGGGATTGAGTGAGTGGTGAGGGGGTGGGTATCGTTTGATATCGAGGACCACAATTTCCAGGTTTCTACCCCGGCATTTGTCCGGTTTCGGCGGTTCTTGCGGTTCTTGTCAGCTTCCTTTTGTATGTAGCCATTTTACCGAAGGACTAGGCACCTAGGTACATAAGAAGCGACCAAGAAAAAAGAGACCAGGCTAAAGCGTTCAAATTATTTGGAGAAGAAGCTAAAAAAAAAAGTCGATTTCGAAGATCGTCCGACGAATCCTCAAAGTCTTGCTTTTTCCATGGCCATCTTGGCCCGGAGAAAAATCCAAAATCTCCAAAAGGGAAAGACTTTTACGGGCTGCAATTGGGCGGACAATGTCCTCGTCACCCTACTGCGTCCTTCAACTCTGAACATTTTCGAAGAACGGAAAGAAGGTTGTTGCACCTCAACAGCTGATGAGATACGAGAGCAGCCCACTAGACTGGAAGCAGTATCAAGCTGACGAGGCTTCGGGCCTGAACGTGCTTTGGGGCAAACAAGAAACGATCCAACCAGCTCTCTGGAGAAATGTCACAAACGATGGATGATGGATGCAGCAGGTAATGACTATGAAGCCCGACCTTTCCCCGAAATGGGGTTTCTCACGGATCTCATGTCATATCATGTCATATCATGCTATACATGGGAGGCCTTCTCTATCAGATGGACAGTCTTCGGTACATAGACTCGGGTAATGCTCTGGCTGTTACAACACAAAAGGATTTCCGTCTTGTGAAGGGGAGATTGAAATGTGCCTGAGCATCTCGTAGATATGGAAGCAAACGTGAGTGGTGAACGAACCTGGCTGGTAAAAGTGCTTTGCATATAGCCGAGGACATAGATGTCCATCAATCTTTCTATGTACAGCTAAATCCGAGTACAACATATGTACGAGGTATGTATGTGCAATATATTTGTTCCGTCAGTCCTTCACATTGTACAACTTCATGCCATGTCCCGAAATATCTTCATTTTCAGTCCTGTTCTCCTACCGCTTTCTCATCCTTGTCCCATACAGCCCAACCATTTGGGGGGGTATTTATTATATGCATATCCAAAACAATCGAAGCCATTGCAATCGAATATTACCAAGTCATAAGTCGTAAACCAAATTTCGTGGTGGGAGAACTGCCGAAATCCAAGTGTAAATGAAGTGCCGATGAATCAATCTTCGCCCTTCCTTCCCCCGGGCCTCACACCCGCCGCCCCATTGACGTTAGAGCCGAGTGCCCTGCACTTGACACCTTTTTACCGCTGCCTTTGCTGTGGCCTTAGAGCATAGGCAGAGCAGCAGCAACCGCGACTGCAACAAGTAGACCAACGGACGATCCCACTTGGTTGCCAGCGCCCACAAAAGTAGATGCAATAGGTGACGCTTGCGTGCTTTTCGAAGTGCTCGCTGAAGTAGACGAGCTCCCTCCAAATGTCCATGTCTTGGTGGGCGTGCTGTGGTTGGAGGCTGAAGTTGTAGAGCTCGTTGTGATCGGGGCAATTGTGGGCATACTCGTCCATTCTTCCCACGTTGATGTTGGAGCCTCAGTAGGTGTGGTAGATGATGAAGCGGAACTCCAATCTTCCCAACTTGATGTAGAGGTTTCGGTAGGTGCGATAGTCGGCATCGCAGAACTCCAGTCTTCCCAAGTTGACGATGGAGCTTCAGTCGAAGACGCAGAACTCCAGTCTTCCCAAGTTGACGATGGAGCTTCGGTCGACGAAGCAGAAGTCCAATCTTCCCAACTTGATGTCGGAGCTAAAGGAGGCGCGATAGTCGACGACACGGAAACCCACACTTCCCATTCGGAGCTTGTAATCTCGGGAGCCACAGGAGCCGGCGAGGTTGGGATCGCCCAGTCAGACCACGTCTCTGTGGCCTCACTTGTAATTGTGGCCTCGGGGCTGACTGAACTCCAATCGATCCACTGAGAAGCTGAGGATGTACAAGAAGTTGTGCTCGAGTTTGACCAATCTTCCCAATGAACAGATGACGTGGCTTGCGGCTTAGTAGTCGTCGTTGTTGTTGTTGTTGTGTTGGACCAGTCGTTCCATTGAGCTGAGCCTGAGCTAGTGCTTGCAGAGGAAGTAGTGGTGCTTGTCCGAGTACTCCGCCCTCCCCCAGTGCTGCTCCTAGAAGTGGTGGTTGCTGGTCCGCGCTGCTCTGCACAGTATGTGACCAACGCCCCTATCACGGCCGCAACAGACTGAGGCGGGGCTGTTGAAACGACACAATATTGAATGGCGGCAACGGAATCCGGGTTGCAAATGTCCCTCTGGTCCGAAGAGATTGAAGCAATGCAGGAAGCCAAATAGTCCCCTTGAGATGGAGCAGCTTCTTGGGCCTTTGGAAGTGCGGAAGACAATGGCAGCAAAGCGAGAGCGGCGGCCGCGACGGCAGCGGATCTCGTGCGTGATGAGGCCATGGTTCGATGAGATACTAGTGCTTGTGTAAGGGTTGACTGTATTATTGTGAAAGCAGGAGAGGAGCAGTTGGCCGTGTATCCAAGGATTCGATCAGAGCTTCTCCTCAGCAATGTCTTGGATAATTGAAAAGGGAAGGTGCACAGACCTGCAAGCGACCCTGCGATATATACCCACGAGGCCGGACCTCGAACTGTCCAACCCAGCCTCCATTATGAGAGGAATGATTGCATTAAGCCTTGACCAGCACGAGGCTTTAGGACAGTCGGTGGCTAGAAAGCCGAAACAGATCTGGACTGATGTAAGATATTGGCGGTTGTGGAGGAATTCACAAGGCAGGGAGGCGGACGGGTCGACATTGCGCAATGCCAAGCTTTTTCCAGATCGGTTTCCTCTATATCTATTGGCTGGACTCTGGTAGGTGGGAATTCCAACCTCCCCGCACTAGTCCTATTTGGGGCAGCGTAAACAAAATTGGATGGTTGGTTCATGGCTGGGTATGGGATACGTTCATCGCTATCGTGGCGAAGTTAACCTTGGGCCGTGATTCTAGACTCTGAAGAGATTTGCTACGAGGTATCGGTACTCGGTCCACGGGATAACCACAGCATCATACGTCAATTCCGTGTCACGTGCACAACATTTGACAGTGTACAAGGTTGTACCTGGTACTGTTTCCCGACCTGTCTTTTTCTAATCGGTACACATGTGCGAACATAGGGATCGAATCGCTCCTCGCATGACGACCTCACAGAAGTCATATTCAATGTCGGTGTGAGCAAACAAAACTCTCGTCATTCAGTTCAACTACTGAAGCTTGAATCGCCACGAGAGATTTCTTCATGTGGCTAGCAGTTGCGCACTCTGGGGCTCTAACAATCGAAGGCTGGGTGTCTGGGTGTTTCAGCCTTGACGGCTCCACTGGCGTTTACGATGACTGCGTCGTATACCAAGTGCCTCGTACTTGGTGTACCGCCCTCGTCCTTCGGCTGATTACTACTAGTCGTATTCTCATTGCTCGATTATGCTACCAAGGTGGTCGCCTCCGCACTCACATCATATGACCCACGATCATGAAAGTCGAATGTCAGGTCCTTTACCAAGTACCTCGAAGCTAGTGTCCCAACCTTATTGCGCATGCATATTGGTCTGCAATGCTCTCAGACCTGATGGCAGAGCCGAATTTAAGAGACGTGGGTTAGCGGTGAGGATACGGCTGACTTATGTAAATGCAGGGTCCGACCTATTCTCCTTCCCCAGTAACTTTCTTTGAGGAGCACCAGCACCACAAATTCGCGGCATTGAGTCCTGCTATCTAAGTCCCTGCATACAGATATTCGGGCGAAATATTTTCTGTAGTGTTAGGTTTGTAGGTGCAGGAGTGCACGTAATCCCCTTGAATGTGTCAGCCTGTTTCCACGAAGAAAGGGCTGAAGTGGCTGGAGGCTGAACATAAGATCGCCTCATCTGTCAAAGCACAAGATATTGATGGCGTCAGCTACACCGCCCTCTCCCACCCCGGTAGGACACCAGGACCCCTAACTCTTCTCTGCTCGACAAGCATCGGCATAGTGTCATGATCGGCTTGGGAATTGCATTTCAGACCTGCATTCTGTCCACAAGAATGCCCATTAGCCTTCTGCAACGAGTGATCCAACCCACAAAATGGAGCTTCCATTGTAGTCGAAACTGGCATGCATGCATGGTCATTGCGCTGGCATTGTGCGACCTTTCAGTGACGTTCGAAAGGGTTGTTCAGGCAACACAGACTCGCACAGACCGCCCTTCAATCAATCATGATGCTGTGGGATGCGAGGTTATCGGCGGGTTGCACTGCGCCGGTCAGGAAGAGAGGGGTGTCGCCGTTGCGTGTCCTGTCTCTGCATCATTTATCGCACGCGTGACCAAGCTGTTTGTCTCGCCCCTTTCCGAACAATGCCCTTTCCGGGGTGTGTTCCTTCGGTCTCGAACTTGGTAATACCGGAAAAGGGGCCGCATGACTGTCTCTGCGCAATCGTACCAGCAAAGGACAGGCCAAAGAATAGTGGCAGAATCCTAGCACCTTGAGCCAAGGTCCTCAATTTGGCTTGGCATGAGGCTGCACAGGTGGAGCGTCATTAATTAATTCTTTAGTTGAGATGCGCGGCCAGAGGCGGAAAGGCGCAGGCGCAGGCGCAGGTGCAGCCACAGGTGCCAATGTTTGAGATGTTTGCTCTTCTTGTCCCTTCAAACCACCACCACCAACTTGGGAATCCCGCCATGATTACTTGATCCTGGCCTCTCTTCAACCCGTGACGCATTCTTTGTGCCTGCCTGGATCATTCCAAACGGGACAGTTATTCTACATGAGATTATCCGTTCGCCTGGCATCCCTGGTCCTCATCCCTCTTCGCATATCATCCCCTTCCCGCCATCGACTGTCATCGAAGCCTCTGGCCTCGACTGCTCGATCTTCTCCCGCATCTTCCACCCGCACCTTTGCCACAGTCATGAACTCGGTCAGGCGCATAACAGACGATTTGGAGAAACCAGACCTTGACGACCGATCATACCGAGTTATCGAGCTTTCTAACAAGCTCGAGGCTCTACTCGTCCACGATGCAGAGACCGACAAGGCCAGCGCAAGTCTCAACGTCAATGTTGGAAACTTTTCAGACGAGGAGGATATGCCGGGCATGGCTCACGCCGTGGAGCATCTACTCTTCATGGGCACTGAGAAAGTACGCGCGGACGGTCCATCTCTGTTTTATCTCTCTTGTTCTCTTGCTGACCAACCCAACAGTACCCCGTAGAAAACGAATACAGTTCCTACCTCTCCTCGAACTCTGGGCATTCAAATGCATACACGGCCGCCACACAGACAAATTATTTCTTTGAGTGTGCGGCGCAGCACGAGTCGAATGACAACCTTTCCAACGGTGCAGTCAATGGGACTGCCGCAGGCACAACGAATGGCTTGTCGAGAGGGCCGCTGTACGGAGCGTTGGACCGATTCGCACAATTCTTCGTCAAACCACTCTTTCTGGAGAACACCTTGGACAGGGAGTTAAGAGCGGTGGACTCGGAGAACAAGAAGAACCTACAAAGTGACGGATGGCGTCTATCGCAACTGGCAAAGTCGCTCTCGAATCCCAAGCACCCGTTCCATCACTTCTCGACAGGCAACCTGCAAACCCTGAGGGACGAGCCCGAGAAAAAAGGTGTCAAGATTCGTGATGAGTTCATTCGTTTCTATGAACAGCATTACTCTGCAAACAGAATGAAGCTCGTCGTGTTGGGTCGCGAATCCCTTGATGAACTGGAAAGCTGGGTAGTGGAGCTTTTCTCCGAAGTCAAGAACAAAAACTTGCCTGAAAACCGCTGGGATGATGTTGAGGTCCTGAGCAAAGATCAGTTATCCATCGAGATCTACGCAAAGCCGGTCATGGAGTCACGCTCTTTGGAGATAAGTTTCCCGTGGCAAGACGAGGAGGATATGTTCGAGACACAGCCTGCTCGATACATCAGTCACTTGATCGGCCACGAAGGCCCTGGCAGCATATTGGCTTATCTCAAAGACAGAGGTCTGGCTCAAACCTTGTCTGCTGGCTACCATCCTGTGTGCCCAGGATCTGCTTTCTTCGAGATCGATATCGGATTGACGCCTGATGGGCTGAAAAACTATCACGAGATTGTCAAGATTGTTTTCCGGTACATTGGGATGATGAAAGCAACGCCCCCAGTTGCCTGGATGCACGAGGAGATGAAGAATATGGCGGAAGTGGATTTCAGGTTCCGTCAGAAGTCTCCTGCAAGCCGATTTACGAGCGCTATCAGCTGCGTGTTGCAGAAGCCTGATTTGCCCCGCAACTGGCTGCTCAGCAGCACCAGCAAGTTCAGAAAGTTCGATGCTCAAGCCATTGCGCAAGCTATGCAATATCTCCGCGAAGACAACTTCAGGCTTATGATAGTGTCTCAGGAGTACCCTGGTAGCTGGGATCAGAAAGAAAAGTGGTATGGGACGGAGTACAAAGTGGAGAGAATACCGACCGACGTGCTGTCAGACGTTCGAAAAGCTTTGACTGACCCCGAAACTGGCGCCATAGCGGAACTCCATCTCCCACACAAGAATGAATTCATTCCTACCAAGTTGGACGTGGAGAAGGCGGACGTCAAAGTACCTGCAAAGGCGCCCAAGTTGCTTCGAAATGACGACAAGGTCCGCCTATGGTGGAAAAAAGATGATACATTTTGGGTGCCGAAGGCCAATTTGCACATCAAGATTCGAAACACCGTTACCTCTGCAAACACTGCCAATTACGTCAAGACAAATCTCTTCATCAACCTCGTCAAGGATGCTTTGTCGAGCTACTCGTATGACGCCGAGATATCTGGCCTCGCCTACGCGATCGGGCCAAACATGCTTGGCTTTGATATTCACGTCCATGGCTACAATGACAAGATGGCTGTCCTCTTGGAGAAGATCTTGACGACGATCCGGGAGATTGAGGTCCGAACCGATCGTTTCGAAATCATCAAAGAACGTATGGCCAGGAAATATAAGAACTGGGCATATCAGCAGCCATACTATCAGATCGGAGACTACACCCGATGGTTATTGAATGAACGGTCTTGGATGAACGACGCCTATGCCAAAGAACTTCCGCACATCACGGTAGACGACATTAGAACGTTTGTTCCAGAACTCCTCCAGCAGGCACATTTCGAAGTGCTGGTCCATGGGAACTTGTACAAAGAAGAAGCCAAGAAAATCGGCAACCTCATCGAGACAACATTGAAATCACGCGCTTTTCCTCCTTCGGACTGGTTGTTGCGAAGGAATGTCATCATCCCGGAAGGAAGCAACTTCGTCTACAAACAAGCGTTGGGTGATCCCGACAATATCAACCATGCGATCGAATATTATCTAGACATTGGCCATGTTATGGACCTAGACCTGCGAGCGAAAGCACAGCTATTCAGCCAGATGACGGATGAACCCGCGTTCGATCAGTTGAGGACTAAAGAACAACTTGGATACGTCGTATGGAGCGGGACCCGTCCTGCAGCAGCCAGGATGGGTTACAGAGTGCTAATTCAGAGCGAACGGGACCCAGACTATCTCGAAACCCGGATCAATGCCTTTTTACTCAAATTCAAATCAGATCTTGAGTCGATGTCAAATGAAGAGTTCGAGGGCCACAAACGAAGCCTTGTCAACAAACGATTGGAGAAACTCAAAAATCTCGACTTCGAGACCGGCCGGTTGTGGGCGTACATCAGCGGTGAATATCTCAACTTCTACCAAGTGGATAGAGACGTCGCCGTCATCCGACAGCTCACCAAGGATGACATGAAACAGTTTTATGCTCAGTATATCGATCCAGAGTCCCCAAAGCGAAGAAAGCTTTCAATTCATCTCGAGGCTCAAGCCACAAGCTCAGTGCCAGAGATTTCGCCTGCCGAACAAAAAGATCAGTTTGTGGGGCTCCTTGAACAAATGCTTAGATCTCTGGGTGTTGAGGTTGACGAAGGAAGATTGAAGGCTCAATTCGAGAAGGTCGACCTTTCAAACCTGCCCTTGGTCTCGAATGCAATCAACGAATACCTTGGAAAGTCGACACCCGCCTTGAAGAACGATGAAGTCCTCGAAAAGATAAAAGAAGCTATCCCACAAATGCAGATTGCGCTCAAGATCAAGCCAGTGGAGTCGGCCAACAACGTCGTTGAGGTGGCCGCACAAATCCCACTCCCCGTCATAATTAAAGATGTGGCGATGTGGAGAGCCGGCCTGGAAGTCAGCAAGGGACCTGTCCCAGTTGAAGATCTGCAAAGTTTCGAGGACCTTGAATCCAAGCTGTGAGGTTGAAGGAGATCCCAACGCTGCCTTTGATACAAGATGAGTAAAAACGGCACGCCGCTCCACCCCCATCCGCCCAAGGGTGATGCCGCCCTGTGCCCACCCCCAGCTCGCATTCGCAAGGGTGAGCCAGGGTGAGGGCTACCCGTGTCTCACCCCTCGAGGGGCTGGAGCACCGGGGGCCTCAGCGATGAGGGGATCATCGCCTACACCTGTATCTAGGGGAAGAGACGGCCGCAGCCGCCTGTGGTTGGTGTGTTGGACTCGCCTTACGCTGGTCTCATCTTGCGGTTGGGCGAGGCCCGTGAAGTCAAAAGCGGTGTTTTCATTGTTGCGTTACGAGACTAGAGTTAAAAGTAGGGACGTCCTGTAGTGCCTGGGTGCATAAAGAGGACGACAACAAACTGTGTTCACTGCTCGTAGTAGAAGCAAGGACTCGAATAGATACATGGGGAAGCCAACTTGTCGCCTCTTTCATTCGCTATGACACCATCACCACCCGCGACCTCAACCACGGGTCTCATAACGCTCTTCTACGACCTCAATCGACCTAGGGAAACACCTTTCCTCTCCCGCCATTACTCCTCTCGATCAGTGACGTCTTACCGGGACGACATCTATCCTTCCTTGCCCTGCATTGCCCTCTACATCCCGGAGCTCTCAGTCGCCATCATCACCTGCTACCATGCTCAATGCCTGCCTCTTCTCGGCATGCGTGATTGTATGTCGTAGAAGAATAACTCGTACCAGCGAATCGTCATTGTCAAGGCAGACTCGGCACAAGGCATGGAGATTATCCAGGCAGGAACATCCACCCACACCGTGCTTCGATTACCAAGGCAATCACTCTCATGAGCAACAAGGCGAAGACCAAGAGATCCAAGCGATACTAATCGGCGGTGACCCGCCTGGCATTATCGGTGCGAAGTGCGGTGACAACGAGGTGACCTCTAACGACTATAAACTTCCTAACCCATTAAGAGCCCTCATCAATCTCCGCACAAGAAACGCACTTTTTTTTCTTCCCGTTGTTCGAAACATGCAGTCCACAAGCGACCTCCAGGTATGACAGCTTCTGCGTAAACTCAAAGAGTCATATTCAGACCTCTTAGAACGATAGAGCGATGGGAGTAGCGCAAACTCTAGATAGGTCGCAATGCCCAGAGTCCCGCGGTGGTTTCCTAACACCCCGAGAGCCGCCAAGTGGCTCGAAATGCTGTAGATTGGATGTTTCGGGTGATCGGAAAGCTATTCGACCGCCAAGAAGATACCAACATCACGAGGTTTCACAGGACTGAGGATTTTGAGTGAATTATTGCGACAACATATGTATATAGCACATAGCACAATGCCCACAAGTCATGGACCAAAAGGTCTAGGTTAGATTTGTGAGTGTGAGGTGTTCACAAACCTGGGGCAGTCCCCGGTGGCCAGTGTGCACGATAGCTCCACACAGTACGGTGCAGCTAGTCGGACCCCGTTTCAATATAGCTCTAGTTAAACTCCTTGATGGCCTGATTGCATGATTGCATGATTGAACGATTTGTTTTGGATCAGGTGCTCATCGCCAAGTTAATTCCAGCGGTGGCACACTTGCGAACTGTGTACCGTCCACCTTCGTTGTACAGCGGCGTGTAGACACAAAGAAGGGGCAATTCTTGTGATTCTCGTTAGATAGTCTACCCCATATAGACTGAGGACGACGGACAGATTCCAGCCCGTATATCTATGTGTGCTAAACCCGATTTAAACGGGTGGATTTGACTAACCCCATCTGGAACCAATCACGATAGTCGCCAGTCAAGCTACCCCACATGGGTCCACAATCGAGCTCGCCTCCAGATTACAACAAGATAAGGGCGCACACCTGGCATAAAATGGTCACTAATGCCCATGCAAGACTCGAGATCTCTCACAAGCGTACATTCCCCGCCATAGTATCTCAGCACGATGCACACTCGTAAAGTCGCCAGCAGAGCAACGTCAAACAGAGGATGTCTAACCTGCCGGTAAGATGTGGACCTCCAATACGATTGGATTGGCCACGGCTCCATGTTCTCGTCCTCGAAGTCTTGCAAGATACTGATTACTAGAGATGAACCCAATAGGTTTCGCCGCAAGAAATGTGACGCTCAAATGCCAACTTGTCGAGCATGTGAGCGTAACGTCCTCATATGCACATATTCCGGAGAGACTTTATCGAGGGACGTCGGCGAAACCAAGAGTGCACAAGACGCAAGACTCGGCACGCACGCTTCTTCGTCTGCATCTTCGCTCTCGCGGCCTCGAATGCCCACTCAGACTTACAAAACTTGGCTCAACCTCTGCAAGCTGTCAAGTGGCCAATCACAAGAGCCACTGCCGAAACCACTTCAAGTCTTGCCCACCATTGGACCAGAATCGAAATTCCTCCATGACCACTATCTGCACCGGACCGCGTGTGCTCTGTCAGCGGCACAGAAGGGACAAAGCCCCTTTGTGAACCTTCTGCTGCCACTAGCGTCCTGCTCAGATCTAATCTTGCAGGCCGTCCTCAGCCTCAGTGGCGTTCATTTTGGCGAAGAGGACAAGTCGAGTCAGCAAGCCGTCGTCACGTACGGGCATTATGCCCAAGCACTCCGTGGTCTGAAGTATGGGCTCACAAAGTTTGCGTCAGGTCAGACCGATCTCGCACTGGAGCTTTTGTTGGCAACGCTGCTACTGTGTTTCATCGAGGTAACGAACTGACTGGTCACAACATGATGGTGCTCGCTTCTAACCCGTCACTACTAGGGCATCAGAGGCGATACAGAGGGAAACTCGTTTCACCACCTCAATGCGGCCCGACAACTCTTCCCCGTCATGTTGGCCAACACAGAGCAGTTGGTCAGTTGTCGTGAGATGGTATTGTTCGTGACAGAGTTCTATGCATACGTGTTGACGCTGTCATCCTTCACGTCCAAGACGTCTGTGGTTGACGACGCTCAAGTAATATTTAACGCCCTGTCGCGGCTCAAGACCCCGATGACCGGGCCCTTTTTCGGCTGCGCTCGGGAACTATTTGCTCTGATACCGTCGGCGGCTGCCGCAATCCGATATCTCGACCATGAGCCTCGCACGAATGAGCAGACGCAGCAACACGATCCGTCATTGACGACCAATCTCCGCTCCCGAGTACTGTCGTGGGCCCCAGCACCGATTTGTCGAGATGACCAGGTCATCGCCGGCAGGCTTTACCAGCTCTCGATTCTTCTCCTGTTGAACAACACTGAAGAGCCCGGTGAGATTGAGGGCGGCGACTTCCCGTCCTCGTCAGAGGTGCTGATGTCGAATTTCGTCGACATGCTGCAGAATCTCAATGTCGGGGCCGAGATCACAACCACGCTGTGCTGGCCGTTGGCCGTGGCTGGATCATACGCATACGACGTCCATCATCAGCAAGTGATCAAACAGTATCTCGTGGAAATGGAGGCACATTACGCCTTCAAGAACCTCACTCTCTTGCGGACACTATTGCAGCGCTGTTGGCAGGGTCGGACGGAGGAAGATCAGGCCAACATCACCTCGACCATGAACAAGCAGGGGATATCTGTCATGTTTTTTTAAAGGATGGGATTTGGACGCCGTATGATGACAGAGCGGGCTTTGGGCTCTAATAGAACACGATGTACACAAAATAACAGTCTAAGATCCGTGCTAGCAGACATGACTAGTTTGTGGAAATAAAGGGAGCTCCCCGCGACCAGACTGGACTCTATTCATCCCAAGTTGGCGGCACGGGTGGCAGGCAGACGACTGTCTTGATAATAGACCTCAGCGCCATGGCACTAATGGATTCTCAATTCTTCCAATCAGAGCTCAAGCCGCCGTTATCGCATTGACAAGGCTTAATACGACACTTGGTCTACTTGACCTTGACTTGGCGAGACTTTGAGACTCTTGCCCAGTTCCTCCCTCACCCGCCAATGTCATGCGTCTGTACTGTGCGATATGAATTGCCGAGATCTGAGAAACCCCTGCATCGAGGGGAGGGAGACCGGCTCTGTTGCCGTGTCCTCGTGGCGACCACCACAGATCTATCCCCCGAATAAAGGTTCAAACGATCAATGCCCGGGCGGAGCTTGACACTGCCGCTGTCGGTTCGCGCTTATCATGGTCGTACCGACGTCCATCTGCGGTTCAGCTCGAGGTTGTTGAAACTCTATATCCTGTGTCCTATCAATACTTATCTGAATCGCCGTTAGTCATGGATGGTCCTTTTTACTGCTTGGAGAGACGGCATACTTGGATGCATTTCATCTTCTGCATCCTCATAACCAGTCTATAACTTCTCTGCAGAGTGTGAAGAGGGCGCTTGGTATCATTATCCCTGAGCAACATCGACCATGCCTCTACTATCACCACGTCTCCCTGAGCGCTTTACTATCGCCATCTTTGGTGCTCAATTTCATGGCGACAGTCCATCCGAGGCCAAGAGTGCTTTGATCGACGATTTTGAGGGCGCACTGGAGAAATCAGCCGTCTCTGTAGAGAACCTCTGGCAAGACGACACTGAGCGCGGCTTGGGACTCTCGCGGGTCTGGGTCAGCTATTGGAAATCGCCGTCTGACTATGAGGCATGGTGGAAGTCTGCGGAAGTGAGCCGGTTCTGGTCGACGCTGCCTGACGACAGTGGTTTCTGGAGAGAGACGCTGCATTTCTCCTCGTCTCGTTTCGTCACCGAGACGTCTCAGGACATTCCAAACGGTGTTGGCCACCTCGGCCCTTTGGAGCAAGTGACGGAAAAGACGGGCTACTGGGGCTCCTTGCGCGATCGCATCAAAGAATCCACCGCCACAGACAAGCTGCCGTCACCGTTGGCATCGATTCCACCCCCTCGAGCCCCGGATGGCTCCATTCGCCGGGGGCGGGTCAAGATGACCACCTTCCCGAACAACATCTCTTTCGTGACCGAAGGTCAAGATCACAATCTCATGAAGGACGATGAGCTCCAAGTGTGGTCCGCAAAGTTTCACTGGGCCACCAAACGCTTCGTCACCAACGTGGTCAGGACGCCGCCTGAGAAGGGCATGTTTCACACCCGCCTCTTGTCATGTGCCGGACAGCGGCACCATCAAAGTGCAGCCCTCGACTGTGCAAGACGACCCTGACATTTTTCCCCAGCTGGAGGTCAACCGCACGGTGGAGCTCCTGTACCTGCTGGACTTCCGGTACATGGAGCGCCTGGGCCGGTCGGACAAGGCCCATCTCGCCCTGCGGCAGAATTTCATGGACGACTACGGCCCGGATGGAGTCCTGGCCAAGGGAGACATGTGCGTCTGGGCCGACTGTGGAGTGCTCAGGGCCGAGGACATGCTAGCCGAGTACATCGGATGCTACGAGGGGACCGGTTTCCTGGCCTACGACCATCACCCCGAGTTCAAGTCGACCACGACGTCCAGCTCGAATGGTGCGTGGTCGAGGGTCACGAGCTTCCTAGGACTCAGCTGAATGCGTTACATATCTACATGTACTGTAGCTTCTGAATTTTAGTTCTTTTCACACGTAGCAGTGGTGTTTATGATTTTTCCGCTGATCAATGACTGTATTTCCCTGCAAATTCCTATGGACGCCCCTTTAGAGTGCTAAGTCTATATTACAATGTAAAACGGTCTATTCATTGACTTTGTTTCTTCCCACTGATGACCGTGGGAAATTGCATAAGCGAGCCCCAGTTTTGATTGTGTGCGGTTTTGTCCCTGTCTGCACAACAGACATTGACTTGATCAAGGTTTATCGATAGAGCACGACTTGGCCGTATCTTCGAGGAACCACCGGCACACCATCAGCAAGGACTGACAGCGGGCAACAATGTGACAAACCCAATCCCATCGGCCCCTACAACTACAGCGGACTGATACACATCTACATAGGCTTCTGGCGACTTCAGACTTGTAACCTGTCATTGGATGGTCTGGTGCGATCAGCCACCACTACGATCCAATCACGAAGGATGTTGTTGGTATAGCAATGCGCGCGCTTATCAGTATCCCCAAGGCCCAGCCAAAGCCCTGATATGGGCATTCTTTTTTCACATCGGGAAACCAAATTGAACACCACATATTCTGCTCTTCTAACTCAGACCAACGGGAACTATCGGGGCCGTGTCTGTGACATGGCGCAATCGGGCTCAGGGTGCACACCAGCCAGGTCTAATCTGAATCTACAATGGTCCCGTCTTGCCTTGTCGCTCGGTGCCGACCACGGAAATCTGTCTACATGGCTCTATAAGAAAGATGGCCCCCCCCTTTTGGGCTCTTGTACGCGTATATGTCGCCAGTTGCCTACCGTTTTGGTCTTTATATGCATAAGGGACTATGAAATCGTTGGAAGTCAAACAAGTGACAACATCAGCAATTCGACATGGAGGAGATTCAGCCTATCGTTACAAAACACGGTGTCACGACGGACGTTGTCGCCTTGCCGGATGAAGTCGAAACGTTCGCCCCGTCCAGCGACCGAAGCCAAGCCGACTACGAGCGTGAAGAGCTTGCGAAACTCATCCGTTCGGTGTTCGATAGCTTCAAGCCTGAAACAACCTTTGAAGAGATGAGGGCCGGATGGGAGAGCATGTTCCATGGTACAATACCGAGCACGGGGGCGACGTCGCAGAAGGTCGAAACGCCCGACTTCAAGGGCGAATGGATTACAGCACCAGAGGCCGAGCTCGACCGCGCTGTCGTCTATCTCCACGGAGGGGGCTATTGCATTGGGTCCATCACCTCATACCGCGACATGTGCGAACGCCTCTCCAAGGCGACCAAGTCGCGCGTGCTCGCGGTGGACTATCGACTTGCCCCGGAGCATCCCTTCCCGGCAGCCCTTGACGATGCCGTCAGTGCATATCGCTGGGTGTTGTCGCGGGGTATCAGCCCTCAACGCGTGGCAATTGCGGGCGACTCGGCCGGCGGCAATCTCACCCTGGCGACCATGTTTGTCGCCAGGGAATCCGGTGACCCTCTTCCAGCATGTGCCGTGCCCATCTCTCCGTGGATCGATCTGGAGCACAAGAGCGAGTCGATGACGACCATGGACGAGCTGGAACCCATGTGTCACAAGGCCGTGCTGGACAAGTGTGCCGATCTCTATCTTCCCTCAGGAGACAAGACAAGTCCTCTCCTCTCGGCTCTCAATGGCGATCTCACAGGTCTCCCACCACTATTCGTCCCCGTCGGAGGCTCCGAGACTCTCCTCGACGACGCGCGTGCCCTCGCACTAAAGGCCAAGGAGGCCAACGTCCCCGTCGAGCTGAAGATCTACGATCGCCAATTCCACGTCTTCCAGATCTTTGCGAGCAGGATGGCCGAGGCGCAGAGTGCCATAGACGATATAGGCCGGTTTGTTCTGAGTCATATTCCATAAAGTAGTTACAATCTAACAATAGATTTTGTCCACGGTCTCAAGCCCTTACTGCAGCATCAGCACATAATTTACTAGATAACCTGTCCGCTTGTAGGTTGTGACGAGTCCGTGCTGGCTTGAACCACCCACCCAGAATGATCAATTGCTATGCCGGGGAATATGCCGACACGTCAAGTCACAAGCTAGGTATTCCGGCCACCACCCATATCTGTTGTTGACAATACTAGTCTACCTCGCTAGAAATCGAGATTAGGAGACTGGAAAGACGTGATCGATATATTGATATACTGACGAATAACCACTTTCGGTCAACGATGTAAGGGGGTCAACGACCTGACCTGCAGCTGATCGAGACTCAGGAACATCAAACTTTCTTGATAAGCGCGCCGACTCCTCTCGGCCTTTTATTTGACTTCTCAGGCATATGACATCGACTGATAAGCGCGGGTATTCGATAAGCAATCCATACCAGATGGCTTTATGGTTTGATATGGCTTTTGGACCAATTATCCAAGCTAGAGGGTCTGGCTCTATAAAGGCCTTATATATAGTCCAGACCCGATGGAAGAAACTACCATGGTCATTCCGGTCACTTTCACAATCATCAATAGCTGTCGGGATCGAACAATACCCAAAAGTATAGCCCCTCGAATCTCGCAGCCATGTCGGGCAACCAAATCGAGCCGCCCTTCAGTCAGGGCTTTGGCTATGGGTACATCATCGGTGTCGGTGCCCTCTTCGCCATCGGCATGTGTGTGGTATCCTGGGGGTTGAGCCACTTCTTCGCCGAAAAGCAGACGTCTGAAATGTTTATGACGGGCAAGAGATCGGTAAGTTGGTCAAGTCCTTGAGTTTCATTCTTTCCCGCTGATCTCTCTAACCTCCAGGTCAAAACTGGCTTGACAGCTTCCGCCGTCGTCTCGTCGTGGACGACGGCTGCTACCATGCTCACATCGACCACCGAGGGCTATCTGTTTGGCATATCCGGGCCTTTCTGGGTAAAGAGCCACTTACTTGGTCACCCAGTCAATCTGGATTCCCAGCTTACATTGTGTGTCACAGTACGGCGCTGGAGCTTCGGTGCAAATCCTCCTCTTCTCGGTTGCCGCCATTGAGCTGAAGCGCAAAGCCCCAAACACGCACACGCTGTTGGAATTTGTACGCACGCGCTACGGAGCCGCAGCCCATTGCGTTCTGGGCTTCTATTCTCTCTTCTTTATCTGCGTCATGGGCATCAATCTCCTCGTGGGAGGCTCCGCCGTGTTCGCAACTCTTACGGGGATGAACCAAGATGCGGCGTGCTTCCTCTTCCCCGTGGGCGTGGTACTATATTCTCTGGCGGTAAGGGACAAAAGTCTGCTGTTATCACGCCCCTTATGACTGATGGGAATTAGGGAGGACTCAAAGCGACCTTTTTGACGGATTGGGTAAGGACTCGACCTCTTCAGACGCCGGGTGTTTCCAGCATTCTGACCTTCTTAACACGTTCAGGTGCATACAGTGGTCATCTACATGATCATGTTGATGTCTCTTTTCGTGGTATACTCTACCTCGAAGGTGGTCGGCTCGCCCAGCGTCATGTTTGATCTCCTGACGGAAGCTGCACAACTCCATCCCGTGGGTGGCAACCAAGACGGGTCATATCTCACCATGAGAAGTGTCCAAGGAGGCTTCCTGGGCCTGATCTTCGCTGGAGCTGGGTTCGGCGGCTGCGTTGACCCTCAACTCGCCCAGAAAGCCATTGCTGCCAACCCGGCCAGCACCCTGATGGGCTATCTCTTCGGTGGCACCGCATGGTTTTCCATTCCATTCTGTCTGGCCACGACTTACGGTCTTCTCGCCGCGGCGACCGAACATCTCCCTGCTTTTCCCACATATCCAAACCGGATGAACGCCTTCGAGGTTGCTTCTGGCATGGCAATGCCTTACGGTGCCATGGCGGTGATGGGTAACGGTGGCGCAGCTGCTATCCTGACCATGATCTTCATGGCGGTAACGTCCTCCTTTTCCTCCGAGACCATGGCTGTCACTGCTTTCATGACATACGATGTCTATCAAGCCTACATCAACCCCAAGGCCACCGGAAAGCAGCTCGTTCGGTTTGGTCATTTCATGGTGCCGGCTTTTGCTGTCTTTGCCGCCGCAATTGCAGTCGGACTGAACCATGCAGGATTCAACGTCTCATTCATGTAAGTTATCCGATGCTGGAGGGCTTGGGGGGACCTTTGTGGCCTAAAATTCTTCTAGTGTCACGGCCGTCGGTATCTTTGTCGACGGTGCTTTCATTCCCATGGCCTGTTCGATTTTCTGGCGTAAACAGAACCTCCTCGCCGTCACACTGTCACCCATCATCTCGTCGATCGCGGGTATCCTCGCGTGGTTCTTGGTCGCAAGACACGAATCGGGTCATATCTCCATTACCACGCTTTCAAGCAATCTCGCCCTTGTTGCTGGAAACATGATGTCTCTTCTCGGGCCGGTCGTGCTGGTGCCGTTGTTGACCTTCATCAAGCCAGACAACTATGATTGGGAATTACTCAAAAAGATCAAACTGGCAGAAGACGCCCTCGATGGCACCGCAGGGCTCGAATCCCCGCCACAGTTTCACGTCGTGGCAGAAGAGACCATGAGGAGTCCCTCGGAGGTCCAGCGCGAAGATGAAAACGCCATGCTCCTCCGAGCAAGGAGGAATGCAATCTGGGTATCCGTCGGCTTGACATTGGCCTACGTGCTCCTATGGCCTATTCCCATGTACGTTCCCCCTTGTTGGTTCTTGCCTAGCCCTCTCTGCAACAACGAGGGCCTTGTAAACTGACCAAGACGCAAATCACAGGTATGGTAGCCGCTACGTGTTTAGCAAGCATTTCTTCATCGGCTGGATTGTCGTGGCCTTCCTCTGGGCCTTCTACGCATCGACCGTCATCACGTTGCTTCCCATCTGGGAAGGACGGAGGAGCATCGTCGCATTCTGCCGGTTCCTCATCACGCCAAAGGCCAAGAGACTCGAAGCCACGGCCGAAATCGTGGAGAAATCCCACGTCTCGGAATCAAAATCAGCAGCAGGTCAAGTGACGATGGTGGCGACCCATCCTGAGAAAGGGGCTTCGGCGCAGGACAGCGAAACCCTCGAAAATTAAGCTGGACCACGGTAAATTAGAACGCTGGTATGGGTCCACGGTTGCTTTGACGACCGCAGATACGGACCAGTCTACAATCTTCATCTTCATGATGGATATGTGGTGGTGCGGCTGGCTGCGACATCGGGCCTCGAAGCGCCGAGATACATATGTAGTTGTCGAGGGTTGCGACACTCAGTTTCTGGTAGTTCTACCCCGCGATTTCTGTTTTGGCATCTCACCTCTAGACCAGTAGCAGGACTCAAATCACGTAGTATCATCATGATCTTCCATTCATCACAAACGAAACGTTGATCTTGGGGTTCTCTGGTGCTCGTTTTATGGACCGAAATTTATCCGGGTGCAAATATTCTGCTCCGACGATTGTCCTTAAAAGCAGCGCATATGAGCTGAGCAGCCTTTGTCTTCGCTCTGGCTGCAGTCGTGGCAGCGGACAGCATAGTCGCCATACACCTGTATAGTAGAAATCGATCTCAAGATACAAGACACTACATGATAAAATGACTTACGGATCTCGTAGAACATTTGTGCATCTTTCTCCATCTCTCGTTGATAATGGCGTCTCTAGGTTATGACGAGGCTGCGAGGCTGCGTACCCCAGAGATCTTATGTAGGATTTCTGTGCGGGCGCGTCGCGACATTGGCGCAGCTTTTGTACGCGCATCCAAACGGCCAGAGACCGTCCGGTGCTTTTTGGATTCAGCAAAAAAACTCAAGGGTTCACAAGTAATTGTTCATTTGTGTTCGCCTTCTCATACTCCTGTCTTCTGTCTCTTCCCGGCAGTCTGAACCCTTGTAAATCCACGCACCTTGAATAATCCGTGGGAATCATCTTGCGACTGATGAAGACACCACCACCATGTCGACACTCACGACCACCACATTGAAATCTTCCTATCCGTACGAAAATCTGACCCCACAGTCAATGGAATTTCCAAGAACTAACCTATTCCCTCAAGGCCCATTCTCCCACCTCCGTTCACAGCCAACCAACCACCCACGATCAGATTATATCCTCTGTCGAACTACACGTTTGGAACCAAAGAGACCCAACCAGAGGAAGACCCGTCGGTGGTGGCCAGGCTAAAGAGACTGGAAGAACACTATGAGAAATATGGCATGAGACGGACGTGTGAGGGCATCCTTGTCTGTCATGAACACAACCACCCGCACGTTCTGATGCTGCAGATTGCAAACGCCTTTTTCAAACTGTACGTTCTTTTTTTTTCCGTAAAATTCCTGGTGGCCGTCTCGGTCATGTCAGCTTGATCACTGACCGACCATCGTCTTGAACCAGGCCCGGGGACTATCTTCCCCACGATGCGGATGAGATTGAAGGCTTCAAGCTGCGGCTGAACGAGAGGCTGGCACCCACGAATCCCAAGGAGGGGGACACGGAATGGGAAGTGGGAGACTGTCTCGCACAATGGTTTGCATCTCCCGCCTTGGAGCGTCTATTGATGAATGACTCTGACACGACACTACCAGGTGGCGCCCGAACCACGAAACCTTTCTCTACCCATTTCTCCCCGCCCACGTCTCCCGGCCCAAAGAGCTCAAGAAACTCTACCTGATCCATCTCCCGCCCAACAAGGTGCTCAGCGTGCCCAAAAACATGAAACTGCTGGCCGTCCCCCTGTTCGAGCTGTACGATAATACCGCACGCTACGGGCCGCAGTTGAGCGCCATCCCGCACTACCTGTCGCGCTATCGGTTCGAGTATGTCGACGAGGAAGGGAATGTCGCGAGCGTCATGCCCGGCGGAGGCGCCCTACCGGGGCCGGACGGGAAATTTGAGGTAAAGGTCCTGAGCGACGGGGGAACGAAAGAGGAGAAGATGGAGAATGGCCATTGAGTGCCAGGTGCACCTCAAAGAGATGAATTCTACTACGACCCAAACGCACGACTGTCAGCTTCAGTGACCACGAAATCTCGCACCACACTCGAAGATCGGACGCTCTAAACTTGCACGACAGGTTGTCCAATGGCTATGTCAAGCAATATACTGTAATTCCTACGGCAGGGAAAATCGCTTGCTAAACTGTACGGCGGCAGTTCCAGGAATGGGATGAGAGATGATCCCTCCCACTTCAGACCCGTAGGTGTGGGCTGCAGGTCGGAGGTCGCAGGCTGGGACTCAAGCTCCAGCAATTTAAAGGTGCAGGACACATAGTTAGCAGAGGAACAAAAAACGAGCACAAGGCTGAGATCATGGTCCAGGATGCGGGAGGCAGGAGGGAGGACCTTGCCCCAATGCAGTTTCTGCTCACGTGCCTGGCTGCGTTGCACCAGGCGCCAATTGATGTGGCGGCTTCCCGCCACCACTTCATTTTCTTTCCTTCCAGTCTCCAAATCGCTTGGCGGACGAAATTGCGATATAGCAATCTGTCCGTTTGGCACCACCTTGCGGGAAAGAGGACCTCCCCCCCCAAAAGTTGGACTTCTTCCCTGATATCTCACAGTTCTAAGGAGATTCGTGCCCGTGATAACCTCTTCCCTTTTTCTCTCCACGTATCTCATCGCCCCGGCGGCCTTTCAACCATGAATTTCATGAACCCCCAAGTGTAAAGAATCTCCCGCCTAGTTTGGAGCCCGAGGTCCGTGACTGACAAGTTTGCAGCACCAACCTGGTGATCATCCTTGGGATGATGCAGGTATCGAAGCGGATACCTTTCGATGACCCCCAAGTTCTGATGGGCGTACGGATCCTCTACGTCGTGTCTAACTTGGTCATCTTCGGCCTTTACTACTATATCGGCCTGAAGATCAAGGCGAAGCGAGGTGCGCAAAAGAGACGAGTGCTGTGAGGGGCATACAGGCTGATGATTATATGGCAGACCTCACGACCCTGAAATACGTCGAGCCTGCGCCCATGGGCTCTGGAGAAGAGCCCAAGCTTGTCACCACCACGATCCAAGAATATGATCAAACCCAGCTGTCGGCAGCTTACAAGGGCCAGTTGATGGGCATCGGCATGATGGCATTCATGCACTTGTACCTCAAGTATACCAACCCACTCCTCATCCAGTCCATTATCCCCGTGAAGGGCGCACTGGAGTCGAACTTGATCAAAGTTCACGTCTTCGGCAAGCCTGCGGTGGGCGAGCTTAAGAGGCCGTGGAAAGCATCTGGAGGCATGATGGGTATGGGACAGGGCGAGACAAAGAGCGACAAAGCTAGCATCGAAGCTGCTGAGCGCGCCGGTCGGGGCGGAGCGAAGGAAGAATAGTCGTATCAGTCTCGAGTCGGATAAAAACCATGGCGCGCCAACCGGACTGAGGGAATAGATACGGTTTTGGTTCTAGCAAAGACATTAGAACAGCAAATCAATGCTCACCGTCTGCAAAGATGTTTGGCGGTCATCCCTTGCGTATGCGCTGTTTTTGCGATTTCATGAATCTGCCATTCCCAAGACGGTTTGCTAGACCCTGGGAATTATTTTGAGTTGCTCTTGTAAGCATCCTGCTCGATAGGCCAGTCTGGACGAAAAGAGCGCGGCTGCGACGGAGGGTTTGACGGATCAATTGGATGATCCGAGGCGAGTGCCGCATAACCAGTAGGGACAAGACAGGCGATTGGATGAAACAAGCTCTGTTTGAATGCTGCTGCTTTTTCTCCATCAGAGCAGGTATGTGATAATCAGCGGTGGGTTGACTCATGCCTGATGCATATGCCACTGGAGCCTTTCTTTCTGGAGACCCTGTGATGTGCTTGAACAGGGGGCAAGGGGGATAGACCATCTTATAAATATCGGGGACCGTAGAGGTTTGGGCGGATGGTGAAGGAGCACCAGCATCTACAGATACAACCCGCTATCCCAGAAAGGCGCCGTTTATTTATCGTTCCTCGGGCGAAAAGACAAGTGAGAATTATCAGGTACTTAGGTAAGTCATCGCAATCATTTTCGTTTTGTGGCCTTCGGAAGGCTCGAGACAGACCGGAAGACGGTCATTTGTCGTCGGCCAAGAAAACCCATGGTTTGGAGGGCAGCTTTGCCCCTCAACGTCAACATCTGCCCCACCATTCTTCTTCACCTATCGCTCAACTCACCACTTGGTCCTCGCAGGGACAACAAAAAGCTTTCCTCATCCTCCCGTCACACCACTTTGCTCTTTCTTCGAGTTATATCAAGTTGCTCTTTCGACGACCTTTTGAATCCGGACATCCGAATACTCATTTAAATTTCATGTGAGTTGTCCGCAGTCCTCCCCTTCAAGTGCTTTTGCTTTCTGTCTCGTCTTCACTTCACCGGGAGCTCCCATTGAGATTGTTCCTATCAAGACTGACTTAGCAAATTCTGTAGTAGTCTTCACATCTTGACGAGACCATGGCTACTCTTGTCGGAATCAACGGCTTTGGCCGCATTGGCAGAATTGTAAGTCGCAGCCAGCACTGTCCGCGGTCGAAATGGCTAACAGCAAGCTAGGTCTTCAGAAATGCGTGAGTGTCACACCAGCACCTTCATCGGACTCCGAAAGCTCCCCTCTCTCTAACCATAGCACTTTCCAGTATCGAGCACGACGATGTCCATGTTGTCGCCGTCAACGATCCCTTCATTGAGCCCAAATACGCTGTACGTACCCTCCGTTATCCTGCCAGATCTCGAAACCGTTGTTGACACCTCTCAGGCATACATGCTCAAGTATGACAGCACCCACGGTGTCTTCAAGGGCACAATTGAGGTCCAGGGAGATGCTTTGGTTGTCAATGGCAAGAAAGTCACATTCTACATGAAGAGAGATCCGGCCGAGATCCCGTGGGCGGAGACTGGTGCTCATTACATTGTTGAATCGACCGGTGTTTTCACGACCACGGAAAAGGCCTCTGCCCACTTGAAGGGTGGTGCGAAGAAGGTCGTCATCTCTGCTCCCTCGGCCGATGCTCCCATGTTCGTCATGGGTGTCAATCACGAATCATACAAGCCCGACATCCCCGTCATCTCCAATGCTTCCTGCACAACCAACTGCCTGGCACCTCTCGCCAAGGTCGTCAACGACAAGTTCGGCATGAAGGAAGGCCTGATGACCACCATTCACTCATACACCGCTACCCAGAAGACCGTCGACGGACCATCCGCCAAGGACTGGCGAGGAGGCCGCGCCGCTGCCCAAAACATCATCCCCAGCAGCACCGGTGCCGCCAAGGCTGTGGGCAAGGTCATCCCATCTCTCAATGGCAAGCTCACTGGCATGTCCATGCGTGTGCCTACCTCCAATGTGTCCGTGGTTGATCTCACTTGCGTCCTGGAAAAGCCAGCCTCGTACGATGAAATCAAGCAAGCTATCAAGGACGCCTGTGCTGGACCCCTCAAAGGTAAGACAAAATTTGAGACACTTTCGTTCAGACCGTCTGACAAGATCAGGCATCATGGCATACTCCGAGGATGATCTCGTCTCCAGTGATTTGAACGGCGACACCCACTCTTCCATTTTTGATGCCAAGGCTGGTATCGCCCTCAACGACCACTTCGTCAAGCTCGTTTCCTGGTACGACAACGAGTGGGGATATTCCCGACGTGTCATCGACCTTTTGGGTGAGTGCCTTATCCGATCGGGAATATTCGGGACCTGGTAAACTGACATGGAAATCTAGCGTACATTGCCAAGGTCGATGCTGGCAAGGCTTAAACGACGGGCCCTAATACCACCAATCGTCTACAAAGACCAATAATTCCTTCCCAAACGAGGCTTCAGAAATCGAGGTTAGTGTTGCATGAGGTAAAAAGAAGATCAGGCGAAACACGGGACGAAGCGCAACATAGATCAAGTCTCACCTGGTGATATGCTTTGCTTTGAAGCTCCAATACGTATCCTTACTCCGACCTAGCTCAGATAGGAAAATGCGAGTCTCCCTGTATTGACAGCAAAAACCAAATTATCATCCTGTGGATTGGCTCATTCTAAACGGTCTTTGAAAAGAACATGCACGTGATCATAGCCTCCTCGCCTCCTATTGTTGTCACGTGAGCCGCCTCTTGGCACTCCCTAGCCCGGTTTCGTTTGCAACGTTCCACCTCGAGATGGATTGATTGCCCCCAATAAAGGTGACGGGATCAACAAACAGCATCCATTGTCAATTAACATTTCTTCCTGTGATCTACTGGCTTATTGTTCTTACTGGAGGTTTGATCACAGCTTGCGAAGCTAAAATTCCGAGAACAAAGTCGCTCGAGCGCCAGTACAGGTATGTGATTAGCTTGACGCTTCGAGCCAAGAGCGGCCGCTGTACTCGTATGTACCAATTCGCCATTATGTACAAGGCCTCCCTTGATATCACGTCGACTCGCATTCATAGCTGGTGTGCTCGAGTGACTGACATCGCCTTAGCCTTTGCTCGGTCTAAAGAAGCTCGATCACCTTTCATTCACTTGTGTGGCTTTTACAACCACTATGCAGCCTCTCTAACCAATCTGCTGCTTGCCTCCTAAAGTCAAGGCAGTTTTTACATTTCACCGTCCACTAAAATCCCTCAAAATGGCTCATGTACCGCCGCCGGGCCAGGAGGGATCTAATTCTTCGGTCGACACACAGTTTCCCAACCCCGTTCCGCAGGTACAAAGGCCAGCCTTTCCGTCAGGTGATACATCTATGAGAGAGACCCCTGACGTTTCGACGGAAATGGACAACCGCCTGAGAATCGAGAGTCCATCAGACGAAGAGTCCGAAGACAGCTTGTTATCCGACACCTCTTCTGAAATCCATGAGCCTGTGGCACCAGCTAAGCGTGGTCTACCGATTTCCAAGCTTCCGACTGGTCTATGTTACGATGAGCGCATGCGATATCATGCCGAAGTAGCAGCAACGACCGTCGACAATGTGCATCCGGAAGATCCTAGACGGATATACTACATTTACAAGGAGCTCTGTGAAGCCGGATTGGTTGACGACAAGAAGCACCCTCCAGTGGTAGAAATGCCCTTGTATCGAATCCATGCCCGTGAAGCCACGGAGGCCGAGTGTCGTCTGGTCCATACGAAGGAGCAGTACGAACAAGTAAAAAAGACCGCGGGTAAGCCCCTCAACGATGACACACTTCGTCACTAGGAGCCCGAGCTAATGACCGGGGGATCCTTTGCAGAAATGACCGACGAAGAGCTTATCGATCTTTCGGATCGACAAGACATGGATTCAATCTACTTTAATCAGCTATCCTTCTTCTCTGCCAAACTGTCTACGGGCGCGGCGATTGAGACATGTCGAGCGGTTATGTCACGGAAGGTAAAAAATGCCATCGCCGTTATCCGACCTCCAGGTCATCATGCAGAGATTGGCAGACCCATGGGGTTCTGTCTCTTCAACAATGTCTGTGTTGCTTCTAGGGTCTGCCAGAATGACTTTGGGGAGCATTGCAGGAAAATCCTGATCGTGGATTGGTCAGTTGTCCTCACGTCGATGGATTGGAATACAGAGCTGACGCTGAAGACTTCAGGGATGTCCATCACGGTCAGCCAAGTTCGCACTCTTGAGACTTGCACGCTCAAGCTGACATGTTTTAGGCAATGGCTGTCAACAAGCTTTCTACGATGACCCCAACATTCTCTACATATCCTTGCACGTCCACATGAACGGGCAGTTCTACCCTGCAGGGAACCAGGGTGATATGTATCACTGTGGCGTTGGCGCTGGCGAGGGAAGGTAAGTCCATGAACTTGCTACTCGGCCTTCGATGACCAACACTTACGCCCGTGAAAGAAACGTCAATATTCCCTGGCCCACAAAAGGCATGGGCGACGGTGACTACATGTACGCATTCCAGAACGTCGTCATGCCGATCGCAAACGAATTCGACCCAGATTTCGTCGTCATTGCTGCAGGATTCGACGCCGCAGCTGGAGATGAGCTAGGTGGTTGTTTCGTCTCACCGCCCTGCTATGCACACATGACACACATGCTAATGTCCCTCGCTGGAGGGAGGATTGCTGTGTGCTTGGAAGGGGGTTACAACTTCAGTGCCATCTCAAAATCCGCCCTCGCGGTCACCCGCACCTTGATGGGTGAACCTCCTGATCGCCTGCAAGCTACGGCAGCCACGCAGAGCGCGGTGGATACCGTGGCCAAGGTTCGGAATGTCCAGTCGAAGTATTGGAGAAGTATCTATCCCAAGAACCCCATCGGTGGAATATTTGGTGGAGAAAGATTGCATGGTAAGAGCTCGACTTTGGAGGCGCTGTCATTGCCCTTCCTTCACCCTCGTAAACAAGCTCACCCCCTCGGTCTTACCTAGACATCATTCGCCGGTACCAGGCCACGCACCTCTATGATCAATACAAGTTCACCCAATTGTATATCTACCGCGATACAGTGTCAAAATCATTTGACCAGCAGGTCCTCGCGACGTGAGCCGCAGTCCCCGGGGCAGATCAGGAATGCCTTGCTGATATAAAGGACAGACCCAGCTACGAGACCAAGAAAGCTTTGATGATCATATTCCATGACTCGTAAGTTCGAATGGCTCGCTGGACCGCCTCAGGAGGAAGGCTGACAAGATTTGCTGCAGACCTGATCTTCTCAGCGCCCACAATGGCCTTTCTACGCAACAGAAGCCTCATGATACATGGCTTGTATGTGCCGGTTTCCTGTCGTTCCGTCTTCCTTTCCTTTCCTTTTCTGCCCCTTCCCGGTTCCCTTCTCATGATTGACTGTTTCAACCTGCTCACGCATACATAAGGTTGACGGCGCACAGTCGTACGTCCACTGGGCGGCTTCCCACGGCATGGGTGTCATAGACGTCAACATCCCCGAGTTCATCACCATTTCTACCGACGACGATCCCAACACGAAGTCCGACCTTCTGTCCTCCACTCATCCACATGGATCGTCGAGAGATGTCGAATACGCTTCCACGACGACCGACCTTGCAAGAAAAGAAGGCGAGAAACTTGCCTCGTACCTCTGGGAAAACTACGTCGAGCCATACGACTTTCCCTGGGGAATCATCCTGATGGGCGCGGGCCACGCATTTCACGCCATTGCGAAATTGGTGTCGGAGAACGATAACGTTTATCAAAACCTCGTAGGGATCGTGTGTTTCATCTCCACCCAGCCAATTCGCCCTATCAGCAATCCCGGCAGTAACCACTGGGTGAGTCAGTGGTATCGCGAAAATTCACTAGTGTTTGTTAGTGGCAGGCACAGTCTATGGAAGAAGGAGAAAGAAGGTGGGAAAGTGAGCAAGCGATATGGGCGGCTCGTGCGGAGTGACGGGGAGGTTCTGAATCAAATCATGATGCAACACCAGGAGCAGGTCTGTGAGTGGATGTTCGACAAGGTGAGCCAGCGCAGGGACGAGGTGTCGGCCGAGGAAGAGGATGTCGAGGATGAGGATGTGGATGTGGAACGGAGAGAGGGAGAGAGTGATGGCGACACCATCGATGACCCTGGCGTGGTGGAGGCTGACCGTGATGCACCACGCAGTGGATATGCGCAGTCTGGTGAAACTGGACACCTCCACAGTGCAAGCGGCGCAGGCAATGGTGACGTACCCAGGGGATTTGCGAACAATGCCTTTGCAGCCGCAGCAGAGACGATGACGACAGCGCCGATGGCGCTGGCAGTAGCAGGGGCGGGGTCCGGACCAGGGGCGATGACAGGACCACCAGCCTCGTCGGCAGAGTACCCGCGCTCAACACCCTCTGGTGCCGGCGGCGGTGCCGGCGACGTGTACATGACGACGGGGCCTTGACGACAACCACTATCGTCTCATATCATATCGTCTGAGAGCGTCTGTCTATCTGTATTTCCATTTCCATCTCCCGACGGGGACCAAACGCACATGACGAGCTGTGTTTTATCCGTTTATCTGTTTGTTTGTCTGTTCGTATGTATGAATGCTCAGAGCTGGTCCGTAGACTCGATGTGACGTCGCGGCGGGAAACCGTTTTACTGTTTTTTAGGCGAGACAAACCACTCGTCTGTGTCTATGCCTCTCTCTCTCTCTCTCTCTCTCTCCCTGCTCTGGATCTGTCTCCATCCCGCCTAGATCTGTACCATTGATTGACACGAATATGTGTTTTTCGAATCTCGCAATTTCATTACCACATCAAATTGGAATTGCTACCGCCGCCGCTGTTGAAATATGATTTCAGCATTGCTATCTATCTATTTGGGCCATATATCTGCTCCCACCCCCCTCCCCCCCCGGGGTCCCGGTCCCGATCGGGCTCCCAAATGTGTATGTGTATTTTTCCCGAATATTGTTCAGCAAGCTCGTACCTAGGTAGGTAGGTAGTCAAGGGAGGTAAGTGTGAAAGTACGTGCACCGTCGCGTGCCGTCCGAACTCTTCAGCCGTTGTGTTCTTCTCCAAGGGACTCAATCAATGCCAGGGATCGGGGACTTGTGTGAATCGAGAACCCCCAAAATCCTTTCCTTGGTCAATGTATTCCGCGAACGAAATCTTCACCGCAAGATGCTTGGAAATTCGGCTTCGACACAGGACCAATGGTCAATTCCATCATGAGGCCCCATCACCTACCCGGCCCCGTAGTATTGACGTGTGTCCACGTTTGCTTGGCTGCCCACTGGACCGTGTTGCCGAAAGGGTGATTTGTGGAGGTCTGACATCTGAACCCGACATTTTACTGGTTTCCCGGGGGGCTGCTCGTTCAATGACTGGCGTGCGCGTCGGATTGGGGGCGTGAAGTCGTCGTCCTCGTCTTCGCCGCCGTCACGGCCGCCGCCGAGACTTTCCTGCGACTTACCGACATCGTTGTACTCACCATCGGGGTCTCCAACACTGTTGCGATCATTCTTAATGTGCTCGGTGTCGTCTTTGTTTCCATCATCTTTGTCCCCTTTCTTCTCGCTAGATAACGCATTTTTGGCGGATTGGATTTGCTGCATCAGGTCTTGGAACTCGTCCGGGGTGATGCCTGTCATTCTGCTAAATAATTCGCTCTGAATGTCCCTAATCATGATTGAGGTCGCCGTCTTTTGGGCCGCTTTATCAATCTTAATCCCAAACTCGCGGTTTTTCATAGCATGGATCGCCATGGCTGTGAGATCTGCGTCACTCATGTCCAGGATTTCCGCTTGGCGAGCCACTTTGGCGATTTCACCTTCAGTAGCATTTTTCAGCTCCTTCTCTAGCTGATCAATATCGGCCTCTTGGGCGCGGATAGTTTCCTCTCTATGCTGGAGTTGCTCACTTAGCGAGCTGATATCCTTCCGGTGCCAAGCAGCCTTCTCTTGTGCGGAGATGGACTCGGCCTGAAGTTGCTTGATTTTCTTGTCAATCTCTTCGAGGACCTTCGTCTCTGCTGAAAGAGCCTGTTCTAGGCTCGTCAGACGATCGCGCAGCTTGGATTTGCATGTACGATCATCACCAAGGCGCCTTCTCTTGTAACCCAATTTTTCGCGAACCACTCCTTTCTCCTTGCTTCTCCTCTCAATACGAGACTCGACATATTGTGCCCGTCGGTCAGAAACTGGTGCGCATTCTGATTTCGATCTAACGGATGTCATCGATGCGGTTCTCTCGGGGAAATTGATTGAACTCAACACAGAATTCAGTAGGCTCGCGGAAGAGGCGGTCCGGGTCGGGGGGGAGGTTGTCAGAGTGTCGTGCATGGTGTCGTTCGCTCCACTTGTAGAGACCTTTGCTCAACAGAGGTGGATTGATCAGGACCAGAGATGACAGTCTCGTCAGAGATTAAATCGTTGCTTCTATCGCTGGTGCCGCAACGTGTGTTGTCATCAACAAGACCGTGAAATTGTGATGAAGTCAGAGACAGAAGTGAAGGGTGATGTCCTGGGGAAGCCGGAATGCCAAAGGGAAAAATCGAGAGATGTCTCAAAGCAAGATGAGGTTTCAAGATGCTGGAAAGATGGATAGCGGTGGGGTTCTTTCTTTCATCAACGCAGGTGAGTATCGGAAGGTTGGACTGATGCTTTGGCAGGATGTGGAATTATAGCTGAGCACTTCCAAACCGGTATGTCCACGGAAGCAGACCTCAAATCCCTCTTTTGGCCTGAGCCATGAATCCGTTATCTCAAAAGCGACAATATCTATCGTGATGCAGCCACGAAGTCCCACGGTATACTCACGCTACGCAGTCATAGAGTGGCACAGCGCGTCGAGGTCCTGGTAGACCGTGGACGAGCATATTTGCCAGAGACGAGTCCCTCTGTATCGAGTTCCATCGAGATTCTTGTGGGAAGAGGTTCCTGCCTCACCACTCCCCAGTACCCGCAATATTGTACCACATATATTTTTGTCTCTCGCGTTTCTTGCCAGCAATTCGGATGAAGCCAACCGGTCCCTGAATACATGACTATCAGTACACCATGTTTTCACACTTAAATGGGAGCTTTGAAATGATGATTGCACCTCGTAGAATCCGGAACTGAGAAAAACCCTCGAATGCGACAACGCAGGCGAAAGGTTTCACTTACCTCGAAGGCCAAATACCACGAAAGTGGTTGGGGTGCCTTCGAGGCAGAGTTTTTGTTCCTTCTCGAATTCTGGTGCTCGAGAATTTGGGTTGTGATACAAGTGAGCAGAAGGTGGATGTTTGTGGGCAGCTTTAGTTGAGCGAATGCCTCACTTGGCGTATGATGGGTGCACCAACGACTCCGTATCGATAAGTCATCATATCACCAAGCTGGATACCTTCAAGACTATCCTGACCACTTTGCAGAAGTTGAATGTGATGACTTGACTTTTCTTCCTCGGGTTCTGGTGTCAATAATGCCATATATGCTGAGACCTGGAGCGATGTTCTAGACACAACGCGTGAGCATCGTTAGTCTGCCACTTAGTAGAAGTAGAGATATGTTTGCACATGTCACCATAGCAAGGCTGAACCCGAGTATCTGGTCACAGACTTGGGGTCAGGACACTGCCTTGTAAGAACGAAGAAGGGACGTCGATGAAACAAACAATACATCCATATCAGAGACGAAGTTTATCCATCCCGAATTAATCACCTGCCAGCCTCGTGTCTGCAAGCATTTCTCGTCCTTTTTCTACTCCGTCCTCTTCTTCTGTGCAGGGCTGGAAAGGTCTGAATACCATAATAAACGGCTCACATCATACTTCTCCCCATCGCGTGCTTGTACATAAACAAGTTCAAAGTCTCCGGAAAGGCTGAGAAAGGCGGAACATGGGGGTGGAGACAGTGAGCCCGGCTCTGGATCAATATTAGCCCGAAGCCTCGTTGACATTTACCTTTCGGGAATTGCTCTCCATCAAAAAACACTTGCGTCCAGTCTATATTCCCTCAACCGTTACATTTGCGCTGTCGGCTTGCTTGTTCCATTCCCTTTCCTTGCAAAGTCAGAATATCGCGCGAACTCGCGGTGTTCAGCAATGCACCGGTCAATGGTGCGATGCACATCCTGCCGGGCGTCAATCCTCGAGGCCTTTACTTCTCTCGCTGGAATTTCGATCCCAGTCAAAGCCGTCGCCCCTTCGAGACTTTCTCAGCCGTTGGGCGGCCAATCACGCAGAAAGTTTACTCACTTTGCGCCTTTGCAGCAGTCCGGCGTACAGACCTCGTCGCAAACCCCCTCAGAATCTCAAGCGGAGTCGTCTGCGATACCGTGGTACCTCCAGATCGAAGATCCCACTCCGCCCGCGCCCATATCACCCTTGCTCGCGCTGCAGGAAATCCCGCCCTTGCCACACGATCCACCCGCGATCCTCTCCCCTGTCCTCACGCACCTCTCGACCCAGATAGGGCTTGATAACCTCACGCTCCTAGACCTCCGGCGCCTCGACCCGCCGCCCGCACTGGGCTCCAATCTGCTGATGATCATCGGCACTGCTCGGTCCGTCAAACATCTCAACGTCTCGGCCGATCGATTTTGTCGTTGGGTCAGGAAGGAGTACAAACTGAGACCGTACGCAGACGGACTGTTGGGGAGGAACGAATTGAAATTGAAGCTGAGGAGAAAGGCGAGGAAGATGAAGCTGGCGCAGAGTGTGGGGAACACGGTCGCCATGAAAGATGCCGACGACGGAATCACCACGGGGTGGATCTGCGTGAACATGGGCCCTGTCGACGACGCCGTCATGCCAGAAACGCACGAGGACGGAGATGGAGATCAGATGCGGACAGAACTTGCAGAGGAAGAGGAACAGCATGTCTCGCCCGCGTCTACCGCCGCGCCGATGATGACGAGGAAGATGCAAGAGACGCTCGCCGAGGACGAAGAGGACGAATACCAGAATCCTGGAGACGACTACGTCGGTTTCGGCTCGCGGTCCGATTCGCCGCGGATCGTGGTCCAGATGTTCACCGAGGACAAGCGAGTCGAGATGGATTTGGAGGGGTTGTGGGACGTGCGAAATACCAGACGAGCACAGAGGGAGGAGAGAGCGAACGTCGAGGCCGAGGCTGCTGTGGGACGATTGCAGCACGAACAGTAAAGAGGAGGTGGCGCCGTGATCAAGACGCTGCTGTACATTTATAATAACGACAGGATTATAGAGAATGGAGGTTCAGGGCCAAGGACACAAGGATGTCCTCTGGTTCAGCAAAAATCTCTATCCGTCCATCTCAGTCCGGTCAGGACTGGACTGGCTCCATTTGTTTCATTCATGCTGTCATGAAAGTCATTCGTCAGCTGTGTTTGTAAGCGTACATCATGTCTGTGCAAACCTGTCCTGTCCACCCGTATGCGCGAGTTCCCGGTTGTCCCAGTTCACCAATGCACAAACGCCTGCAGTATGCTTTAAGCTTCAGCCACAGACATACTCGAGAAGAATCGTCTCCAGAAGAGCACGATGAGCATGTATGCGACGGGGAGTCGTTGTCGTCAGGTCATCCATCAAAACTCGGACCCAGCATGAGAACGCTGAACCGCAGCTCCCCGCCGCCCGCCTCTTCCTCTCTCTTCAGAAAAGCCTTGACCCCCAACTCCTGACCCTTTGGACTCAACACATCGTCGTCCGGTCCCAAGAAGCCTCTCTTCAGCGGACCCTTTCTCGACCCGTCCATCTCCCACAGATATCCCTCCTTGTCCTTGACGAACGCGACAAAGTGCAGGTCCACGTTCGCCTCGGCCTGGGGAGCCTCGGTGTCGCCCTTTGCCGCGGCGGTCGCGTGGGCGGCCTCGAGCGTGGGACTGTTGTAGAGGAGGTCCGCGCGGTCGGCGGGCTTGAGCGGGAGGGCTTCTTTGAGCAGTTTCTCGAGATCGCTGCCCTCGATGATGTTGGACCGCGCCTCGCCGTTGGTGATGGCGTGGAGCAACCCGATCAGCCCACACGCATTGCCGATCGTCTGCTTGAACCACACCACGGGCTCCTGGTCACCCGACCCCGTGTACTCGTCGCGTGCCGAGTCCTCTTCCGCTCGAAACTTCTCGTACGTCCCTGTCACGGGGAAGACGAGGAGCAGGGCGATGGCCGGTCGGGGGAGGAAGTCCAGCAGGGCCGGTTCGTCGAGGGAATAGACGTCGTGGAATTGCAGAGAGGGGGACAGGCCGAGTTCGTGGACCAGGTTGCTCATCACCTCTGGATTGTTCTCTAGTAACAGCAAGGCAGTTAGTTAGTGGTGGTGTTCGGTAGCAGGCCCCGCTAGGAGACGGGGAGGTGATGGTCTGAGGATGTTTTTTTGGTTCGATGGGATGGATGACTTACCCAGAGGGACAAACATCTTTTTCTGTGCCGCTGTCGCCATTTCGCTTTTACTGCTGGTAATGTCTCTTCTCACGTAGAATCACCAGATGGGGAGAGAAAAAGCGAGAGGTGTGTGCGTGTGTGAATGAGGCTCGGAGGCGATGAGACTCAAACATGGAGGGACAGGCAATTGCCAATTGCGTCAATGGCGGGGAGATCCAGGCACCTGAAGATTTTTATTGGCGGAAGTCATCACAGCCTTGCGGAAGCCAGCCTCGGCCTCTTTACTGCAGGCAAGGCTGCGAATGCCTCATCCGAAACACCTATTTTGGTTTGCTTACACTACAAGTGCCCAGAGCTGCACGAAGAGCGCCGTCTAAGAAGTTACTTCGGATCCCTCATAACCATCCCATTGACTCTCATGTTGGAACTTCAACACCTCGTCACCCCATGACCACCATCCGGCAGTCAGGTTTCTCGCAAACAGTTCGAGGGCACTGTACTTTGGAGGTAGCTGCTTTTCCAACAGGAGCTTCAGACAAGGTTTCCGCGAGTGCAAGTCCGGCACCGCCGCGATGACCTTTCGCTCGGGCCCCTTGGGAGGTTGACCTTTGCGAAACAACAGCAGAATCTCGTACGGCCTCCGCCAAACTCCGTCAATTGCGCTGACGGGTTCGCCTTGAGCAGTGACCTTGATCCATATCCATTCTTGGTGTAGGTGTAGATCTAGTGCTTGCAATGTTTGTAATACCTTGTCGCGGACAGAGGACTTGTTAGTGATCCATAAGGCAAGGAGACCTTGTGGGGCGAGGAAATCCCCCGTAAGGCGCACTGCTTGTAGAAACGGATCCCGGGCCTGAGCTTCGGACGTTCTGTAAGCATTAGAGTTGCGAACTGAGCGATTGGGCCAAGGAGGGTCCATCAAAATGAGGTCGAAAGCCCTGGTCTCAGGCGGCAGTGCTCGACGGACTGAGAGGAAAGCGGGAGATCCTTGTTCAAGACTTGCCCAAAGGAAGACAGATCCTGAAGGAACAAGGAAGTCACCAACATGACGAACTTGCACTATTGCAGTTTGCGACACGATATTGTAGACAATGGTACCCTGAAGATCCTCAAGCGAGTGAAACTTGGTGCGGCGTTCTGTGGTCGATAAAACCACGGGTACCGCGGTGGAGGAATGGCCAGTGCTCACAGACCATTCCAAATTGCTCGGTTGGGCTGGGGATGGAGGCACGGACGTGTCAGCATGCGAGGTCAAAGCGCGTCGTGCACCGCACCAAAGCTCGCCTCGTCCATGCAAATGTGTCCGGATCTCGATCAATGCAGCACGAATCTCGCATTGCAGAGATTCATGGTAGAGTTGCTCCTCGACAGTCGTCGTGTTCAGTATAGCCTCTCGCTTGATGCCCTTCGGCTCTGTGCTAGGGTAGGGGCTTCTCACAGCCAAAGATGATCTAAGCGTGTAGGCGAGGTGCTGCCCCGCGCGGATAGATTGAGGGATGTCGATCAGGGCGACAGTAGCGGCTTGGTTGCGGTAGAGGATCGTCCCCGACATAGTGGGCGTGTTGGGCGTGCATGTGAAACATCAACAAATAATAAATGGAGTTGGGCACTCAAGGCACTGTGGGATTTGCTCGCCATGGTGGGGTATCGTGGATATTTGATGCTGTTTTGTCTTCGGGTATTTGGGAGAAGGTTGGGGAGGAACTGCGCCCGCAGCGAAACCTGGAAAACCCGCCAAAGCCACGGATCGCAGGTTGAGTCTTGGCGAGATGGACGCTAGCCCCTTTTGGGAATGTATATAGAAAGGGGGGGTCTTAGGGGAGTGTAACATCCATATACTTCCTCTATTCTACTTCATTCTCCCAATAAAAACCCCAAACACAGACCATCATAAGCATCGCGCACAGATCGCCATTGCGCCATGGCCCTCATCATGGTCAGTGGCCGAGAGCTTCTTCCATTTCATACACCCATGGACCCTGTTATCCGATCTTGTTACCCGGACCCGGACTGCCACTCCCTTCCCGATCAACCGAAAGTTTGCCAGATGTATCACAACAACATTCCTCCTGGTGGGTCTAAAACTCTTTGCTCGCTGCTCACAGAATGCAGGGACTTTTTGACAGTATTTTCCCCTTGGTTCATCTCCTTTTTGCTGGTTATGATCGACGCTTCCCCTCTATAGTGTGTGTGAGCGTCTACCTCAAAGACTCGCATGGCAAGAATCCATTTTTTACGAGATTTGCCAATTGTTCCCTTTCTTTGGATATCTTCAGCTGGCCCTGTATTCCGCATAAACCACACACACCCCCGTACACACCCTCGTTCTGGTGACTTCTGATGAAAGCATGTTATGAGTGATGCTGGATATATCGTCATCTTACGACAAACTCTTCTCATGGTTCGACATTCTCCACTGGAGCGAGCATCAGACATCCTCGATCCTTATCCAACGAGCCATTCGCCACACTCTCTGACATGGCGAGACAGTCCTGTCAACACTGTCGAACCTGGCAAAATTGCCACCGGATCGTTGAGCGATGCGCAAAATCATGCTATCTTGGTTGCCGCACTGGCGTGTGCAAGTGTCAGTCTGGTCGTGGTTCTAGTCACCTTACGATGGTTCCTCATCATGCGAAGGAGTTTCCGGCATCGCTTGGTCTTGTATCTCATCATCAGCGACACCTTCAAAGCAATATGGTACTTCGTCTTTCCAATCGTGGTATTCGCCAGAGGCCCAGTGAAGAGCAATTCGAATTTCTGCCAGGCCAGTGGATTCCTGCTCGTGTTCGCAATCGAGGCATCCGACATGGCCATTCTCATCATTGCTCTACACTCCATCCTCTATATTCTCAGACCCGGTAGCACATTGGGAGAGGGAGGGCTCTATCGGTACCGGCGCTGGACCTACATCATGTGGCTCGGCCCGCCGCTGTTGGCAGCATCGTTAGCCTTCCTGGAGAGTAAGGACGCCTATATTACAGTTGGAACATTTTGCTACCTCCCGAAACGGCCGTTCTGGTATCGCCTCGCACTGTCCTGGGTCCCCAGATACCTAATCATAGCTGTAATTCTGATCATGTATATCTGGATATACATTTACGTCCACATCAAATTTCGAGGTTTCGATAACCTCGGCGCATCGGACTCGTCCTACGAGTCTGGGAGACAACAGTCTTATCATTCGACCAGGTGTCGCAAGACCGAGAGGAGGGCGACTGACCGGGCACCGGCCATGCCCTCGCAAGCCTCAATATCGCATACCCAGAATTCGTTTCTCGAAGCGGCTGTGGCACCTGACCAACGCCAACCCTGGGATGACGTGAATTTTATTACTTCCAGACCGCTACAGAATCTCGCTATTGAGACTCAGCAAGGTTCCGAAGGGAGGAATATGCAAGCGCGAGGGAGTGTGTGGTCTGGTGAAACCCAACCGCCTCCAGATCCGCCGCCGCCATCGATCCATGAGCTCCAGGACAACTCAGCGGCGCCGCGATCCCTGTCGGTCTCGAAGGACGAGACTCGGGGGACGCCTGCTGTCTACCCAGCAGCGTCGACGACGACTTCCAGTGGGCCCAGTGACCCGCTCAAAAGGACCAGATTGGCGATACGCAAGCAGCTGCGGTACTTGTTTATCTATCCTCTGGTCTACATCCTCATGTGGAGCTTTCCGTTCGCATCGCACGCCCTGAGCTATAGTACCTACTACGTCAACCATCCTATTTTCTGGCTATCTTTGGTACAGACCATCATGCTTAGCCTTCAGGCCGGTGTGGACAGCATTCTCTTCTCCTGGACGGAAAAGCCGTGGAGGCGAGTCGACTCGAATTCCAAATTCTCTATTCCTTTCCTACGTCGGCAAAGCAAGACGTTATTACAACGTGGCCGTCCAGCGAAACAAACTTGGCCATCTACAGACGCAGTAGCGATGCCACAGCCAACAGCCAGACAGAACCCGCACTGGTGGGAGGCCGAAGGCCGCCGGCGCAACGATAGCGTCTGGCTTGGGACCAGCAGGCTATCCGGCCTCTTCGCCCCTATGAGCACTCGAGCACGATCCAGAAGTCCAGAAAAGGTCAGAAGCCTTTTACATTCGCGGACGCGGAGTTCTGAGCAGGGAGGTGCATTTGTGCCCACGCTTGACACCATTTTTACGGACACGCTGGATGCACCGTCAAGGCGGACTATGTCCCCCGTGGCAATGGAAGGGTTAGTGGAAGTGCTCGAGTTGACTTACAAAGCAGAGCAACGTCTCAATGAGCAGGAAAGTCCAACTTCACAAGTTTCGTACTTTTGAAGGCACCAGGCACAGATCTCGGAGAAAGAAAATAGACTGTTACGCCGTTACGACTCGGTGAGAACAGCCCCGTTTGGGTGTGGAGGGGCGGCTTCGCTATGGGTTACGCCGTGAATAAGCGCGGCCCTTGTCATTCAAGCAATATGCATGATATACATGAGATACATGACTTTGGCACGGCTCTTGGTCGGTTCCGAAGGGGATGAGTCTTCAGAAGACACCTTTCTGGGTTATGAGCATTGCATCGCTGTGAGGAGGTATATCTGATTAGAATAATAATATTTTCTCACCCAAGGACAAGTCCAAGTTACGAGTTAGAATCAGAGTCAAAGTACCGAGATACCTCGTATCCGTTGTGATATTTCGAGATCCGAGAGGCGAAAATCGCCGAGATTGGAGCGTCCCCGGCATCGGAAGCGGAACCTGGAGGCCCACGAGGCCCTGGAATCTCGGCCTCCCCCCCCCCTCAAGCCCCCAATTCTTTCCCTCTCGTGCCTCTCATATTAATTACTTGTATGTATTACATGTGCCATCACTGGTTGTCGCCCATCGTTGGTCGCTGGTCCTCGCACCATTTTCGACGTCACGAAAATCCCACTTCCCCGAAAGGTTCGGCTCGGCCATCTACTGTTGCCAATTGATCTCTGCCCTCAAATTCCTTCTTCCCTTCGACCATGACTACCTCCTAAAGAGCCCTTGTGAATGCCTATCTCTGGTCTGGGCCATGCAGCAACATCATTACAATCCTCACAATCACCAGAGATGGACAGCCGAGGCGCCTCGAGGTTGCTCGACGAGGCACCTCCGGGCCCCGACCGACGATTATTCCCCGACAACGATGCGTCGATAACACTGAAAAGACCTGCGTCCCAGGCGCAGAAGCCACTGGATAAACGCAGTCTCGAGTATATTCTTCGCTCGGGCCTTGCAGGTGGATTGGCAGGATGTGCGGTACGTGAGAACGCTGGGTTAGCCACTCTGTCAGGACATTGCTGATTGATGTAATTCTAGGCAAAAACCGTTGTCGGCCCTCTGGACCGCGTCAAGATCCTCTTCCAAGCTTCGAATCCTCAGTTCGCAAAGTACACGGGCAGCTGGTTCGGCGTGGTGACTGCGATGCGCGATATCCACAAGTATGAAGGGGTACGGGGTTTATTCCGTGGACATTCAGCGACTCTTCTGAGGGTCTTCCCATATGCCGGGATCAAATTTCTCGCCTACGAGCAGATAAGAGCAGTTATCATTCCGGACAAAATACACGAAACACCTTTTCGTCGCTTTATTTCGGGGTCGCTGGCGGGCATTACCTCCGTCTTCTTCACCTACCCTCTCGAGGTCATCCGGGTGCGGCTCGCTTTCGAGACGAAGCGCGACTCACGTTCGTCTTTGAGTCGAATCTGTCGACAAATCTACCATGAACAGCCTCCACACCCAGAGCATCTCACTAATCAAACCCCAGTCGCAGCTGCCACGAACGTAGCGCAAAAAGCCGTACCTAAGTCTGGGCTTGTCAACTTCTACCGCGGGTTCTCCCCGACCTTACTGGGTATGCTGCCATATGCCGGAATGTCGTTCTTGACGCACGACACAATTGGCGATATATTCAGACACCCTATCCTAGCACCATACACAGTGCTACGGTCAACATCTACGGCCGCAGCCCCGCCACCAGAGGAAAACCGGTCGAACGTCAAGGTCTACCGGCGCGCCCAATTGAATGCCCCGGCTGAGTTGATATCGGGCGCAATAGCTGGCCTGGTCTCCCAAACCTCCTCTTACCCGCTTGAGGTGATCCGACGAAGGATGCAAGTCGGCGGTGCCATTGGAGATGGCCACCGGTTGACTATTGCCGAAACGGCGCGTCGGATATGGCTGGAACGAGGCTGGAGAGGGTTTTTCGTCGGTCTGACCATTGGCTATGTCAAAGTCATACCAATGGTCGCCACGAGTTTCTATGTTTATGAACGCAGTAAATGGCTGCTGGGGATTGGTTGATGTTTGGGCGGAGTCCCTGGATCGTGTTATGGCCAAACTCGTAGAGTTGAAGGCCAACACTGATCTCCCCACTATGTTTCCTCATTTTTGTTCCTCCCAAAAAACAGGGCGCCTGTGAAGTTTCTCTCCTCGGGGACAATGTTGGCTCGCAGATGCCACAGTCTAAGTTGGAAGGAAGAGCAGGCAAAGAATGTCCGAAAGACGCCCGCTCCACGGTACCGGGCTGCATAGCCCTGGTAATGACCTGAAACTGAAGCCATGTCGGCGTTGTCGCTATCGATAGCACCGCGATGGTTTCTGAATTGGTGGGTCGCGGTTGTATCATATGTGGTCGGTCTCATTTGCACCAACGGTGCCTATATATACTCTTACATTACAGGTTGTTTGGGCACCCAGGACACAACGTGGGATCAAGCAACTGCTTTACAAGTCGCATTCGGCGTCATGGCATGCATGGGAGAGCAATGGTCCACAGCTACCAAATTCATATTCGCAAACACTCAAAACAGAATATCCCTTGCATCAACTTTCATACCGATAAACACTCAAACATTACCATCCTCTCCCTCGTCTTAGCGTCAGGTTATCGTCCAAGACGACTCCTCAAGCACTTATTACCCTGTTCTCATTATAACATTGTATGGACCACCAACCTCAGTCGTCATATCAGACGTTATCCACAAGGATATCAAACACCATTCCTTCGGCAGCGGACCGCCTCCCCTATCTATCGCGTCCACAAGGATGTCAAACCCGGTACCATTGTCCACGACCGCCTATATTGTACACCGTGTCACAAGGTGTTCTCCCGTTCCCAGAGAGCACGGCATATTCGTAAATACCACGAAGGAATTAAACCAGCAGATGATAGTATCGTATCAGGACAATACGAAGGAAAAGGTAACCAAACCAAAGAAGAGCGCCACGAGCCAGAGTCAAGATTTCACTACCGCAAATACTGAACCATCAACAGCAAAGAAGCCTGCAGATGAGCAGCAAGAGAGAGAGAGAGAGAGGGAGAGAGGTCGCCAGACTACCTTCAAGGTCACACACACCGATGTGAAATAGCTATCACCAGAGCTGTCTATCAGCTAGCAGCTAAGAAGTAGTTGGATGTGAACTCATCCAGCCGCCTGGCAGCGGAACTGCCGATCTACACCGGCATGATGCGGGTGGCCTTCAACCCAGAGGCTATCAACATTGACACCAACGGGCTCTCTTACATCAATCATGACACCAAGACGCGCCGGCTACCTATCTACACCGGGATGATATGGGTAGCCTTGATGCCAGAGGCTGTTAGCTTCAACCATGATACACTAATAGCCATGACGGCCTCTTACATCAATCATGACACCGACGCGCGCCAGCTACCTATGTACACTGAGATGATGCGGGTAGTAATGACCCCAGAGGTTGTCAGCTTCAACCATGACACCAAGAGCCATGCCCACTACACACGTCAACCACGAGAACGACTCATACCAAGTTCGTTATATGCTCGGACGTTGAGTTAGAAGCTCTGTTTGCCTACACCACCCCCAATGGGACCGGTCCTGGTGCCTCGAGACCTCCAGACCCTTCCATGTAGTGGACTCGACATGTCTAACTACTTGGACATACTCTCCACTAGGGCGGCCGTGGATCTCCACCACTTTGACGCACAGAGCGCCCCTGATGACGAGGGGGGGTTCCTTACGCCACAGCGCCTCGACGGGGAGGTTCGGAGTTGGGTGCGTTTCACGTACGGGGTACTAATGATAGTGATAAGGATTGTGATTATGAGTGTTGGGGGGGACCCAACGTGCTTTGCTAGTGCGGGCGCAACCCGCGAGCGTAGCGCTGCCAAGACGTTTTCTTTTTTTCAGGGCCAAATCGGGTAATGATGAAGCTTTTTGATGAACCGACAATTCATATTTTCGAAATTTTGAAAGATGGTGAGGAAAGTCAGCCTGCCATGTGATGTACAGCCTTGCTTAGTTATCGGGTACGGTGGATTTCGAAGTGCGGTTTCTAGGGTGGAGCATGGAGACCACTTAGTAGTAGTGAAGTGCACTTCGTTGATAAAGAAGCCTAGCTCATTTGGAGAGCGAACGCTCCAAGCAGGTATATTAAGACATCAAACACCACGCCAGAAACAAGTTGAGTTATAGATGTGGCGTCCTCCAGAGTGACAACGTATCCGACCCCTCAACAGTCGAAACTCAAGCTACAGGGGAGCGGGAACGAAAGTAGGGTCATAACCTCATGGTACTGGGGTCGAAAAGTCGGAGACTTGGTAGGAGAGGATAGCAGTACTTCGTACATCGGGCTTATTCAAGAATCTCCTTCGGGATCAATGGAGGAAGAATTCTACTACGGTCCTGGGGGGCCATTACATTGCCTTGTCAACCCTGTCAGTCACATCCTTTCCCAACAATTAAATACTCATATGTACCTCTTCATCAACATGTCGAATCGAAATCCCTCTGGTCCACAAGCACAGCCACAGCCACGGCCGAATATATCTGCCCCGGTCGAATCTTCCCATACCTACACTCACACCCTATACTGCAGCCAACGACGACGAATTAAATCAAGCCGCCAAGCGTACCCAGTACGCAGGCTGAGCAAGTCAGTGCCATCCCGGATGGCCTTGCACAGGCTCAGCGCCGCCATTCGTGAGCTGAGCGTGACGAGATCTTGAATTGGGGACCTGACGAATTCGATGCTGGATTTGCCCAACTCAATGCTACAATGGCGAGAATGGACAGGGGTTTTGCTCAGATGAACATGATCTTTGACCAAGTCAATGCCTAAAAGGCGACAATAGACAGGAGTTTTGCTCAAGATGAACAGGGGGTTCGACTCTGCTGAACATGAGATTCGACCAACTCGACGCGAAAATAGACGCGAGGTCTGGTCAGGCGTTTACTCAGAGAGACGTGAGGGTTGACCAAATGAATCACAACCACGACCACAAAGTCGGAACTCTTACGAATACTCATCCTCATCCTCTGGCTCTTCGAACTAAGGCCGAGTAAAGGACGAGTAACGGATCCAGCGAGGCCACGAATGATCACCAATCCAGTCCAGGGTGTTGAGTTGTGTTGTGTGAGGTTGATTGCCCTACGACGACGACGACAACAACGACGACGTCATCAACACCCGAAGATATCTCTACTAGTAGATCGATGACTAGACGCCTATTTAAGTCTTTCATCAGGTCTTGATCTGAATCGGATTGATTATCCTGCAACCCCCGTCGCGGGAGCAGATTCGGTCCTGCAGCATGATGTAGGGCCCCGTTGTGGTGGAACAAACCCTGTTTGACAGCGTTAAGACGGGCGGCGCCGAGGAAGGGAATGGCCATGGAAATGGGAGGGCCATCGATCAGGCAGTTTTGAATTCGGCCGGGATTCTGCTACAACGTACCCTACCGAGACATGCGGCGTTGAGGGATCCAAAGGCTATCGTATCAACGAATGATCTTGATATTGGGCGGGATCCCAGACGGAAACAAGACATTATTTTACTTTACTTTGTGGAATGAATGCTAAGACCTGCTTTCTGTCGTTTCTTTTTCTTATCTTTTTCTTTTGCTCTTTGGTCTAGATTGCTCGTCCCAAGCGGTGGTTCTATGGTCCGTGATAGTTCATATACATTCCATCCTGTGGCGTGAGGTATGTTGCCTACCTGGCACGCTGGGAAGGAATGGGAAAGGATGCTTCTATTTGCGCAGATGGATCTATCGCGCCGCACAGTGATTTCATTCCTCCCATCTCACAAAGGCTGAGGCTGAGAGGCTAACCGAGAGACATGGCATGGCAGATAAATCCCCGCTTACTCTCTCCCCAGTCTCTCTTTGTCATCCGCCGTCATTTCATATGCGGGCTTGTACCGTTCCTTCCCGTGTTCGTCCGTGTACCGCAACTTCGGATTCCTGACCGTGTCATTCACTCCTCCTAGACTCGTGTAGCCCGCGTCATACACTTCACAGTACCTCAAGGGGGCGGTCGTCGGGGTACATATGGTGGTTCCTGGCTCTGCAGCTCCTCCGCCCTCGCTGGCGCTGCGGCTGCCGTTCGAACAAGACCCAATGTCCCTGAGATGCGGGGAGCGCAGGAAGCACCAGATCTCCGAAAGGTGCCAGTCAATCACCGGGTGGATACGCATAAACGGCGGCCAGTTGTGGTCGGTCGGGTCAAAGTGTGTCAAATGAGACCCGTGCGGGTCAGTGCGCCGGGTGCCCACGAAGATGGCCTTGATGTGCGGGTTGGATGAGAGGTATAGGGCAAAGGCGTCGCGGAAGGTGATGATTGGTTTGTCCAGGATCTTTTGGTACGAGTTGGTGTGGTTGGTGTTGTTGGCGTTGGTCTTCTTCTCGTTGTTTGAGAGATCACCTCCACCACCTCCGTCTGGTCCTAATGAGTCCACGGGAAGTGGTGGGCCGGGCGGATTGGAATGCGACTTCTGTCTCTTGCCCGGGCCGGGATTTGTGGATATGTGGGTTAAGTCGAGATGGTAGAGGCGGGCAGAATAGTCGACAAAGTCGGACACGGCGGGGAAGGGATCCGGCGGTTTTGCGTAAATCGAGGGAATGGACTTGGGGAACTCTTTCCGCCTGTTCTTGGGTTGCGTGAAATGTATGTGGATGACGGCGAGGTACAGGACGAGAAGAACCAGGCAATCTTTGCCCCCGTTATAGGAGAGAGACAGGTTCTCGAATCTATGTTCGTAGTGCACAAACAATGGGTCAGATCTCATAAAGACGGACGCGGAGGGTCGGCGGGGCTAAATCATGGCTCACTCATATTCGTCCAGCGCCTTTTCTATAACTCGCATGGATATTCTCGCTTGCTCTTGTGTTTTCCTCGTCACATCATCTTCAGGAGCGGCCGAGAGGAACGAAGCGACCTGTGCATGGAGAAGGGCACAGACTTCCTGCAACGAGTGGGAGATGGGAGCGGGCGACGAAGGTACATCAGCTTCTCCATTGACCGAGACCGAGGCGAGGGTTC